GTCCAGCCTCTGCTCTAGGGCAGCCTTCCTAAGGCATCAGTGGAGTCATTCTCTCTGGGAGTGTTCCAGAGGTGTCTGGATGTGCTCTTGTGTAAAAGTTTTGGGGTGATGATGATGATGCTGGCACTGGATGATGCTGAAAGGCTCTCCCATTGATTTTGGGATCTGCTCTCCCTACAGCTATAAGAGCATCCAGAGGATCCTGTACTGGCTTTGCTCAGTTCTCATGAACTCTCATGAAAAACCTGGGAAAAAATCAGCTTTTCTGCTCCTATTCCCTGCTTAGCTCCCTCTCTGGCTCTCCAGTTACAATCCTCTATTTGATGATTTGGTTTTGCCTTAAAACAACACCAGGACAACACAAAGAGAAGAATTTTATTTCAGACAAATTGCAAAAGGATCCTGGGAAGGGCAGGAAAAGGCACAAACCCTCATTCACGTCATGAATCACACAAGCCCAAACCCAAAAACAATTGCAATATTTCTCAACTCCCTCCAGACCTGACATTTAAAGCTCACATACATTTCCTGCAAGCCTTACAAGAGCTTCTTAAAAATATTCTTGGCTGCAGATAAGTGGTGAAGCACCAAATCTAAGCCATGCACACCAAGAATTTTAGCCCAAATATTCATTAGCCTTTATTCTTTAAAAAAAAATTAAATTAAAGAATGAAAAATCAGTGTAAGACACTCATTGAGCCACATCTGGAGGATTATAAGGGAGAAATAAAACACCACTTGGTTTTCAGATGGATGATCAGGATCTTAAGGTCCCAAAATGCCACTAAAATCCACTAAACAGGTCATATTTTTCTTTGAAACCCTCTTGGATTTTAAATTATGTGCAGTCGAAGGAGTAGGACACAGAGCCAGTCCTTTTCCCTTAAAAGCTCATCATGGCTAAGTCAAACTTGCAAACCCAGAAAGGATTTGCCCAAGAAAGGCTCCTTAAGACTGAAATAATAAAAGTGTTGAGCAGTTGTTAAGCCTGGCCTTAAGTCACAACATCTGGGCTGTTTGTGCTGGGGCTGTTCCTTCTCCTGGGGTATTGTTTGTCTGGGCTGTTTATCCTGGGAGTTTTATTTAATCTGGGCTGTTTGTCCTGGGGCTGTTCCTTCTCCTGGGGTGTTGTTTGTCTGGGCTGTTTATCCTGGGAGTTTTATTTAATCTGGGCTGTTTGTGCTGGGGCTGTTCCTTCTCCTGGGGTATTGTTTGTCTGGGCTGTTTATCCTGGGAGTTTTATTTAATCTGGGCTGTTTGTCCTGGGGCTGTTCCTTCTCCTGGGGTGTTGTTTGTCTGGGCTGTTTATCCTGGGAGTTTTATTTAATCTGGGCTGTTTGTGCTGGGGCTGTTCTTTCTCCTGGGGTATTGTTTGTCTGGGCTGTTTATCCTGGGAGTTTTATTTAATCTGGGCTGTTTGTCCTGGGGCTGTTCTTTCTCCTGGGGTGTTGTTTGTCTGGGCTGTTTATTCTGGAGGTATTGTTTATTCTGGGGAGTTTTATTTAATCTGGGCTGTTTATCCTGGGGGTGTTGTTTATTCTGGAGTGTTGTTTCTCCTGGGGGTGTTTATTCCAGGGCGTTTCTCCTGGGGATTGTGGTTTATCCTGGGGGTGTTTGTCCTGGGGTGTTGTTTATCTTGGGGTATTGTTTGTCCTGGGGGTGTTGTTTATTCTGGGGTGTTTATCCCAGGCTGCTTGTACAGGGGCTGTTGTTTCCCTGGGGCTGTTGTTTATCCTGGTGGTTTTTTTTCCCCTGGGCTGTTGTTCCTCCTGAAGCTGTTGTTTCTCCTGGAACTGTTGTTTCTCCTGTGGATGTTGTTTCTCCTGAGGGTGTTTCTCCTGGGGTGTTGTTTCTCCTGGTGTTTTTTTTTTTCCCTGGGCTGTTGTTTCCCTGGGGCTGTTCTTTCTCCTGGGCTGTTGTTTCCCTGGGCTGTTCTTTCTCCTGGGCTGTTGTTTCCCTGGGCTGTTGTTTCCCTGGGCTGTTGTTCAGGCCGGGCTGTTCTCTGTCCCGCAGGCCGGAGCTGGAGGACGCGGGCTGGCAGGAGCTGCCGGGGTGCCAGGCAGTGGCTGGCACAGGCTGTGACTTCTCCTCGGCCATCTCCGAGTACTACGATGCCCACTACGTGCGCGTGAGGGCCCAGGCAGGGCCACTGCTGTCCCCGTGGTCCGAGGTGCTGGAGATGGTTCCAGAACACGTCGGTACGAGCTCGGGGTTTGCAGGGACACTTTGCTTCATTCAGCACCTTGGGAGGGTCCTGCTCCCCTGCCCTGCTCAGGTGGGACCCCTCTGCAGAGCCTCCAGCCCTGAGATCCAGCAGCAGGAGCACCTGGAGCTGCTGGGAGATTCCAGAGGGGCTGCTCCAGGGCTGGGAGAGCTGGGGGGGCTCCCCTGGAGAGGAGAAGCTCCAGGAGAGCTCAGAGCCCCTGGCAGGGCCTGAAGGGGCTCCAGGAGAGCTGCAGAGGGACTGGGGACAAGGCCTGCAGGGACAGCACCCAGGGAATGGCTGCCAGTGCCAGAGGGCAGCAATGGATGGGATCTTGGCAATGAGGAATTGTTCCCTGGCAGGGTGGGCAGGGCTGGCACAGGGTGCCCAGAGCAGCTGGGGCTGCCCCTGGATCCCTGGCAGTGCCCAAGGCCAGGCTGGGCACTGGGGCTGGAGCAGCCTGGCACAGGGAAGGTGTCCCTGCCCTGGGATGAGATGATGTTTAAGGTCCTTCCAACCCAAAGCAGTCAGGAATGAGGGATTTTGGAAAAACCACGTGTGGTTTCCACTGCTGGTAACAGCAGCACAGGGGGAGTTTCCCAACAGGAACATAAGATCAGGCATCTGCAGGTCATGGAATGCTGCAGTTCTGTCTTTTCTGGGAAGGGAAAGCTATTCCAGGTGCTGCTGGTTTCCTGGCTGAATTTCCTGTCACTCTGTATTTTCCAAGATTATTTATTGGAAGTCCTTTTTGACAGTAGATTTTTGTAGACTCCCTAACTGGTCTGGACTGGGAGGGACCTTAAAGCCCATCCCATTCCACCCTCTGCCATGGGCAGGGACACCTTCCATAGACCAGGTTGCTCCAAGAACCCCATTTTTGGGAAGTTTGTGGCTTTTCAGCAGTTCCAGTGGTACTGAAGCTCTCCTTTTATGCTGGATTTGTTGGACTGAGCTAAGTCTCTTGCCTTGCAGGTTTTAGAATAATTTATGCTGATTTTTTTTGAAAACATTTGCTGCTAATATTTAATTTTAACTGCTTTTAGAACCTGGTGATGGTAGTTGGTTGTTAGGTTAAATTTCTTTTAGAAACTGCCTGAGTCATGAAAACTTAACATCCTGTAGGTGATTATTCAAAAGAATTAAAAATAAGATAACATAGGCAGGTATTTAGGTTTATTATTGTGTACTGCTTTTGGGGTGTATTTTCTCAAAGTAGACATATTTAACTTCTTTTTTCTTTCCATATTTGCAGCTCAGATTGGTCCACCAGGACTGGAATTGCAGTCCACAAATGGAGTGGTGAAAGTTATGGTTTCTCCTCCAGAAGCAAATCAGAGGAAAAAAATGTGGATCAATGACCTGAGTTTTAAATATAACCTGGTCTTCTGGGAAAACTCCTCACATGCTCAGGTATGAGCCCTTCCTTTTTGTTACTTAACCTTAGCAGAACTGCCAGAGATGGAATTTAATTTGTGCTCTGAAATGGAGTTGTTTGATTCTGTCACTGTTTAACTGCTCCTGTGTGTTTGCAGGTTTTTTTTTCTTGGTGGGAAGATTTTGTCCTTACCGTAGGATTGTTTTATTGGGATTGCCCTGATCCAGGGACTTTTTTGAGTTGTTGCCATTGTGAACTGGTTTCCAAGGCAGCATGAGTGTCCTGCAGAGCACCCAGAGCTCTCCTGTGAAGAGCAGGGGAGAAACTCTTCCTTTTTTATCTTTTTTAGGGAAGTGAGAGTCAGCTAAATCAGGGCAGGGATCAAAGGGCAGTCTGTGTTCTTTTGGGAGATCAGATCAAATTCATCACTTCAGAAAGGACCTGAGGGGCTGGGAAGGGGCTGGAGAATTGCTGAGGAGCTGGGAAGGGGCTGGAGAATTGCTGAGGAGCTGGGAAGGGGCTGGAGAATTGCTGAGGAGCTGGGAAGGGGCTGAGGCTGGAGCAAAGGAGGCTCAGGGGCCCTTGTGGCTCTGCACAAGTCCCTGGCAGGAGGGCACAGCCAGGAGGAAGCACAGGAATGAGGAAAGGACAAGGGGAAATGGCCTCAAGGTGCACCAGGGCAGGTTCAGATTGAAGACAGAATAAAATTCCCCTCTCAGAGTGCTCAGGCCTTGGGCTGAGCTGCCCAGGGAGGTTTGGAGCCCCTGGAATTGCCCCAGAGGAGTCCTTGGGGACAGGGTTTGGGGTGGCACTGGGTGATCCTGGAGGGTTTTCCCACCTCTGGGATTTTGGGGTTGCACACCAAAGCAGCACAAGGCCCAGAAGAAGAGTTGGGTAAGGTCAGTCAGCAGCAAGGCTGGGAGCCAGAGGCAGAGGAGAGAGGAGTGTTTGGTGATGGAGGGGTGGGAATGTCCTGCTTCATCCTGGGATGTCTCTGGGGTGAACAATCCCTCCCCACTCCCATGGCAAAGGAGCCCAAATATCCCTGCCTGTCAGTCTCTGGCTGAGCTGCAAACTTCCCTTTAGGATTTCTCCAGCTCAAACACTGTCCTGCTTTCTCTATTTCACCTTTTTTTAGGTGGGGGATGGTACAAATGGGCTGAAACCTTACAAAATGATCATTTAAAAATGTTCTGGGGAAGCACAGCTCCCCTCACAGGCTCTTTGTGTTTGTTTCTTCCAGCTCCAGAGTAAAAACATCTTCCCTGTTGACACCATTCTTGACCTTGCCCCAGACAGCACCTATTGCTTCAAAGTGCAAGCAAACCTCCCCAGGGAGGGAAAGGAAGGCTTGTTCAGCCCCACCAGCTGTGTGAAAACCACCCAGAAAGGTACCCAGGAAATCAGTTTTACCTGCAAGTGATGGCTTCTGTTAAACTGGCACACAGCCACGTGGTCTGAAGCAGCAGGAATGGGCAGAAGGGCCAAATTCCTCCTCTTTTTGGCATAAAAAATATATATATTATACATATTTGCCCTTCTTAATCAACATAAAATATGTCAAGGGTAGAGTTTTAATAGTAGAAGAAAGTTTTTGCCATGAGGCAAACTTGGACATTAATTTGGAGCAAAAACTTCTTTGTGTGCTTTGCAAAACTCTTCTTTTTGAATCAGTGACTGAAGCAGGAGGTAAAAAAACCAAAAGCCTCTGGGATACTTGGCACTCAATGAATGCACAGAAAGTTGAGCTGGGCTTAAAAAAAATGCTGTTTTTTTTATAATCCTTGGTGAATTGATTGTTCCAGCTGCTGAAGAAAGGCAGCTCAAAGGGGGCAGTTTGCCACCTTGTTATGTAAAATTAAATTATTCTCTGTGCTCTGCAGTTGATTTAGATGTTTATTTTAGGAAAAAATAACTGCAGAAAGTCAAATATTAGATTGGACAGGGGTGGTACCTCATAATGAGTTAATGGTACATCAAAATGTAAGTAATTGATGGTAAATGAAAATTAATTTGTACACATAATACATTAATTAATACACATCTGTGTCTTTAAACATATTAAAAGAATACACATGTATTTTTTAAATATTAAAATAATATATGTGTATCTTAAAATATTACAATAACTGATACATGCAAGTTTTTATTATTTTAATAAAATATTAAGTATCTCATTCATATTTTAATAAAATATTAAAACAAAAATAAAAATGTACAATAAATACAGATGCGTATTTTATACACTTTTCTCCTCATGTTATTCCCAAACCAGTTTATTTCTGCTCCTCTCAATATTTGTATAGTTTAGTTTTGTTCTGAATTGATTTTAACTGAATTTTTAATTAAAGGCTTGATAGGATGCTTTGCACATCACAGCCTGTGACTTGCAATCTGTACAATGAATAATCTTTATGTTTTCATTATTGCCATGAGAAATGTCCATTCCCTGTCCAGAACATGAAGTTTTTGGGTAACTTTGGGTTTCTTTTTCCCCCTGAGCAGTGAACGACCCCCTGTGTGCCACCAACCTGAGTGTCCTGGCTCTGAACATGAAATTCCACCTGCTCTGGAGCAGCCAGGAAAATCAGGATGTGAGCTACAACGTGCAGTACCTGCTGTGAGTGCAGCCACTGCCACTGAAACCCCTTTCATTGTGTGCTGCAATGTTTCCTAGAGGTTAAAATGAAATATTTGCTGGCTTTGTGTGCTCATGGGAGCATGAATTCACTGCTGCTGAAAGAATTCCATGTCACACCTGGGATTTCAGGGCACTGGGCTGCTTTTGGGGGGGTTCAGCTCCTGATGGAAGGGACTCCTAAATGCTGAGGGACATTTTTAAAGCTGGGAAGCTTGAACTGCTTAGTGGCTTTTTGAATGTGAAGAAATCAGATGAGTAAAAGTGAGCAAAAATACAGGTGGTGGAGGTTTCAGTTGGCAGCAGCTTGGGTTTCTTCTGGGCAGACCCAAATAGGGGAGAAAACCCAAGGCAGCACACTGTGTCACATAAAGAAATGTGTCACATAAAGAAATGTGTCACATAAAGAAATGTGTCCCACAAAAGAAATGTTGTGTCCCATAAAAGAAATGTTGTGTCCCATAAAAAGCCCATCAAGTCTCATGAAAACCCCCTCATGTCACATGAAATAACCCTTGTATCACACCAAACCCCATCACATCACCCACAAAACCACTGTATCACATAAAGAAAACCAGATAAAAATCATATTGCACCAAAAAACAAGGAATGCCATAAAACCCCCATGATATCCCATAAAACCCCATCAAATCAATCCATAAAATCCCATTGGGAAGCAGCTCTATAAACCTGTATCTCAATCTCCAGCTGCTGCATAAATGTTGTGGCCAGCACCTAAGAGAAGAGGAGGGATCCCCTGGCATTCCTTGGGAATTCTTTGGCATGGCAGGAAAGCAATGGACTGCACAGAGCTACGTGAGAACTTCTCATTTGGATTCTCAGAACATCCCATTTCTCTGCTGAGGCTTGGCCAGAGCCCTGATTTGTGTTTTATCTTCATTGTTCCACTCAGAAATGTCTCATGTTAAAATGCTGGATTTTTTGGTTTGGTTTGGTTTTTTATTACTAGAGGCCTTTTTGCCCAAAACTGAGCAAGTGCAGCACAAACAAATGTGATTTTCTAGAGGAGTTGAGGGAGCTGACATGAAAACTCTTGACTTCTCTGTTGCAGTGGCTTCTGGAAGAAGCTCAATGATGATTACTCAGACAAGTGGCTCAGTGTCCCTGGCTGTGAGAGCACCACCAGCACCTGCTGCAACTTCTCCTCCATCATCACCCCCAATGGATTTTATTACCTGCGAGTGCAGGCCAGGGAGGGACACAACAAATCCTGCTTCTCCAGGGAAGTCAAAGTGGATCCTCTGAAAACAAGTAAGGAAATGCTTCCCTGGAGTGCTCATTGCTCAGCAAACTCCTGCCAAATGGCTTCATGAGCTGACAGGAGCCTGCAGAGGGGGTTTCACAAGAATATAGTGAAATTCATGGAAATGTTTCTCAGGAACATTTTATATATATATAAACATATAACATATATATATATATAAATATTTAACATATATATTCTGTATAAAACTGTGAAATCATACTTCTAGCTCTATGATTCTTCAAAGTTATCATGGATTTCACTGGCAGTCTTTGAAGCAATGTTTTAAGTTGGATTTTAATGATTTATTTTCTTGTTTTCAGATGGAATTGGCCCTCCTGGTGTAAGGCTGGACCTCAGTGACACTTTGCTCCACATCCTTATTTCTCCTCCAGGAGGAGATGAGGATGAAGTCATGAGGGACCATTATGACTTGTCCTACAGGATCCTGTACTGGAAGAATTCCTCAGATATGAAGGTGTGAACAAATTACATGCAATATAAAATTGATTCTGACTTAAATCCTGAGTTCCCATTCTCCCTGAGGAGCTCCTTTCCAAAAGAGGCACATTTGTGGTGTATCAGTCTTTTAAAAAGTCAATTTATTGGACTTTTTAATGAAAGGTTCTATCAAAAACCTGAGCACTGTGACTTTTATCCCCCAGTGGCTGGGATTTTTATGTAACTCTTTCAGAAATGTGATCACTGTGATTTTATCTCCCAGTGATGGGGTAAAATCTCCATTTCCATGGATGTGTCTGTGTGTGATGGGATGGAAGAAGCTCCTCAAACCCTGAAGTCCTGCATCCTTTCAGCTCGCATTTTAATGGATCTTTCCATGTTCTTTAAATACTTCTTAGGGTCAAATATTTCACAGTAATTGGTAAAAAGGGGGCAGAAGAGAAGGAAGCAAACTGCAGCAGGAAGGAGTTTCCTGGAAATTTGGGATTGTGACATTTCAGATTGGGGGAAGCACTTGGTTCTTGCCCAGGAAGTGTTTGCTGAGTTTTGTTTGGGAGTTAAGAGGGTGGTTTATTTATTTTACTGAATCTGGGTGCCCAGGGAGGTGCTGGAATTCCTGGAACTGTTCCAGAGGCACCTGGCTGTGGGACTGGGTGAGTGGGAAGTCTCCAGCCCTGCAGATTCTGGGCTTGCAGCAATGTTTGACATTTCACAGAGTCACTTCTCCAGCAGAGGCTGCAGCTCTCACCTGTTTGAGATTCCTGCCCGTGGATCTGATCCCTCCTTTTCCCTGTTGTGCTTTTGCCAGGAGGAGCTGAAGCAGAAGGAGGTGAAGCAGACCATAGCCACAGTCCCTGACGTGTCCCCCTCCACGCTCTACTGTGTCAGGGTGCAGGCCTTCTCTGAGCCCTACAACAAAAGCAGTGCCTACAGCCAGCAGCAGTGCATCCACACCCCTGCAGGTGGGCACAGCCTGGCAGCAATGCCCCTCTGCAGCTGGCATTGGTACCCTTCCCTGGGAAGTCAGCTCTCCTGCCAGCACTGCCAGCACTGGCTGGGCAGAGAGCTTCACCTCCCAGCCCTGCATCTTGGGAGGGAGCAAGGAATCTGGAAATTCCACATTTTCAGGGGTGTTTTATCCTTGAAACTGTCTTAGTCCTTCTGGGAGTGAATCTCCTGTGCTGAAGGGTGAGGAGATAAATGAGATTTGTTAGGGCTGAAAGCTCATTGTGGTGCCAGGGGAGGGTGGGGGGATTGCACTCAGAACAGAAGAGCAAATCATGGTGAAGTAATTGGCCACATAAAATGTTATTAACACTGTGAAAATTTGTGACTCTTCAATTTGTGATTCTTAAAGCCAAGAAAATGTAATAACAGCAATGCCTGGCTCACATCCAGGATTCATTTATATTGTGGTACTCACTGCTGTGCCTCTTCAAGCCAAAAAAGAACCAAATGCTACTTTTTACCTGAATAAGAGAAATATTATAATTTATTTTCCTAGGTATTCCTCTTCCCCTTATCCTGCTGTTTCAGTGAATCTCTTTAAGTCCAAGCAGTGCCATCAAGACAGACCATGCTTTGTCTTTGCCATGTTTTTATAGCCCAGAGTGAAAATCTTCCACTCTTTGATCATGAAAGAAGACCTGATTGTGTCCTTTGGGTTACTTGGGAAGTGGCTGCTGGTGCCTGTTAATCTCAGTGTCACCAAACTCCTTTCAGTTTGTTGAGATAATCATGGAAGGGTTTGGGTGGGAAGGACCTTGTGGATCATTTAATTCCCCAGGGAAAACCTTCCCCTGTGCCAGGCTGCTCCAGCCCCAGTGCCCAGCCTGGCCTTGGGCACTGCCAGGGATCCAGGGGCAGCCCCAGCTGCTCTGGGCACCCTGTGCCAGCCCTGCCCACCCTGCCAGGGAACAATTCCTCATTGCCAAGATCCCATCCATTGCTGCCCTCTGGCACTGGGAGATATACTGTGGCTTCTTTGAGCAAAATTATCTCAGACACTGGCACAGCATCACTTTTCCCTGGTGCCCATGGCTGTGGGAATGTTGTGGAGTGTTTCCATCATGTGGAAATGTTGAATTATTTGATAAATTCTGCGGCACATTTGGAGCTGTGCTTTAATTTCTGCTGGTTCTGAACACCTCGACTGAATGGTTTTTATTCCCTATTTTAGGAACACCTTTACCTCTGATCATTTTTGGCATTTTCATGGGTGCCCTGCTGGTTGTCCTGCTGGTGGCCACTCCTCTTGTTTTTGTGCTCTACCAAGCCTACAACAAGATCAAATACGTGTTCTTCCCCTCCTGCCAGCCCCCCCTGAACATCGAGGTGAGCTCTGACTTCAGTCATCACACAGCTTCTTTGTAGGAAAATGAGCTTGAAATATCATGGAAAAAAAGATGTTTGTCTGTTATGGGTCAGCAGGGCTCATTTCAGAGGTTTTAGCAGTGGTCTCCAGAGCTTGGTCCAATCTCCAGCTTGGCACAGGGGCTGCTTAGCTGGGAGCCTGTTCTGGAATGAGAGGGGCAGCACTCAAGTGTGTCTTGAAACCCCTGTACCTGCATTTTCTTTTCATTCTTGTGGCCTCCCCAGGCTCTAATCCATGAAATGTTGCAATTCTGTGGTGGCTGACAGCTGAGAACAGGAAAAGGGCTGAGGTGAAATGTTGGAGTCACCCTTGAGTGTTGGAATCTGTGAATGCAGCTGGGATCTGTCCCAGGGACCCCTGCCCACCTTCCCAGTAAAGATAAATCACATTTGTGTGACTGTGATGTTTAGCAGAATTGGTATCTAATGATTGAAATCAGTATATAATTATTATTTAATTAGTATTTAATGATTGAAGTCAGTATATAATTATTATTTAATTGGTATTTCATGATTGAAATCAGTATATAATTATTATCTAATGATTGAAATCAGTATATAATTATTATTTAATTAGTATTTCATGACTGAAATCAGTATATAATTCCTATTTCTGGCTGTCCCTCTCCTCCCCTTCTGTCCCCAGGGCTTTGGGGCACGGCCCCTCAGCAGCCCTTACCTGGCAGCTGCAGCAGAGGAGTCAGTGGAGAGCTGCTGTGTGATCGAATCCATGGTCACAGAGGAGGGAAACCAGATTTTCTTCACAGACCCCAAACCCTGCAAGCAGAGCAGTCGAGACTCAGGCAATTATTCCAACGACGACAACACCTCTGGGAGCAAAGGGTCCAAGGAAACCCTGGAAAGGGAAATGCTCTGACTTCGGGCTGAGGAAATTCCTTTGTGGGATTGTCACCTTCACAAACGCCTCAAACCTCTTGGAGAGACCTTTGGGGTCCTGAGGGGGACACTGGGACCTTTGGGGTCCAGAGGGGGACAGTGTGACCCTTGGGATCCTGAGAGGGACCTTTGGGGTCCTGAGGGGGACACAGGGACCTTTGGGATCCTCAGGGGGACACTGGGACCTTTGGGATCCTGAGGGGGACAGTGTGACCTTTGGGGTCCTCAGGGGGACACTGGGACCTTTGGGATCATGAGTGGGACAGTGTGACCTTTGGGATCCTCAGGGGGACACTGGGACCTTTGGGGTCCTGAGGGGGACACTGGGACCTTTGGGGTCCTGAGGGGGACAGTGTGACCTTTGGGATCCTGAGTGAGACACTGGGACCTTTGGGATCATGAGTGGGACAGTGTGACCTTTGGGATCCTCAGGGGGACACTGGGACCTTTGGGATCCTCAGGGGACACTGTGACCTTTGGGATTGCTGGATTTGGGTTCCCAGAGCTGCCCTTGCTGGGGAGCTCCTCTGCCCTGGCTGGGAGTGACCCCAGTGTCCCCACCCCACCCAGGGCTGTCCCCCTGCCCAGGAGCAGCTCTGGGCATTTCTCTACTTGAAGCTGTGAGCTGAGCAGAAGCTGCCTGCTCCAGCAGAGTCGTGTGGAGTTACTCCCACAGTGTTTACACAGCCAGAGGAAATCCATGCTGACACTGTGACCTTTGGGATTGCTGGATTTGGGTTCCCAGAGCTGCCCTGGCTGGGAGTGACCCCAGTGTCCCCACCCCACCCAGGGCTGTCCCCCTGCCCAGGAGCAGCTCTGGGCATTTCTCTACTTGAAGCTGTGAGCTGAGCAGAAGCTGCCTGCTCCAGCAGAGTCGTGGTTACAGTGTTTACACAGCCAGAGGAAATCCATGCTGGACACAATCCTGTGGAATTTTCACTCGCTCTTCCAGCCCCTGCTTGGCTCAGCAGGTCCAGAGCTAAAGGTGCCAAGGGAGCAAGAGGAGCAGAGTGAGGAGCCTGGGGTTCCTCAGGAGGTTCCTCACAGGGTTCTTCAGGAGATTCCTCACAAAATTCCTCACAGGGTTCCTCAGAGGATTCTTCACAGGATTCCTCAAGGGGTTCCTCAAGGATTCCACACAGGGTTCCTCAGGAGGTTCCTCACAGAATTCCTCACAGAATGCATCACAGGGTTCCTCAGGAGGTTCCTCAGGAGGTTCCTCAGGAGGTTCCTCAGGAGGTTCCTCAGGAGGTTCCTCACAGAATTCCTCACAGAATGCATCACAGGGTTCCTCAGGAGGTTCCTCAGGAGGTTCCTCAGGAGGTTCCTCAGGAGGTTCCTCAGGAGGTTCCTCAGGAGGTTCCTCAGGAGGTTCCTCACAGAATTCCTCACAGAATGCATCACAGGGTTCCTCAGGAGGTTCCTCAGGAGGTTCCTCAGGAGGTTCCTCAGGAGGTTCCTCAGGAGGTTCCTCAGGAGGTTCCTCAGGAGGTTCCTCACAGAATTCCTCACAGAATGCATCACAGGGTTCCTCAGGAGGTTCCTCAGGAGGTTCCTCAGGAGGTTCCTCAGGAGGTTCCTCAGGAGGTTCCTCAGGAGGTTCCTCAGGAGGTTCCTCACAGAATTCCTCACAGAATGCATCACAGGGTTCCTCAGGAGGTTCCTCAGGAGGTTCCTCAGGAGGTTCCTCAGGAGGTTCCTCAGGAGGTTCCTCAGGAGGTTCCTCAGGAGGTTCCTCACAGAATTGGGGGTTCCTCAAGGATTCCTCATGGGGTTCCTCATGGATGTGTCTGGGGATGTTCCCAGTGCCTGTTCCATGTCTCGCTCCCCATCCCTGGAATGTCCCAGGCCAGGTTGGACTCTGGGGCTGGGAGTAGCCTGGACCAGTGGAAGGTGTCCCTGCCATGGCAGGGTGGTTGGGATGGGCTTTAAGATCTCTCCAGACTCATTCTGGAATTGGCAGGACCCTGCTGGAATTCAGGAATGCCTTGGCACTCAGAGCTCTCCCTGCTTTGCCAGCAGACTTTTCTTTGGACAATCCATCAGGATGTGCTGCAGCAGCATTTCAGTTTCCACATTTCCATATTCCATATTTTCCATGCTGACTCCACTCTTCTGGAGCCATTTAAGTACCTTATTTTTAATGAAGAAAGTGCTTTGGAGTCAGCTGGGTTTGAGCATCCCATGGACTGCTGTTGTTGTTCTGTCTAGGAACTCTTGGTGTTTATATAACCTGTTGTTTTTTTTTAATTTTGAATATACTGCCTAATTTTATAAATTTCCTATTCCTGTGTTCATTGAAGAACATAATAAATTTTGCACATTTGCTTCTTACCCCTCTCTTGGTTCTGTTTTTGGTGTGGTGGCATGGAAGCTGCCCTGTGGAGTTCCCACGAGGAGCTGTCCTTCCTGAAAATCCCAGTGTGAAGGATACAATGGAATGTAAATGAAATTAAAATATAAATTATACAGAATGAAATTAATGGCATCATTTGGACAGAAGTTAATTCATGGGAGGGATTTCACTGCCAGATTTTAAGCAGAACTCACCCAGTGAATGTTCCTGAAAAAGGCAGGATAATTCACAGGCAAACCCCAAATGGATGCTAATGAGTGGATATTTATTGTTATTATTATTGTGTTTTGTGCTCTCAGTGTGCTTACAGAAAATCTTGTACCAGCTCTTTCCAGTGGGGCCAGAAGCAGCAAAACCAGGACAGTGAGATGGAAAAACTCCTTGATTCAATGAGTACTTAAATATCTGATATGAATATATAATAACAATTATTTTTGTGGGGTTTTTTTGTTTGTTTGGGGTTTTTTTTAATCAAATATTTAAACTGGAAAATTAAGTTCCTAAATGCCCAAGTCAGCCTCATTCTGATTTTTCAGCTGTATCCAGAAACCCTGGGAAAAGGATTTGTCCAGAATTTGACAGTTCACAGACTCTTCATCTCAGAGTATAAAGAAATTGTAATTAAATTGATTGTTCATCCCAAGGTATTTGTGAGGAACGTGGCCCTTGGGTGGTTCCCTTTTTCTTGTTCAGGATATTCCCAGCAGGATGAGCTTGGAGCTCTTTCCCAGCCTGAACAATTCTGGTTTTCTGTGATTCTCTTCCCTGAATTTGTGCTGGGAATGCTGGAATCCTTTCAGATGCCCCAGGAAAGCTGGGCTGCTCTGTGGGTGTTGGGAAGTGAAACCAGAAACATTTCATCCATGCTGGATTTGTGGGATAAATTCAATGTTGGTTTTGTGGGATAAATTCAATGTTGGATTTGTGGGATAAATTCAATGTCAAGGTGGGCTCAGTGAAACCAAAGAATTTCATCCCTGTTGGTTTTGTGGGATAAATTCGATGTCAAGGTGGGCTCAGTGAAACCAGAAACATTTCATCCATGCTGGTTTTGTGGGATAAATTCAATATCAGCTCCCAGCCTGGGGAGGGTGATGGGACAGGTTTTGTGTCCTGGGATTGAGCTTGTGAGAAACAGGACTTGCTCTTTAAAATTTTTTAAAATTTAATAAGGGATAGAAGGGACTTGTACAGCACTTCAAACCAGTTAGTTTGAAATAATTTCCTTGTATAATTTTCAGTTGCATTGGTCAAGTGCATGTTCATGAAGGTTATCCATATTCAAACATCCTTTGAATTTACACCTTCTCAACTCTTGACCCATTTCCTAAAGTGCTGCAGGTGGAATTTATCTGATTTGTGTTCTCACCAGGCCCCTCTTCTGGGTTTGACAGCTCTTGAGAACCAAAGGTCAGTGGTAAATCCTTCCTTGCATTCATGTTTATTTTCTTTGCAATGTTATTTTACACAGACAGCATTCTCCACAAGTCCATGAAATCAGCATGAGCCACTTCCCAAATTATCTGAGTTACTCTCACCAGTGTCAGAGTTACACAAATAAAAACATTTCATATCACAGTGCATGACACAGAGTCTCTGTTTGAATATTTTGCCAAAGCCTAAAGGTGGAGTTTTTTGTTAGTTGTTGTTTGTGGTTTTTTTGGTGTTTTTTTTTTGTTTTGTTTTGTTTTTTGGGTTTTTTTGGTTTTTTTTTTTTTTTTGTTTTGTTTTGTTTTTTGGGTTTTTTTGGTTTTTTTTTTTTTTTTGTTTTGTTTTGTTTTTTGGGTTTTTTTGGTTTTTTTTTTTTTTTTGTTTTGTTTTTTGTTTTGTTTTTGTTAGGGTTGGGATTAAATGTATGAGATTATATGGGATCTGGGTGTGAATCCAGGTGGGATTTGGGTGGGTAATTCCATGGGGATGGGGATGGAGAATCCCATGGGAATGCGGATAAGTCCCATAAGACTTTCTGCAGTGGTTGATTATGGATTATTTTTAATAAATTTCTAGGAATTTAAGCAAAATTAGCTGCATATTTTTTCCAACAAGGCTTACCTGAGAGGACTGATGGCCTTAGGAAATTTACTTTTCATCACAGGTGATAATTCCTGGTTTGTTTTCCCATTAAAGTAGCACTCAGCCATTAAAGCTGCCATTGTACCACAATTAACATTCCCCTAAAACCCCACATGACATTGTGGGCAGCCAAGTAAATTAGTAAATTAGTAGATTTGGCTCCTTGAAAATGTTTTGGCAAACTTGAAAAATTTGTGTTTTGATTTTACAACAGAATCCAAAAGATTTGGAGATCAGTGGAGAGCAGCAATTGGCTTCTTTTGTTTTTCCTCTTTCCTTTGCACAGAAAAGAACTGGAATACCAGGAAACCCTCATTTAACAGAGAAGGAGTCTGTGGCTGTTTTTCAGTGATGTTGAACCATCCCAGCACCACAGGAAGTGCAAAATTCCTGCATTTGATAATTACACCTCAATAAAAGCAACACATGGTGTGGTTGATGTGGCACAGAACCAAAGAAACTCAGGCTACACCATGATTTTGTCATGGAGACTCTTGGAAAACCATTTTTAACTTTAAAACTTTTTATTTAAAAAAAATAATTTGAAAAATTAAATTAGTTCTGTTGTTATTGTTATTAGTTTTCTCTTTCCTGCAGCTCCTGGGAGAAGTCCCACAGATCCCATCATGAGTACCAAATCCAGCCCAGTTGCCTTGGGGATGCTTTTTCCCTGAGCCAGCAAAACCAAAACATTTCCTCAACAAAAAAGTGGCAGTGGCAGCTCAGCTTGGCTTTAGGAGCTTTATTTCCCTGCAGTGGTGGGTTCATCTCCCCCCAGGTATTTTTTGGGAAAGGTGAGGAGTTCCTGGCACACCTGTGCTGGTACCTTGGAGCTCCAGCTGCTGACCTGGCAAGAGCAAATTAAAATCCAGATCCATTAAAGTGTCTGAAAAAGGGATTGCACTGCATCCCTGGAGCCAAAACAGAGCCAGGAAATCTCCTGCCTGGACAGCTGAACAATCTGGGGCACCTTGGCACTCTGGGGGCGTTTGGGGACACATTTAGAGCCTCCTTTAGCTTGGATTATATATGCTAAATATATACTATACTATATAGGATATACTGTACTATGTACTAGATACAGATATTATTTATGTTATATTGCATTGCACACTATATATTTGTATTATTTTTATATTTAATTATTATAATTTATATTATATATACACATAAATACATTGTTTATATTTATGTGTGTATATGTAATATAGATAATACAAATATATTGTTTATATTTACCTGCAGCATCAAGGCTGTGAATGCATAAATGGGATATAATCCCAAACTGCTCCTCACACAGCCCAGACCCCCAGCGCCAAATGGGGCTGGCACATCCCTGCAGTGCTGGGTTGGCTCTTTTCTCTGGAAAATCTCTTTTTTCCCCCTGGAAAATCTCTTTTTTTTCCCCTGGAAAATCTCTTCTTTCCTCTGGAAATTTGTTCTCTCCCCTAGGAGGTCTCTTCTATCCCCTAGAAAATATTTTCTTTCACCTGGAACATCTCTTCTTCCCCTTGAAAATCTCTTCTATCCCCTAGAAAATCTCTTCTATCCTCTAGAAAATCTTTTCTATCCCCTAGAAAATCTCTTCTTTCACCTGGAAAATCTCTTCTTTCACCTGGCAAAGCTCTTCCTTCCCCCGCCTGCCTCCCTCCCTGTGTCTGGACTTGTTTATGAAAGCAGGAGTGTTCACCTCCTCTCACTTCTGCTGAGTTCCTTCACTGAGTCACAGTGGATTCCTTTCCCCCTTTCCCAGAAAAATGCCCTTTTTTGGGTGTTGGGGTTTTCACAGGCCCCTGGGGGCTCCTGGAATCTTCCCTTCCCTTCCCTTCCCTTCCCTTCCCTTCCCTTCCCACCCCTGGCTGTCTCACAGGGCAGGTTCAGGTCACAGGCTGGAAACAATTTCTCCGTGCCAGAGTGCTGAGGCACTGGGATGAGTTTCCCGGGGTCTGCTGGAGTTCCTGGGAGTGTCCCGGAGGTGTCTGCATGTGCCCCTGGGGACAGGGCTGGGGTGACACTGGGGGTTCTCTGTCACCAGGACCAAGGTTCCTTAGGGTGTGCTCCTTCAATTCATGCTTTCCTTTCCTACCCATCACCTTGAAAACTCCTCCACCAAAAACTGATCCACGAGGGATCCTCATCCAGAGGGGAGCACGGGGCTGGAGCCAGGCTGGGAGAGCTGGGGGTGCTCCCGGGGAGAGGAGAAGCTCCAGGGAGAGCTCAGAGCCCCTGGCAGGGCCTGAAGGGGCTCCAGGAGAGCTGCAGAGGGACTGGGGACAAGGCCTGCAGGGACAGCACCCAGGGAATGGCTGCCAGTGCCAGAGGGCAGCAATGGATGGGATCTTGGCCATGAGGAATTGTTCCTGCCAGGGTGGGCAGGGCTGGCACAGGGTGCCCAGAGCAGCTGGGGCTGCCCCTGGATCCCTGGCAGTGCCCAAGGCCAGGCTGGGCACTGGGGCTGGAGCAGCCTGGCACAGGGGAAGGTGTCCCTGCCCTGGTACTGGGTGGGATTTGGGGTCCCTCCCACTCTGGGATTCCCCCTAAATGTCACCAATTGAGGAACTGACTGTCCTTGGCCACTGTGATCTTTTTGTTCCTCCAGCTGTGTCCCACCCTCAGTGTCATGCCCAGACACCCAGAACTCAGGATGAGTTTCACAGCCCAAGAGAAGCCTTTTCTCAGAAGGGCTGACCAGGCAGACAGCTCCGTTCCTGGCAGGACGGGGTGTTTGTGTCTCTCGTGAGCAGAGATCTCTGTTTTGTGTGCTCATGGAAACTGCTCTGAGCAGGCACTGCCTGACTGCACTTCCTCTGTCTCCCAGAGACTTGATTTCATCACTCATTTACTGTAAGTGAATCACCAAACCTTTTTTTTTTTTTACTTTAACACCAGTTTTTTTTACTTTTAACACCATTTTTTTTGCTTTGATCCTCACAACATGGTGAAATGCACACACAGAATGGGCCCAAAGGCTCTGGGAAAGCCTGGCCCAGCTCTGAATTCAGCAGCAAACCCAAAATCCTGCTCCAGGTCAGAACACAGAACATTCCACACAGCCCAGGCAGGGAGGAGTCGCTTTTTTCTTCCTGATCTCTTTGTGACCTCTCCCTTTTACAGACACAAACCGTGTTACCTGAGCCTGGTGAAATCACAGAACCCTGGCTGGGTTGGGCTGGAAAGGACCTGAAAAATCACCCATCGAAACTCAAATCTCTTCCCGGGTGATGGAATTTCCTTTAATCCTCTGTAGGTGAGACACAAAATCTCAAATCTCTTCCAGGGTGATGGAATTTCCTTTAACCCTCTGTAGTGAGACACCTGAAGGGACTCCAGGAGAGGGACTGGGACAAGGCTGGAGGGACAGGACACAGGGCCAGGACTGGGAATTGGACCAAAATTGAATTGGAGATGCCTCTTTACACACCTAGATAATTTCCCATCCACCTCCAGGAGTCCCCACACGAGGGTCCAGATCACCCCCAGACACCAGAGCCCCCTCAGCAGAGTGTGCAGGGGAGGGTTTGTGGCTGACCAGACCAATGTGGGTTTTCTGGAAGATTTTTTTCCTTTTCATGTCAGGGCACTATCAAACAAGTCAATTCTGTTTTTCTTCCAGGAAGGAGGTTAAAAATCCAAGCAGCAAACACCAGGAGTGGCGAGGGATGAGGTCAGAGTTTGAAGAGCTTTTGCTGCAGTAAGTCTGGAATTTGTTTAAGCTTTCTGAAGTGTAATTTGAATAGGACAGGGGATCCTTCCTGCTTTCCTTTCTTGTTTCACTTTCCTGGCCGAGTTACCTGTGGTTCTTTGCACGAACACAGGGACAACTGAGGAGCACAAGGCAGGGCTGATTTCTCTCCCAGAGCACTGTGGTCCTAAAATTGTTCACACCCTGATCACTGCCTGATGTGGAACTGCCCCTGGGTCTGGCAGTGGGTTCATTTCCCCTCTCTGCATGTGACTTTTGGGTACCTTCCTTATCTTTTCGTAGATTCAATTTTTTTTTTTTTCAGGATTTTGTGCCAGAAATTTGGCTGCAGGAAAATCACAGGATCATTCATCCCTCACTGTCTGATTTGGCATTGACTTTGCTTCCCTCTCCCTAGGCTCAAAGACAAGAAAGCCAATACACAGAATTATCCCTGGACTCCTGTAGGTTCTGCAGATTTGCTGGATTATTGATATAATTCTTTTTTTTTTACTGGATGTTGCATTAAACCCAGCTCTCTCTTCCCTCTGTCTTCATTAAATCAGTTTATTCTCCATTCTCCCCCTTCTCCTTAAGCTCCCAGTTTTAACAAATCATCCCTCATCCTGCAGTGGTGGAAACCACATCTTCCACTAACCTTTTCTCACTTTGCTCTCCCTCCTCCCAGAGAGGACTCCAGCAGAGTCATTTCTTGGCTCTGGTTTACCAGGAGGCTCCAGATAGGACAGAGCTGGGCTGAAACCAAAACCCAGCCCAAGTTCCGCCATGCCTTGGCACAGGGCAGGCAGACACGACAGGTTCTGGGATTTCTGCACTCAAACATGTCCTTTAGCAGAAGGGAGGAGGGGAACCCCGCTGCCTGAGTCACAAGTGGAGTTTCTGCAATTTCCAGTTCCTCCAGGCTTCTTTCCTCAATCACAGCCTCATTAACGAGGCACCCCTCGATCCAAGTGCCCCTGAGGGCTCTGCTTTGCTGTTCAGTGTCCCTGTTTGGAAACGCGGCGGTGTCACAGCCTGTCCCTGTCCCTGGGGCACCCGGGGGCTCCTGCCCTGCCCTGCTGTGAAATACAAAGCTGTGTTTTGTGTCAGGCACACACAGGCAGCCTGTGATTGTGACATGTGTGCAAACTGACCGTGGGACAGTTATAAAGACAATTCTAATAATAGTTGGAGGGACAATTTCCCCCACTGTACCCAGCGCTGTATGGCTCAAACTTTACTATTTACCATATTAATTAATAAATTGATTGCTGCTTGAATATTGGCCTAGCTTCTCATATATAACACTGGGGCTGGGGATTGCAGCATCCCTGGGTCAGCACAAATGCTGTGTGGGCGCTGCCGGGATGAGTGGAGAGACGAGAATTTCACTCCATGTTTCAGAAGGTTGGTTTATTGTATTATGACATACATCATATTAAAATGCTGCATTAAAATTACACTAAAAGGATAGAGAGAAAAGGATTAACCAGAAGGCTAGAAAGAACAGGAATGGAATGTAAGAACAAAGACTCCTGATGCAGCTGCATCTGTGATTGGCTTTTAATTAGAAACAAGCAACATGCACCAACCACAGCTGCACCTGTTGCATTCTATAGCAGCAGATAGTTATTGTTTACATTTCTTTCCTGAGGCTTTTCAACTCCTCAGGAGGGAGAAATCCTAGCAAAGGATTTTTCATAAAATATCAAAATAACAGTCTGGGACAGGCTCAGCCTGTTTTGATGCTCCTTTCTGGCCTTCATCCCTTCAGTCAGGGTTGAAGGCTGTTACAGGGGATCCTCACCCTGCAAACGCCCCGGGGCCAAGGGACAGGCAGGAATCTCCCCTGCATGGAGAAGGAGCTGAGCCTGCAGAGCCATTTCCACCAAACCTGAAACCAGATCACCTCCATCCACACTTTTAAACTGTCTTTAATGGGAAGTGCCACCTCCCAAACCTCCGCCGGGCCACGAGTGCTGGACAGTGCCCACAGCCCCACACCACGGCCTGCTGGCACGGCAGTACCACTGTTGGTAATGATGGTAATGATAATAATGATAACAATGATAACAATGATAATAACGATAATAATGACAATAACGATAATAACGATAATAATGATAATAATGATAGTAATGATAGTAATGTTTTCTCTCTGAAGCCTATTTCCCCTCTGAAGTGTTTAAAAGACAATATTTCGGCCGTGATCAGGAGACACACAAAACACCCCTCTGCTTCAGCTGCTTTTAACCAAAGCAGTGTTTCCAGTCACAATCTGCTCTCGCTGGCATCAGATGGAGCTGTGTGTCACTGTCACCAGGGGCTGTAAGTGTGTAGTGTCACCAGGGGCTATTGGTGTGCAGTCAGTGTCACCAGGGGTGTAGGTGTGCATTCAGTGTCACCAGGGCTATACGTGTGGTCAGTGTCACCAGGGGCTGTAGTTTTGTGTCACTGTCACCAGGGCTATACGTGTGGTCACTGTCACCAGGGGCTGCTGCCGTGCCCAGCGCAGCCGGAGAAACCCGGGGCGAGCTGTCTTCACATCAACCACAGGGACAGCGACAGGAAAAGGGACAGGGGCCGTGGAAGGGACAAGAACAGCGATAGGGAATGGATAAGGATGGGGAGGGAGGAGGGGGCAGGAAGGAACAGGGGCAGGTACTCGGACAGGAGAAGGGGAAGAGACAAGGGCAGGGGCAGGAGAAGGGTCAGGAAGGGCCAGGGACGGCGGCACAGCGCGGCCCTCCCGGCTCACCCCGGAGCCGCGGGGCCCTCGGGCGGGGCCGGGCCGGGCTCGGCCCGGGTGCTCCCGCCCGCCGCTGTGGCGCAGCCCGGGCCGGGCCGCAGGCCGAGGTGTGCGGCTGTGGGCACCGTCCGGAGCTCGTGGCCCGGCGGAGGTTTGGGAGGCGGCACTTCCCATTAAAGGCTGCTTAAAAGTGTGAATGGAGGCGGTTCGGGTTTAGGTTTGGTGGAAATGGCTCTGCAGGCTCCAGCTCTGTACTCCCGGCTCCAGGCGTGTCCCAGGGCTGGAGCCCCTCTGGAGCCAGGCTGGCAGAGCTGGGGGGGCTCCCCTGGAGAGGAGAAGCTCCAGGAGAGCTCAGAGCCCCTGGCAGGGCCTGAAGGGGCTCCAGGAGAGCTGCAGAGGGACTGGGGACAAGGCCTGCAGGGACAGCACCCAGGGAATGGCTGCCAGTGCCATTTGGGCTCGGGTTTGGTGGAAATGGCTCTGCAGGCTCCTGCTCTGTACTCCCGGCTCCAGGTGTGTCCCAGGGCTGGAGCCCCTCTGGAGCCAGGCTGGGAGAGCTGGGGGGGCTCACCTGGAGAGGAGAAGCTCCAGGCAGAGCTCAGAGCCCCGGGCAGGGCCTGAAGGGGCTCCCAGCTCTGTACTCCCGGCTCCAGGCGTGTCCCAGGGCTGGAGCCCCTCTGGAGCCAGGCTGGCAGAGCTGGGGGGGCTCCCCTGGAGAGGAGAAGCTCCAGGAGAGCTCAGAGCCCCTGGCAGGGCCTGAAGGGGCTCCAGGAGAGCTGCAGAGGGACTGGGGACAAGGCCTGCAGGGACAGCACCCAGGGAATGGCTGCCAGTGCCAGAGGGCAGCAATGGATGGGATCTTGGCAATGAGGAATTGTTCCCTGGCAGGGTGGGCAGGGCTGGCACAGGGTGCCCAGAGCAGCTGGGGCTGCCCCTGGATCCCTGGCAGTGCCCAAGGCCAGGCTGGGCACTGGGGCTGGAGCAGCCTGGCACAGGGGAAGGTGTCCCTGCCATGGCAGGGCTGGGATAATGTTTAAGGTCCATCCCAACCAAAACCAGTCCACGATGGAGCGAGCTGTGTGCAGAATGTGGTGCTCGCTCTGGCACTCGGGCTCCCTGTGAGTTCAGCAGGTCCCATGTCCCCGTGGTGGCCACAGCCTGGCTGACCAGCCTGACCCTGCTGAGCCCTGTGGGGCTCTCGGGCGGCTCCAGACTCACTGGCTGGGCTGAGGCAAAGCAGGGCAGAGCCTCCTGCAGTAGCATTGTTCAGCTACATCTCATCAGCAGCCAAGGGACTTCCCAGGCAGCTCTGGGAATCCCAGAATCCCAAAATAGGTTGGATCAAGAAGGACCTTGTAGCTGGTCTCATTCCTCCCCCTGCCATGGATAGGAATCTTGCACTATCCCTGAGAAGCCACTTTGGAGCACTGGAACAGCAAAAGTCCCCACAAAATCCCCCAGAGCCCAGATTCCTGTTTTGCCAGAATGATTTTTGGGGCTGATGCAGAGGAAGGGACTGGGAATCCCTGAGGAGCAGCAGGAGCTGGGACACGGGTGGGTCCCCCAGCCAAGCTGCTTTCACTGGCTGTGATTGTGGCTTCACACTCTGCTGTGTGAAAGTTCTGACTCGTGGTTTGAAATACCCGACTGCTCTGCACAGCAGGAAAAAACAGTCTGAGCCTCCTTAGGCTGCTGCTCTGAAAGAGCCAGCCCAGTGCAAACCCCTGCCAGGAAGGATGGGAGCTCTCTGTCCTCCCCTGGCTGAAGGAGTTTGGGGTTTTGGGGGTGCTGTGTTTGAAGTGTTCCTGTTGTTATACAAACTGGAGGTGAGTAGGAAGTCGAGTGTGTGATTTCAGTCCCTGCCCTGTGAGGGAGGGCTCTGACAGAAATTCAGATTTCCCTCGGTGCTGAGGCAGCAGCTCCTCAGCCTCGTGGCAGCCCTCAGAGGGCTGATGAGCCCTGGGGTGTTCTTGGTGAGCTCTGCAGTGTCTTTCATAATCTCTGCAGTGTTTTTGGTGAGCTCTGCGATGTTTTTTGGGGCTGGGAGGGGAAGTGACTCATTTTTGAATGCAAGATAAACAGTGTGCAGCCGAGGGATCCCAGACTGGGCTGGAGGGACCCCAAATCCCACCCTGCCAAGGCAGGGACACCTTCCCCTGTGCCAGGCTGCTCCAGCCCCAGTGCCCAGCCTGGCCTTGGGCACTGCAGGGATCCAGGGGCAGCCCCAGCTGCTCTGGGCACCCTGTGCCAGCCCTGCCCACCCTGCCAGGAACAATTCCTCATTGCCATCTCCCCCTGTCCTTCACTGCTCTTGCTTTGCTTGTCAGGTGTGGTGGGAGTTGGTGCCGGTGGTGTTTGGTTCTCAGAGCTTCCTGGGATTCTGTGGAGGGGTGTGTGACACAGGGCTGAGGGCACAGATGGTGTGAGATACCTCACCACGTGCCAGACCAGCAGAGAGTTCAAGAAATGATCCGTGGGACTGGAAAGTTAAAAATTCTCACCAGTTTAGAGACGGCTCCCTGGGGGCCTTCCAGACACCTGGCAGGTGAATGGTTTGGGAAGCTGGGAGGAATCTCCCACAGGTTTGCAAAGCTGAACCAGCCACGCGTGGCCTGAGGCACTGTGTGTCTTCTGAGAGCTGGGGCTGAGCAATTATTGACAGGCCTGTCAGAAATTATTGACAGGCCTGTGAGCAATTATTGACAGGCCTGATTAAAGCTTTGAGAGAAACTCTGCCTGGCTTGGCGTGGGAGGGACATTTAGGGTCACCCTGTTCCACCCCCTGCCATGGCCAGGGATACCTCCCACTGTCTCAGGTTGCTCCAGCCTGGCCTTGGATGCTTCCAGGAATGGGGCAGCCACAGCTTTTCTTGGAAACCTGGAGCTCAACTCATTATTTGGTATTTTGGACTTAGGGTTTAGCGCTACTTGGTGTAGAAATCAAAAAACCACAAACTTTTTACTGTGAGCCCACATTTCCAAGGAAGCCCGGGCCACAATTTGACTCACATGCTTGGTCTTCTGACCTCGTAGATGTAAAAATGAACTGCCTGTGTCTTAGGAGACTCTGTTCTTCACAGTTACAAATTCCCTGCTGTGATGTGGGATATTTTGTCATGGCTCTTTGTCAGGCTGGGTGGTGGGAGCTGTCCCTGCCCGTGGCAGGGGTGGCACTGGGTGATCTCTCAAGTCCCTTCCAGCCCCCACCATTCCCTGGTTCTGTGACTCTCATGGAATGAGGGGTCACTCCAGAGAAGCACACTGGGTGCAGAAGGAAAACCTTTCTCCCTGCTGGTCCCTGCAGGCTCCAGGGGACATCCCTGGCCCTGGAGCCTCGCAGTGTCCTGCAGAGGTTTTGGTCCTGCTGTTCCTGCCTGCCTCCAGCTGCTCCCTCCTCCTCAGCCCTTCCTCCTCTCTCCCTCCCCCATTTCCCTCCTCTGTGCCTGGGGCCTGCCTCTGTCCCTTTTTGGCCATGTTTTTGGCAGCTCCTCCTCCCCGTCCTGGGCTGTCAGTCTGTCCTTTTCCTGTCCTTCCCTGTGGTTTGTCCCTCCTGGCAGGAGCTGGAGGCTGATGGTGGTTGCAAACCCCTGGGTTTGGGGCCCTCCCCACCCACGGAGCTCCTGCCATTTCCTGCCTGTGAAATCACCTCCCAAGCCAACCGGAGGCTCTTCAGGGCCACCACGTCTTCCTGAAGGGTTTTTTTTTATTTTTCCAGCTGCCTCCTGGAAGGTTTCACTGGAATGATCTCAGGGTCAGCAGGAGGCAGATGGGGGGAAAAAGAGAGGAGAAGCTCCAGGAGAGCTCAGAGCCCCTGGCAGGGCCTGAAGGGGCTCCAGGAGAGCTGCAGAGGGACTGGGGACAAGGATGGAGGGACAGCACCCAGGGAATGGCTGCCAGTGCCAGTGCCAGAGGGCAGCAATGGATGGGATCTTGGCAATGAGGAATTGTTCCCTGGCAGGGTGGGCAGGGCTGGCACAGGGTGCCCACCTGGGTTGTGCTGGGAGGCAAATGTGAGGTGCAGATAGAACAGATCAGCTGCTGTGATCAGCACTGGGCAGAGGAGGGGCTGGAATACCTTGGAAGGGATGGAAAACCTTCCAGAAAAAAAAAAAAGAATGTGCTGTGAAGAGAAGAAAGGGGCTCAGCCTGGAGAAAAGGAGGCTCAGGGGGGACCTCACTGCTCTGCACAGCTCCTGACAGGAGGGACAGGGAAAGGAGGAGAGGAAATGGCCTCAAATGGCACCAGGGGAGGCTCAGGTTGGAGACTGGGACAGAAAATTTCCCTGGCAGAGTGGTCAGAGAATGTGCTGTGAAGAGAAGAAAGGGGCTCAGCCTGGAGAAAAGGAGGCTCAGGGGGGACCTCACTGCTCTGCACAGCTCCTGACAGGAGGGACAGGGAAAGGAGGAGAGGAAATGGCCTCAAATTGCATGAGGGGACGTTCAGATCAGAAATTAGAAGCAAATTTTCCCTGGCAGAGTGGTGAGGCCTTGGGCTGAGCTGCCCAGGCAGGTTTGGAGTCACTGGAATTGTCCCAGAGGAGTCTGGATGTGGCTTTGGGGACAGGGTTTGGGGTGGTGCTGGTGGGGCTGGGTGATCCTGGAGGGCTCCTCCAGCCCTGGTGATTCTGGGATTCTGGGACCTTCATTTATGGCTTCATGGGGGTTTGTGGTTTTGTGCTGGGCTTGGTACTTTCAGCTTTATGTTCTTTATGGAATGAATAAAAAGCAGGGAGTTGGAATTCATGGATACACAGAATTCATGGATACACAGGGCCTGCCCACCTGAACGTGCCAGAGCCCCTGAAAGTCCCACCAAGTGGGATTTTTGCCAGGGCCTGCCCACCTGAACGTGCCAGAGCCCCTGAAAACAGAAGGAGAAGGAGGGGAAATGGTTTTACCTGCAAAGCAAGGAAAATGTAACACATGGGGATGGAGTTTGGAGACCAAAATTTGGTTACTGGAATGTTTCAATAATTTTTTTATTCCTCTTCTTCCTTTAGAAACTTCTCCCCCCTTACCAGCCCCTGAAAATGTGGAGGTTTATTCCTACAACTTCCAGAGTTTGCTGAGGTGGTCTCCTGTTCCAGTGGAGAATGGCTCAGTGTTGTACACAGCCCAGTACAGAACGTGAGTAAATAGTGAATTAAACCAACTCGTTTTGTTCTAATCCAGGATAACAACTGATTTTAAAACCCCCAGAAACGCTGAAAATGAATAAGCACAAAATGAAAGGACGTTTTTTATCACAGATGTGTTCATGTTTCTCCAAGAGCAGCTCCTGGTGAGTGACAGGCCCTTGGGCCATGACGTGTCCTCTGAGCTGAGGAGACATCAAAGCCCTGAGGACACCCAGAAATGCTGCACACAATTTTAGCCTTTCCTGCTTCTCTCTGGCCAATTTAAATTTCCCCAGATCCCCAGGGGCTGGGTGTGTGCCCTGGCAGGGTTTGTTTAACCCATGTGAAGCCAGAGCTGTGTGACACATTCTTATCTCACCAGAACTGGCTGGCAGGGGGTGTGCTGTTCCAGGTGGCTGCACTGCCCTGCTCTTGGTTTATTGTTGTGTTGGTTTGAAAGCCAGGTGTTTGCTAAGGAAGGCAGGAGACTCCCTTGAAATGGAAAATGTAAATCGCTTCCCCTCCGAATTATTACAATTTTGAAATTAAGGAGCTCTCAGGCAAAGATATGGGAATAGAAATAACAGTTCTTTATCAGGAAAAATAAAATAAAAAGCAGGAATACAAAGCAGCACTGGCAGAATTAGAGCAGGAGCTGCCCCTGTGTGTCAGGGTGGTGGCACAGCCCCATCCCATGGGGGCTCAGCCCTCCTGCAGTGCCAGCTGTGCTTCTGCTGGAGCAGGGATCCTGCACAAGGGGGGAGTTTTCCTCTGCAGCTCCAGGGCTGCTGGAGATGGGCCTGGTGTTCCTGTGGGAATGCAGGGCAGGAGAAAGCTGCTCCTGTGGGAATGCAGGGGGCAGAGGCTGCTGTGCTGTCCCAGGCTCAGATTGTATCCAGGTAGGAATGCTTGGCTCCTGCCCTGGGCGGAGCATTTCCCCACGGGATGCTGGAATTTTCTCAGCCATGCAGGGACAACACTCAGTGGCCATGAACAGAAGATATTTCCCCAAAGTTGTGAGGGATGGGTTGTGGAAGAGATAAAGAAAACTGCCCCACCTGGTTGTAACAGCTGGCCCTTTATCAGAGGATGTCCCCTGGAGTTATGAGGGATATCTCTAACTTCAGCTGCCAGTTCAACAATTTGAGGAGAACCTTGAGTGTTTGGATGTCTGATTCCCATGCTTTAGTTGTTTGGTCATGCCATGTTATTGCTGATTTGTGTGTTTTCCCAGAGCCATCAGTAAATGTTACAGCATTTAAAGGCACTGCACTTAACATGGGTTTTCCTCTGAAGCTCAGTTTTGCTTGCTACAGCCTGGAAAGTGAATGAAGAGCAAACACCTGAGAAGTTCAGTAATGCAATTTGCAAATCCTCTGATTTTTGCCATGCAAATCAAAACATCCCTTTTTCAAGGGCGGAGCTCTGGTCATTCTGTGAGCTCTGTGAAAACCCTTCCAGAGGCAAACACGGACCCTGTTCCCAGACCTCCCTGTGGCTCACCGTGTAACCCCTCACACCGGGGACAGAGCCCAGCCTTGCCCTGCAGCTGAGGGAAGCTCTCTGCTGTGCCCTGCAGAAGGTCCTACGACACCTGGAGCGGGCTGGGCTGCGCGCAGAGCCCCCGGACGTGGTGCAGCTTCCCCCCCGAGCTGCGGCGGCGGCGCTGGACCGTGCTGCTGCGCGTGCGGGCCGAGCTGGGCACACGGGCCTCGCCCTGGGCGCTCACGCCGCCCTTCGTGGCACAGAGCAACAGTGAGTGCTGCCCACTGCCTCCCCTGGGCTCCCCGGGGCGGTCTGCCGGGGCTGGGTGCCTCGGGGAGCGGGGCAGGCTGGGGACGTGGGAGGAATAAGGGGGATGCTTGTTGAAGGGTCTTTTGGGCGTTGGCAGGGGGAGTGACTCAGTTCTAAATGTAACATAAATAGTGTGTGGCCATGGGATGCCAGGCTGGGCTGGAGGGACCTTAAAACCCACCCAGAGCCAGCCCTGCCATGGCAGGGACACCTTCCCCTGTGCCAGGCTGCTCCAGTGTCCAGCCTGGCCTGGGGCACTGCCAGGGATCCAGGGGCAGCCCCAGCCACAGTCGTGGCTTCAAGATGGAATCAAACAGGGCTCGGTCATGAGATCTCCCATTTTATAAGTTTTAGTCCATTTGCATACAGTTAACTGTCCAATTAATAGCTTCAAATGATGAAGTTTCATCCTCCTTGCTCGCTTGCCCACCCTCCTGTTTTCACGGTGTTTGTGCTTTGGGCTTGGAGTTGGAAGAGATTGTCCTTGAGTCTCCAGCTGGAATAGGATAGTTTTGTCTTCCCCACCCTGTGAAAAGATCCCAGTAACACCTAACATAGAGCTAAAGCTGCACACCAAAACAGAACAGAGAAACTTAAAGGTATCAAGAGGATTGAGCTGTTACTGTCCACAAAGGCTCCGAGGCCTCCCCAGGGTCTGGTTCTGCTCTGCTCCCTCAGCTGTCACCAGAGAATCCCCTGAGCCTCCTGGGGTGCCTGAGCCTTCAAAGAGCCCCAGGGTTCTTTAGCTGGAGGATTTTCCATGTACTCATTTCCTTACTTAGCTCTGCCCACACACACACCACAAACTCTCTGAGGCTAAATCATCTCTTTCTGCTGGACAGATCCCTTTTCTGATAAACAAAAAGTGTCCTGATAAATAGAAATTTTCTAAAGTGTCCTGATAAATAGAAATTGTTGTGATAAATGTAATCTGTCCTGATAAGTATAAATGGTTCAGATAAATACAAATTGTTCAGAGAAATATGAATTGTTTACACTACAGTGTAGAAGTGTGAAGGCCACACTTTAAATCACAAAAGGCTTGGGTTGGAAGGGACCCCAAATCCCACCAGTGCCAGCCCTGCCATGCAGGGACACCTTCCCCTGTGCCAGGCTGCTCCAGCCCCAGTGCCCAGCCTGGCCTTGGGCACTGCCAGGGATCCAGGGCAGCCCCAGCCCCTCTGTGTGAGCAGGTTTGGTGCTGCTGCTCTAAGATCTGCTCTTTGCCTTGCTGGGCTTGGTTTGAGGGTTAGGAAAATGTCAATGTTCAGGTTAAAAAGCACCTTTGAAATGGGACCTAGCAGGGAAGGGATTTCTGGGCTCTCCAGTCCCCGATGTCCCAGACCTGCTGAGGGGCAGTCACAGTCCAGGCTTCAGAGCCTGATCCTTGCCCTGGCTCTAAATCTGGATTTTCTCTGGCAGCAGAGTGAGGAAATGCCTGAATCCTGCAGGGAACAATGAGAAATCCCCAGGCTGTGGGGCAGGACTGGGAGTGGGATCCTCAGGAGGCTGGGACAGCGCTGAGCTGATGGGAGTGTGGGACAAAGCACAGGGGGGAGAGGAGGAACATTCTGGGTCATTCTTGTGTCACTGCCCCGCAGATCAGTTCCCAAAAACCAAATCCATGGCTCCTCCCTCAGTGCCTGGATCAGAGTCACTGGATTTGAGGCACAGTGAGGAGCTGGTGCATGCAAGGAGTGATTTTTGCTGTTAATGAGAACTGCTGACAGCATTCTGTTGGTATTTTCATGATTTACACCTTGGAGCACTTCACAAAAGCAGGTCACCATGCTTATCCTGGTGGACACATGGAGACATCAAAGCAAGGAGAGGAAAACTCATTACTGCTCTTTCCATCTATGGCCCAAACAGTGGGGTTTTGGGGAGCACGGAAGGTGTGGCAGGCTGAGCAAAGGAAAAGAAAATGATTTTATGGCCAGTCACTGCACATAAACTGAGACACTTCAGAGCATCAACTGTTGGTTAATAGTCACTGAATTTCCAGGAAAAGTTAAGGAAATTTTGTAAATGCATAAAGTAGGTGAGGAGATGCTTGCCTTTACCTGAGCAAGAGCTATTTGGGGTGTTTGCTGAGAGTGTCCAGGGCAGGGAACGGAGCTGGGAAGGGGCTGGAGAATTGCTGAGGAGCTGGGAAGGGGCTGGAGAATTGCTGAGGAGCTGGGAAGGGGCTGAGCTGTGCCCCCCAGGGTTTCCCTGCTCTCTGTGTTTGTTTCCAGCCACTCTGGGCCCCCCCAGGGTGAACAATGTCAGTGCCAGCCCCGACTCTCTGCTCATCAGTGTCAGCCCCCTCTTCCCCCCCGAGCCTGGGGACCTCCTCCAGTACCTCGTGTCCTACTGGGAGAACAGCACCAGTGCCACAGAAAAAGTAAGAATTCTCTCAAATTTCTTCTTGGTGCCTGGGGGCTGAGGGCTGGGAGTCAGTGTCCCTTGGCAGGACAGCAGTGGGGGCAGAAAATCAGTTTATTTTGTGTCCAGCAAGGGTCACCACGGGGGCTGTGGGGAAAAGGGCTCTGGCCTGGGCTCAAGGATTGCTGCACTCCCAAACTTGGGAACTTCCTTCCTCTGGAATTAAACCCCTCTGCACGTGCGGGGACAGGACTGCTGCCAAAGGTGGATCCCACGTTTTCCCAGGCACTTTGGGAAGCTCTGGGAAGTCCCTTCTGCTTTGCTGAGCTGGGAGCTGCAGGAGCAGCTGCTGGGCCTGGTGTGCCTGAGCCCAGGGCAGGGAGAGGAGGAGATGGGGTGAGCTGGGATCATCCCTGTTCATCCTGAGGCTCAGAGCTTTGGGATCATCCTCTGCTCCTGCTGCTGCCTGGGAATTGTGTTTGGACACCCAGAGGTGCAGGGGAGGTGTTAAGTCAGGCTTAAAAAAAAAAGAGGAAGCTTCAAATGACATCAATCTGAAGTCAGACATCTGAAAAACAGAAGTAAAAAAAAAATTATTTACAGCCTCCTTCTGCCTCAAGGTCCTTGGTAAATCACCTCCACTTCCTTCCTGCCTGCAGCCCTGTGTGTTTTTCTCACACACACAACACCTTCAGCTGAGAGCCAGGACAGGAGTCAGAGTGGTTTCCTTTTCCCCTCCGTTTCTCTGTGTTTTGCTCCTGCAGGAGCTGATGCAGAAGCTGCATCAAAACTCCCAGAAAAACTGAAATATTCCATTGCTTCTGTTGTTTGGGAAAGCTGAGCGAGGAAAAATAAAATTTGGGTTTCTTGAATGAGAAATTTAAATGGGGGAGGGATATTTGTGTTGGAAACCGGTCTGGTTTTTACAGTAACACCTTTCTTGTTGTGTGTGTCTTTCCAACAGAAGCTAAGTGAAAGCAAGACACTATTCCAGCTTGGAAACCTGAAGGAGTCAACACTTTATTGCTTCAGCATTCGCGTGCGGTTGAAGGTCTACTCAGGTCACCTGCTGGAAGGGCAGCCAAGTGTGCCCGAGTGCCACAGGACTGCCCTCAGTGGTATGGCCTGGGAGCGTGGCCTGGGAGCACTGGGGGGGTGGGACACCAGTCCTGCTTCACCTGCACTGTCCCTGCCACCCCGGAGTGCTGGGGCACCTCGGGGGTTCACACTTGGCATTGGTGAGAAAGGAATCAGGAATTCAGGGTCTGTGTGGTGCCTTGTCCTTGTCCTTCCTGATCCTGCTGTGAAATGGGATAAAGGAGTTGATGACAGCCTGGGAGAGCTGGGGGGGCTCCCCTGGAGAGGAGAAGCTCCAGGAGAGCTCAGAGCCCCTGGCAGGGCCTGAAGGGGCTCCAGGAGAGCTGCAGAGGGACTGGGGACAAGGCCTGCAGGGACAGCACCCAGGGAATGGCTGCCAGTGCCAGAGGGCAGCAATGGATGGGATCTTGGCAATGAGGAATTGTTCCCTGGCAGGGTGGGCAGGGCTGGCACAGGGTGCCCAGAGCAGCTGGGGCTGCCCCTGGATCCCTGGCAGTGCCCAAGGCCAGGCTGGACACTGGGGCTGGAGCAGCCTGGCACAGGGGAAGGTGTCCCTGCCATGGCAGGGAGGCTCTGGGTGGGATTTGGGGTCCCTCCATCCCAGCCCATTCCATGATTCCACAGATGTGGACCTGGCACACACATTTGATTTTCTCCCTTCTGTTGCAGAGGCCACCCGAGCTGGGTTCATCGTCCCCCTGTCTGTCCTGGCCTTGGTGCTTGTGAACCTGGTGGTGGCTGCTCTGCTGTGCCTGTGGAAAAAACACCAACAAATCAAATTCTGGGCTCAGCCCCCTCTGCAAATCCCATCCCACTTCGAGGAGGTACGTGGGGGCTGTGGAGTTTCTCCTGCAGACCAGAAACCCGGGGGAACATCCCAGAGAGCAGCAGCAGGGATGAGCAGGTGGTGGCTCACACTGTGCCCCTGCTGCCCCTGCTCTGCCCCTGCTGCCTGAGCCTGCCGGCCTTCCTGGCAGCCCAGCCTGCTCCTCCTTCTCTGCCACTGCTCCTGGCACTGCTTTTATTGCTTTGGCACTCTTTTTTTCTCACTATTTTTATTTTTTGTCACTATTTTTGGGTTTTTGTCACTATTTTTTGGTCACTATTTTTATTTCCTTGTCACTCTTTTTTTGCCACTGTTTTTATTTCTTTGTCACTATTTTTATTTCTCTGTCACTATTTTTCTTTGTCACTTTTTTGTCACTATTTTTATTTCTTTGTCGCTATTTTTATTTCTTTGTCATTATTTTTTTGTCACTATTTTTATTTCTTTGGTCACTATCACTTTGTCACTAATTTTTTTTCTTTGTCACTGTCACTTTGTCACTATTTTTATTTGTCACTATTTTTTGGTGACTTTTTATTTCTGTGTCACTATTTTTATTTCTTGGTCACTATTTCTTTGTCACTATTTTTATTTCTTTGTCACTATTTTGTGTCACTGTTTTTATTTTTTTCTCACATTTTTGGGTTTTTGTCACTATTTTTGGTCACTATTTTTATTTCTTTGTCACTACTTTTTTGTTACTATTTTTATTTCTTTGTCACTATTTTTGGTTTTTTGTCACTATTTTTGTCACTATTTTTTGTCACTACTTTTATTTCTTTGTCACTATTTTTTTGCAACTATTTTTTGTCACTGTCTTCATTACTTTATCACTATTTTTTTGGTCACTATTTTTATTTCCTTGTCACTATTTTTATTTCTTTGTCACTCTTTTTTTCATTATTTTTATATCCTGGTCACTATTTTTATTTCTTTGTCACTATTTCTTTGTCACTATTTTTTTCTTTGCCACTGTTTTTATTTCTTTGTCACATTTTTGTCACTATTTTTATTTCTTTGTCACTTTTTTGTCACAATTTTTTTGGTCACTGTTTTTATTTCTTTGACACTATTTTTGTCACTATTTTCATTTCTTTGTCACTATTTTTGTCACTATTTTATTTCTTTGTCACTATTTCATTTCTTTGTCACTATTTTTGTCACTACTTTATTTCTTTGTCACTATTTCATTTCCTTGTCACTATTTTTCTTTTTCTTTGTCACTATTTTTGTTCCTTTATCACTATTTTTTCACAATTTTTTGTCACTATTTTTATTTTTTGTCACTATTTTTGTCACTCCTTTATTTCTTTGTCACTATTTCATCTCTTTGTCACTGTTTTTGTCACTCCTTTCATTCCTTTCTCACCTTTCTGCCAGCCCCTGCCTGGGGCTGGGGCTCAGGGCACAGAACTTTTGTGACCCAAGAGCTGCAGCAGCTCTGCCAAGCAAACCCAGCTTGTTTTAAACTGATTTCAAACACAAACATTTTTATTTTTGTGATTGCTTTGAGGCCTCAGGACGTAAAAAAAAAATTCCCTGTAATTATATTAAAATACTAAAAACTCCTTGTGCAGGGTATTGAAATAATGAAAAAACCCATTGTACAATGATTTAGTTTAAAAATCCCTGTAATTATATTAAAATACTAAAAATCCTTGTGCAGGGTATTAAAGGAATGAAAAAAAATCCTTGTACAATTATATTAAAATACTCTAATTATATTAAAATACTACAAAATCCTTGTGCAGGGTATTAAAGGAATGAAAAAAAATCCTTGTACAATAATTAAAATAGTAAAAAAACCCCAAAGCCCTGTAATTATATTGAAATAATAAAAAAATCCTTCTGCAGGCTGTTAAAGGAATGAAAAAAATCATTCTGCAATGATTAAAATAATTTTAAAAATCCCTGTAATTATGTTAAAATACTAAAAAATCCTTGTGCAGGGTATGAAAAGCATGAAAAAATCATTCTGCAATGATTAAAATAATTTTAAAAATCCCTGTAATTATGTTAAAATACTAAAAAATCCTTGTGCAGGGTATGAAAAGCATGAAAAAATCATTCTGCAATGATTAAAATAGTTTAAAAAATCCGAATAATGATATTAAAACAGTAAAATATCCTTGTACAGGGTATTAAAATAGTAAAAAAAAATTATTGTACAGAGTATTAAAACAGTAAAAAAATTGTGGTCCTTGTAGAGGGTATTAAAATAGTTTAAAAATAATTGTTCAGGGTTTTAAAGTAATGTAAAAAATAACTGCACAGAGTCTTGTTAATAATAAAAAGAAATTGTGCTGGAGGGTGAATTTCCCAGATTAATGAGCAGCAAAAGTGGATCCCCTGCACAGCTGGGCTGGCATGGGGCAGGACAGGGAAAAAGGGAACTGGCAGAGGGTTTGAAATGTGAATTAATAAAGGGATCAGCCTGGGATGGGGCAGGACAGAGGGGAAAGAAGGAAAAGAAGGGAATAGTAAAGTGTTCAAAATGTGGATTTCTAAAAGGGACCAGCCTGGCATGGGACAGGACAGAGGGGAAAGAAGGAAAAGAAGGGAACTGGCAGAGTGTAAAAAATGTAGATTTCTAAAAGGGACCAGGCTGGGATGGGGCAGGACAGAGGGGAAAAAGGGAACTGGGAAAGGAGTTAAAATGTGGATTTCTAAAAGGGACCAGCCTGGCATGGGACAGGACAGAGGGGAAAGAAGGAAAAGAATGGAACTGGCAGAATTTAAAATGTGAATTAATAAAGGGATCAGCTTGGCAGGGGACAGGACACTGAGAGGGAAAGAAGGGAAATGGCAGAGGGTTTAAAATGTGAATTCATAAAGGGATCAGGCTGGCATGGGGCAGGACAGAGGGGAAAGAAGGAAAAGAAGGGAACTGGCAGTGATGACTGCCAGCCTTGATTTGCTCTGTGCCCTGGGAAGGCTGTTTGCTTTTGGAGGGAGGGGAGCAGGGGCACTGCTGGTGACAGGAGAAGCTGCAGCTCCCCTGGCCCTGACCCGAGCAGCCCTGGGTCCCACCTGCTGCATTCCTGCAGCTCAGCAGCTCCCAGCTGCAAGGCTGTTCCTACCTCAAAGGGATTTCAGCTGACATGGAAAGATTGGCTAAGATTTATTAAAAAAAAACCAAAAAAAACAAACAAAAAAACAAACAGCCAATGAGGAGCTGCAGCTGCTTTAACTCACTTGAAGGGATATTGGAGGGATAATTTATTTCTTTTCCCCACAGAAACAAGGTTTGGTTTTTTGTTTTTTTTAACCTTTTCCTTGTTTAGCTTTAGGGAAGCCCAGGATGGGATATCCAGGTAGCAGCTCCTGCTGCGGGTTCTGGGCTGGGGCACTTTGTTGGCTCTGGGATTTCTGACAGGACCTGACCTGGTGTTTGTGGTTTTTTCCAGTTCCTGAGGAACCCTGGCTCGGCTGGCTTGGAGGAGCTGTACCTTCCTGCTGAGGAGGAGCCCCAGGCTCTTGTGCTTGGAGCAGGGAGTGGCCAGGAGGGAGAGGATCCTTCCCCCAACACCTCCAGGGACAGGGCAGCCACTGAAGGGCCACCCCAGTGAGTGCCACCTGCCCCAGGCTGGCCAGAGGCTGCTCTGTGGTGTGGCTGCTGGATCACAGCAACATCCTGAACGTGGATCCTGGCATCACAGCAACATCCTGAACGTGGATCCTGGCATCACAGGAACATCCCTGGGATCACAGCAACATCCTGAACGTGGATCCTGGCATCACAGGACCATCCTGAACGTGGATCCTGGGATCATAGAAACATCCCTGGGATCACAGGAACATCCTGAACGTGGATCCTGGCATCACAGGAACATCCCTGGGATCACAGCCCCAGTGAGTGCCACCTGCCCCAGGCTGGCCAGAGGCTGCTCCGTGGTGTGGCTGCTGGATCACAGCAACATCCTGAACGTGGATCCTGGGATCACAGCAACATCCCTGGGATCACAGCAACATCCTGAACGTGGATCCTGGCATCACAGGAACATCCCTGGGATCACAGGCACATCCTGAACGTGGATCCTGGGATCACAGGACCATCCCTGGGATCACAGTAACATCCTGAACGTGGATCCTGGCATCACAGCAACATCCTGAACGTGGATCCTGGCATCACAGGAACATCCCTGGGATCACAGGAACGTCCTGAACGTGGATCCTGGGATCATAGAAACATCCCTGGGATCACAGGACCATCCTAAACATGGATCCTGGGATCACAGGAACATCCCAGGGACCACAGGACCATCCTGAATGTGGATCCTGGGATCACAGGACCATCCCAGGGACCACAGGACCATCCCAGGGACCACAGGACCATCCTCAACGTGGATCCTGGGATCACAGGACAATCCCAGGGACCACAGGACCATCGCAGGGATCACAGGACCATCCTAAACATGGATCCTGGGATCACAGGACCATCCCAGGGACCACAGGACCATCCCTGGGATCACAGGACCATCCTAAACATGGATCCTGGGATCACAGGAACATCCCAGGGACCACAGGACCCATCCTGAACGTGGATCCTGGCATCACAGCAACATCCTGAACGTGGATCCTGGCATCACAGGAACATCCCTGGGATCACAGGAACGTCCTGAACGTGGATCCTGGGATCATAGAAACATCCCTGGGATCACAGGACCATCCCAGGGATCACAGGAACATCCCTGGGATCACAGGACCATCCCAGGGACCACAGGAACATCCCAGGGATCACAGGAACATCCTGAATATGGATCCTGGGATCACAGAAACATCCCCTGGGATCATAGAAACATCCCAGGGATCACAGGACCATCCTAAACATGGATCCTGGGATCACAGAAACATCCCAGGGACCACAGGACCATCCCAGGGACCACAGGACCATCCTAAACATGGATCCTGGGATCACAGAAACATCCCCTGGGATCATAGAAACATCCCAGGGATCACAGGACCATCCTCAACGTGGATCCTGGGACCACAGGACCATCCCAGCGACCACAGGACCATCCCAGGGACCACAGGACCATCCTGAACACAGCCCCTGCTGCTCCAGGGGCCTCTGCCCAGCTCCCTGCTCTGCCAAAAGCACGGGGAAGGTGGAAGGGGAAGGAAAGGAACACTAAACTGCCTGAAGACAGGTGGATAAAAAGGAAAATTCCCACCCCAGCTTGGAGGAATAACTGCACTTTATTGATGTGGGAGAACCTGGGCTTTTTCAGGGAGCTGCAATGTGAATTCCATTTATTCTGCTTTGGTTTCTGTTGGCAATAACACTCCCAATCTGCTTGCCTGAGTCATCTGAAGTGCAGGACAAACTGAAAAGGAACTTTTGGGTACTTTCCTCGGGGTGAAGCTGTGCCAAGAGCCCCTCCCAGAGAGGTTTGCTCTTATCTGCCCCTGCCCCCTCCTGGAAGCATTAATCTGCTGCTGCAGCCAGGCCAGCCCTGCACCCACAAGGACCTGCAGGGAATTCTCTCCCAGTTTTCCCAACGTTTGTCACTCACTGTCACACACTAAAACCTCTGCTGAGCACCAGCACAAGAGAAGCTGACTGAGAGTTGTGGTTTTAGTGCCTTAAAGCAGAAGAGCTCAAGTTGAACCCCACGTCACCCCCTGTGGGGTCTGGAGTGGCCAGTAAAGCACAAAGGACAATGAACCTCTTCTGTACTAAAAAAAAATGGGGTTATTTGATTTTTTTCCCTAGGTTTGATACAAATTGTTTAAAAAAATGTGGGATTTTTGAAGGTGCCTGGTTGGAGGCCCCTGGCAGAGCTGAGGTGCCACTGTTCCAGCCTTTCCAGGAACAGCCCAGGCCAGCAATGCCAGAAGCTCCATCAGGTGTTCCCTGGCAGAACAGATCTAATCCCTTGGGACTGCACAGGCTGCTGCCAAGGGAGCTCCAGGAAAACCTGACTCCTGGAGGAATTGCCAGCTCAGCAGCAGGTCTGCTTTAACCACCCACACTGGGGCTGGGAACACAGGGGGAAGCACAGCTCCCAAAAAGAAATAAAGTTAAAACCCCCTGGGAATGTGTGTGTGTGTATTCCTGAATAAACCCTGCACTGGACTGGGCTCAGGGAGTGTGGTGGTAAATATTTTCACACAAACTATTAAAAAGCATTTCCTGGGAGTTACTCCAGGGTTGTGTCACTCTCCCTGGAGCTTCTCCTCCCCAGGTGAGCACCCCCAGCTCTCCCAGCCTGGCTTGCAGTTCAAGTTCCAAGTCCAGGCACAAGCTCCTGGCACTGGGAGGAGTTCCAGGGATCAGTTCCAGGCCATGCTCCTTCCTGACTTCCCAAAAAACCCTGCAAACATTCCCAAGCTCCTGGGCAAGAAACCTGACAGGGCTGGAGCAAAGCCTGCCTTCACTGTGTGGTGCAGGCCCTGTGCAAAGGTGAGTTCCTGTACAGAATTCAGAGTTTTGAGCTCCTGGGTTCAGTTTTATTCTGGAATTCCAGGCACTGAGCACCCGTAGGATGGGGTTACCCCAGCCAGGGCAGGAGGGCAGCTCCAAACTGGCCCCAGCTCCTGCCCCTGCAGCAATTCCCACCCAGAGCAGGAGGCAAACAATTCCCAGATCCCAGCACAGCATTTCCACTCAGCTCCTGCCACCACTGAGGCAGCAGCTTGGAGATGGGGGAGCTGTAAAATGATGTAAAAACCCCAGAGAACTCGTGAGGACTCACCCCAGCAAAGGGATCCAAGGGACACTCCAGGGATATCAAACAGCCTCAGCCTCACTTCCTGTTTCACTCCACTGAGATGAAACTGGATTTCAAGAATTCATTCATGGAAACAGCCACCAAATGTAAGAGAGAAATACATTTTAACTGGGGCAATAGCAGCCCTTAAACTGGGTGTGAGTCACTCCTAGAATTTATTGAAATTTGAAATTATGACAAGGTTGGACTGTGAGCAATAAATCCATCCATACCCCACTTCCTTTTAAGCAGAGAGGGAACAGGTCAGGAAAACTCATTTATCAGCAAGCAGCTTCCCCTGGAGACAGTGACACTTGCATGAGTAGCAAGACATTGCTCTGACTTTATTCTCTGTATCAAGTACAACTGGCATCAGTTTGTTGGAGTTTTTTTTATTCTAATATCAGGAAATACATTAAATACCAACTGGTATCTCTTACACTGAGCAGCATGAAATTAATTCCAAGGACTGTGGTGCCAGCAAATGTCCTTTGTGCCAGAGCCATCACAAGTCAGGAATACTTTGCTTTGCCATGCACAACCTGCTGAGTGTAGGGACTTGCTTAAAAACCCAAAACCTTTTACCAAAAGAAGAAGAAAAAAAAATCTACTTTATTTTTTACCTGAACAATAATATAAAATGTTTAAAATCAGCTCTGATCCCAGCAGGGCCCCTGCTGTGGGATGGGCTCTGTCCTGTTTGCTCACTAACTGCTCACGGAAGCCTCGGGCACGGGTGGAGCTGTGCAGGAGGAAGCTGAGGGAAGGCAGGGATCTGCAGGAGAAATTTGGAGCTGGAGCTGGAGCAGGAAAGCCTGGCAGCCTGCCCTTCCCTTGGAAATGACAGATCCTGTCCTGTCTGGGACATATTCCCACGTGTGTCCTGGCACAGGAGGAGCTTCGGACAGAGCCTGGAATCGTCTCAGTCCCACCAGGCTGGGAAGCAAACCAAGGACAAAGGACTGGGAATTATCTACAGACAAGAACCACGGGGCAGCTGTGCAGCTGTGCAGCAGGGAGCTCAGCCCCACAGCTCTTCTGTTCTCCCAAACTTGTAGATCAGGGTGCTGAGGGGACAAAAAGAGAAGAAATAAAAATCAGACAACGCACAGGATAATTTTAGCAGTATCCTGAAATCTCACCCTGTGCAAGTGAACAGCCCTGAACTTTCAATTTTAGCAGTATCCTTAAATCTCATCCTCTGCAAATCAACAGCCCTGAACTTTCAATTTTAACAGTATCCTTAAATCTCATCCTCTGCAAATCAACAGCCCTGAACTTGCAGTCAGAGCAGGATTTGGGTTTGGTGTTTATATTTGGTTTCCTGTGCAGGGCTGGAACTGTGGGAGCCAGCTGAAGCCCAAACAGAAGAACACCCACTTGCAGAGCCCTTGTGAAGGAAATGCCTGGGATTATGAAATTCAAGGAGTCCAGAGCAGCAAGCCTCACTCTGCTGCCTGGGAATCAGCTCAGCCTGACAGGATGTGCTGGGATAAAACCTAAACAATTCCATTTTCATGAACAAATCAGAAAGAATATTAAGCCTGTGGCAGAGAATTTGGTGTTTATATTTGGTTTCCTGTGCATGGCTGGAACTGTGGGAGCCAGCTGAAGCCCAAACAGAAGAACACCCACTTGCAGAGCCCTTGTGAAGGAAATGCCTGGGATTATGAAATTCAAGGAGTCCAGAGCAGCAAGCCTCACTCTGCTGCCTGGGAATCAGCTCAGCCTGACAGGATGTGCTGGGATAAAACCTAAACAATTCCATTTTCATGAACAAATCAGAAAGAATATTAAGCCTGTGGCAGAGAATCAGATCCAAAATGCCACATTGTGGCTGCCCCATGCCTGGCAGTGTCCCAGGACAGGGTTTGGAGCCACCTGGGATGGGGGAAGGTGTCCCTGCCCAGGTGGGACTGGATGGGATTTAAGGTTTCTTTCAACCCAAACTTTCTGGGATTCTAAATAAGACTAAAAACTTCAGGCACAAAATCTGCCTTCAGCAGCTTCCCTTCTCAGTCCCAGAGGGGATTTAGGAGCTGCTGTTTCCTGCAGGGATGTCCCTCATTTCCCAGAGCCCATCCATCCAGTCACTGCAGAGCATCTGGTGTGGGGCTGGAAGGAAAAGGAGCAGCCAGGAATTGAAAAAAAGAAAGGTGAGATGAGACTTTCAGTGACTCATCTTGGAACTGACACTGTTTAACACCTCCACTGCCTTTTGTTTATAAAATCTGTGGATTGCAAAATGCATTCCACAGCTCCAAGGAGTTATTAGAGACTCCAAACTGATTTTCAACTGCTACATGATAGATTTAATAATATTATTTGAAATAAATCCAGAGTGCTGTTACAATACACACCAAAAAGGAATCCTCACTCTTTATAACTGTGAAAGGAAATACAGGGAATATCAAGTACCAGAGACCTGAGCCATTGGTGTGAAACAGTCTGGAAAAGGGGAATGGAATCCCCAGCTGGCTCTGCTGGGAGGGGAGCCAAGGGATTGTGGGACAGAGGTGAGGGATTGCCATTTTCCAGAGACACTGGCAGTCCAGGAAACTCTGTGCATCCCTGGCCACACACATTCCAGAGCTGCACATCCAGGGAGCAGAGACAGCTGGAACAACAGCAGGGAGCAAAGAGCCTGGGCAGGGGCAAATCAGACCTTGTTCCTCAGCTCTGCAGCAAAGGGAGCAGAAAACAGAGCTGCTTTTCCAGGAGGATCAATGTATGGAAGCAGGAAAGTCCCTTTGGAAAGAGGGGGATTTGCCCAGGTAACTTACCTGAAAAATATTAATGCATTCTGGAAAAACACTGCTAATCCAGGGTACACATTAGTGTCTGCAGAGGAGAACAGAGGAAACACTCAGTGCTTTAGTCCTGGCAGGTGGGTTTAACAGGACATCCCAGCTACTGGGAGCTGGGTTTAACAGGACATTGCAGCTACTGGGAGCTGGGTTTAACAGGACATTCCAGCTACTGGGAGCTGGGTTTAGGAGAATATTCCAGTAAGTGGAAGCTGGGTTTAACAGATATTCCAGTTACTGGGAGCTGGGTTTAACAGGACATTCCAGCTACTGGGAGCTGGGTTTAACAGGATATTCCAGTAACTGGGAGCTGGGTTTAACAGGATATTCCAGTTACTGGGAGCTGGGTTTAGGAGTTGAGTTTAACAGGACATCCCAGCTACTGGGAGCTGGGTTTAACAGGACATTCCAGTTGCTGGGAGCTGAGTTTAAAATATTCCAGTTGCTGGGAGCTGGGTTTAACAGGATATTCCAGTTACTGGGAGCTGGGTTTAAGAGGTTTTCCAGTTACTGGGAGCTGGGTTTAACAGGATATTCCAGTAACTGGGAGCTGGGTTTAAAATATTCCAGTTACTGGGAGCTGGGTTTAAAATATTCCAGTTACTGGGAGCTGGGTTTAAAATATTCCAGTTACTGGGAGCTGGGTTTAACAGGATATTTCAGTTACTGGGAGCTGGGTTTAACAGGATATTCCAGCTACTGAGAACTAGATTTGACAGGATATTCCAGTAATTGGGAGCTGGGTTTAACAGATATTCTAGCTACTGGGAGCTGGGTTTAACAGGATATCCCAGTTACTGGGAGCTGGGTTTTGGAGAATATTCCAGCTACAGGGAGCTGGGTTTTACAGGATATTCCAGTTACAGGGAGCTGGGTTTAACAGGATATTCCAGTTACAGGGAGCTGGGTTTAACAGGATATCCCAGTTACAGGGAGCTGGGTTTAACAGGACAGTCCAGTGTCAATCTCAGACTAAAACCTGCACACTGTGGCTCAGATTTTCCAGAGACCACAGGCTCCCATCCCTGTGGATTTCCTGCCAAAGCTGGCAAGAGAAGCCTACACTTTCCTAGAGGAGGCAGGGGGCAGACTTACTCTGTGTGACATATGCTCCAAAGAGAATCCACATGGAAGCAATGAGGGAGCCAAACATCAACATGAAGCCGATGAAGAGCCAGATCCGAGCCCCTGCAGGGAGAGTGAAAAGTGGAGTTTTATCCACAGGGAAAGGCAATCCAGCTGCTCCTCTGGGAGCATGGAACACATGACCTCACTAAAGGCACAGATGGGAAGGGTTAACCCCAAGGATCAAGGACAAAATCCACCTGCTCATCACTGGGAAGGAAAGATATTGCTGTGCTAAGGCTCTCTGGAGCTGGAACATGAATGAGACACAAAAAAGCTCCACAGGCCACTTCAAATGGCAGCAAATCCCTCCAAATTTACAAATCCATGGACAAGGCTGCTGGGATCCATGTGGGAAATGGAAAGGGAATTATGAATGGAAGCAGAGGGGACAGCAGGTCCAGGGACACCCACAGCAGTGCCACAGGGGAAATGGAAATGTTTGGGACACATCCCTAGGGAATGGCTGCTCCAGAGCCACCCCCAGGCAGGAACTGATTTCTCCCAGCAGCTCTCCAGGATTTGCAGGGACAGTTTAGGAAGCCAAGACATCCAGAAGCTGAATTTCACCAAGTTTCCTTTTTAACAAAGCCAGCACTTATCTCCAAAGGTTAATTCTGTAAAGAAACTAATTCACAGAAGTTCTCTCCTACTCCTGATCTCCTGATTATTTTTTTCACCACCACTTGGAAAAAACCCCAGCAGGTAAATATTCAGTCCTTCAGCTGAGCAGGATTTGTAGAGTTAATTTACCTGTTCTTCCTAAGCATCCATCACTGTAGCTGTCTCCTCTCACCTGTGCATTTGATACAGCATTTATCCTGGGGGCAAAAAAAGGAGATACACTTCAGATCACAGAAAATTAATTTAGACTTCTAAATAAAACCCCAGCTTTTTTTTTTAAGATGTGACAAATTCTGGGAAAATTCCCTGGCATTCTGTGTAGTCACAAATCCCAAGTCATCCCTTTTTCTTGCCAATATTGCATGACTCAATAAAAGCTGTTAATTTTATTTACATCTCCACGACAAAAGCCAGGCTATTGTTACCCCTCCTGTTTGAGGAAGCTCTGGGCAAGGAACAGCTGTAAAAATTGTAAAACCAGAGGGAAATGCAGTCAATTGTTTCATTTTAAGGTAAGTATTGCATTCTCCACCTCTGGCAGTGCCCAAGGCCAGGCTGAGCAGGGCTTGGAGCAGCCTGGCACAGGGGAAGGTGTCCCTGCCATGGCAGGGTGGCACTGGGTGGGATTTGGGGCCCCTCCCACCCCAAAGCACTCCCTGATTCTCTGATCTACCCATGCTGGGCACAGTGTCAGTAAAGGCTGCTGGTTTCTGGTGGCTGTGTGACGAGCCCCTGTGCCCACACTCACATGAAGAAGGCCAGAGTGGAGAAGACCCCGCAGGTGTGGAAGGCGTGGTTCAGCTGCTCCGGCTTGGGATACACCACAGCAGCATCAATCATGATCCACCAGCCTGTGAAAAACTGGGCACAGACACAGGGGTGAGCCTGGGGGGCACAGGAGCCAGGGGCCCAGCCAGGGGTCTGCACAGCACGGCCTCAGCTGGCCTCTAACAAGCACCAGTTCTTCTGGACAGTGATTTAAACGTGTTTGATGGGCAAGCCCTGCACAAATCCCAATGCTCTTGTTTGCAGGGGAGTGTTTGGGAATCAGCCCCATTTTCTGTTCACATGAAGGAGTGGGGTATGGATAAATTTATGCCCAGAGCAGCTGTGGCTGCCCCTGGATCCCTGGCAGTGCCCAAGGCAGGTTGGACACTGGGGCTGGAGCAGCCTGGCACAGGGGAAGGTGTCCCTGCCCATGGATGGGCTTTCAGGTCCCTCCCAACCCAAACCATTCTGGGATTTTATGAAATTCCCTGTGCAATTTTTCTGAAATTCCTTGTTCCATGTTCCCTTTAAGAACAAGAATCCAGACTCTAAGCACACATGAGATGGACATGGTGCAGAACAGAGCAGCTCTAACAGATCCAATTCTGCAGAAATCCACGAGGAATTTCCTTTCAAGAAGAGACAGCAGAAATGGCTCATGACCAGCAACATCACAGGCCTTGTGACAACCCCACAGTGACCCCGGGAGGAACAGGCTGGGTTGGGCCAAGTTAAGAGGGAGAAGTGGCAGAGGCTGAGGCACGAGTGTGACAGTCTGTGGCTCACCAGCACCCCGGCCACGATGGAGGCGACGGCGTTGCGGCGCTCGCTCCAGTCGATGCACTCGCACTCCGGCCAGCGGAAATTGTCCAGGAACCCTGCCATGGCCTCAGCTCACAGCCCTGGGCACGGCCCACTGTGCCCTGGGCACGGCCCACAGTGGCCTGGGAATGGCCCAGAGTCCTGGGCACAGCCCACAGTGGCCTGGGAACGGCGCAGTGCCCCGGGCACGGCTCAGGCTGCCCCGCTGTCCCAGCGCTCTGTCCCCGACTCTTCCATCAACAGCTGCTCCTGAGTGCCTGAAACACAGCCAGGGGTGAGCTAGGATTGGTGCCTTCAGACTGGGCTTTGTACTTTCCAGATTCTGCACTGCCTTAGTGCCTGACTCTGAACTCCAGATAAAGTGTCAGCAGTTCTCCTCACACTCAGGCACACACAACAATCCTTTTCCTCACACTCAGGCACACACAACAATCCTTTTCCAGCCCAGAACCAAGGACACTGCTGCAGCTTCAGCCCCAGAAAGTGTAAAAACAGTGAACTGAGGAGAGCAAACTGTGAGGATGGGACTGCACAGCCTGGGGGTGTAATTGTAATTAACCCCAGTATGGAAATGGACAAAACTTATAAAAGTGTGAGAAATCCTGACCCACTGTCCACCTTGGGTGGAGCCACAGCCTGTTATTTTCTGGGGTCCCCTAACAAAGGAAGGAAAATGATGAATCTGACTCCATGTTCTTAGAAGGCTAATATCATATAATATCATAAAATTATAAATTAAAGAATGCTATACTAAAGAACAGAGAAAGGATACAGACAGAAGGCTGAAGGACACGAATGAAAAACCCATGGCTCTCCTCCAGAGCCTCAGCACAGCTGGCTGTACTTGGCCAGAAAGTAAAAACAATTCACATGTAACCAATGAAACATGGACTTGTTGGTAAACAATGTCCAAACTACACCCCAAAGTAGCAAAACACAGGAGAAGCAAAGCAGATAATATTGTTTTCATTTTTCTCTGAGGTTTCTCAGCTTCCCAGGAGAAGAATCCTGGGCAAAGAGATTTTCCAGAAAATATGATGGTGACAACAGCCAGGCTCTTGTGCTGCCCAAGGTGCATCCTTTAAAGGCCTTTTAATAAATCCCTGCTTTATTCTTTAACTCTGCCCAGCCCCTGTTCCTCTCAAGTATCAATCAGGAACATCTCGAGATGTTGCACAACTCTCATGAGTTACAGTCTGGGGTTTTTTACAGAATTCAGGTTTTTATACAGAACCTTCCAGTGGAATTTGCCCCACCCATGGCAGGAGAGGGAAGGAGATTGTTTCCAAGCCATCCCAACCCAAACCATTCCATGATAAACTCTACTGATGCTGGATTGAGCTGTATTCACAAAACAACCTCCCTTACACAGAACTACAAAAGAAAATCACCACACAACCCCACAGCTTAGGGCAGAACTTGGTCCTTAAGTCATGTAGGACTCTCAAGTAAACTCTAATATTTCCAATCTAACAGATAATATGATTTAGTGCCTTTTTAACACAGAGAAAAAGAGGCCAGCTCAGCAAATCAAACCCTGATTCTGAGGGCAAAGAAGGTCTTGCTGCACAGAGAAAAGATCACAGGGAGCCTTAAATATGGGAAGAGGAAAGCAAAGTTAATTAACTGACTCACAATGGCTCTCAGCACCATTCTAATTTGGTTTAGTACTGTCAACTTCTGCATTTCCCAACCTGCCATAATTCATTTCCAGCCATTTGGGACAAAACTTATAAAAGTGTGAGAGCTCCTGACCCATTGTGCACCTTGGGTGGAGCCACAGCCTGTTATTTTCTGGGGTCCCCTAACAAAGGAAGGAAAATGATGAATCTGACTCCATGTTCTTAGAAGGCTAATATCATATAATATAATATCATAAAATTATAAATGAAAGAATGCTATGCTAAAGAACAGAGAAAGGATACAGACAGAAGGCTGAAGGACACGAATGAAAAACCCATGGCTCTCCTCCAGAGCCTCAGCACAGCTGGCTGTACTTGGCCAGAAAGTAAAAACAATTCACATGTAACCAATGAAACATGGACTTGTTGGTAAACAATGTCCAAACTACACCCCAAAGTAGCAAAACACAGGAGAAGCAAAGCAGATAATATTGTTTTCATTTTTCTCTGAGGTTTCTCAGCTTCCCAGGAGAAGAATCCTGGGCAAAGAGATTTTCCAGAAAATATGATGGTGACAACAGCCAGGCTCTTGTGCTGCCCAAGGTGCATCCTTTAAAGGCCTTTTAATAAATCCCTGCTTTATTCTTTAACTCTGCCCAGCCCCTGTTCCTCTCAAGTATCAATCAGGAACATCTCGAGATGTTGCACAACTCTCATGAGTTACAGTCTGGGGTTTTTTACAGAATTCAGGTTTTTATACAGAACCTTCCAGTGGAATTTGCCCCACCCATGGCAGGAGAGGGAAGGAGATTGTTTCCAAGCCATCCCAACCCAAACCATTCCATGATAAACTCTACTGATGCTGGATTGAGCTGTATTCACAAAACAACCTCCCTTACACAGAACTACAAAAGAAAATCACCACACAACCCCACAGCTTAGGGCAGAACTTGGTCCTTAAGTCATGTAGGACTCTCAAGTAAACTCTAATATTTCCAATCTAACAGATAATATGATTTAGTGCCTTTTTAACACAGAGAAAAAGAGGCCAGCTCAGCAAATCAAACCCTGATTCTGAGGGCAAAGAAGGTCTTGCTGCACAGAGAAAAGATCACAGGGAGCCTTAAATATGGGAAGAGGAAAGCAAAGTTAATTAACTGACTCACAATGGCTCTCAGCACCATTCTAATTTGGTTTAGTACTGTCAACTTCTGCATTTCCCAACCTGCCATAATTCATTTCCAGCCATTTGGTAAAGACTAACAAAAATGTCCTTCACAAGTGTGTGACAGCACAGACTGCTGGAGAGCATTTCCAGGTTAATAACAGCAGTGAGAAGAAGTGGAATAAAAATCAATCAATGAACAGTTTGTCTATGCTACAAACACAGGTCACCTCCTGGAACACGATCCAAAAGTTTGTCCTCCAGAACACTCACACTTGTGATGCCACTTCAAATTCCAAAGTTATTTTAATTTGTGCAGCATCTGGGCTCAGCCATCTGCTTATTCTCCTCAGGAATTCTCCTCTCACCTTTCCCTGGCAGTGGTCAGATCCCTGCTCATGCCACAGCTTTCACAGGGAATCGCTGTGCTGCTACAGAATTCCAGGATGAGCAGGGTGGGAAAAGCCCTTTGAGATCATCCAGTCCCAGCCAGCACCACCCCTGAGCTGTGTCCCCAGGGGCCACATCCACACACCTGCAGGGGACACTGCAGGGATGGGCACTGCCAAGCTCCCTGGGCAGCCCCTGCCAAGGCCTGAGCACCCTTTCCATGGGCAAATTCCTGCTGCTGGCCCAGCTGAGCCTGCCCTGGCCCAGCCTGAGGCCGTTCCCTCTGCTCCTGTCCCTGTTCCCTGGCAGCAGAGCCCGACCCCCCCGGCTGTGCCCTCCTGCCAGGGACTTGTGCAGAGCCACAAGGGCCCCTGAGCCTCCTTTGCTCAAGCCTCAGCCCCTTCCCAGCTACTCAGCAATTCTCCCGCCCCTTCCCAGCTCCTCAGCAATTCTCCAGCCCCTTCCCAGCTCCTCAGCAATTCTCCAGCCCCTTCCCAGCTCCCTCAGCTGAATTACAACTGCTCCTGAAGCCCTTCCTCATTTTCCACTCTTAAACGGTTCCATTTTCTTTGTTCCTCTGTCCCTCTCCTGCAGCAATTCCTGTTTCCCCTCCCAGCTCCTCAGCCACCCACACTGGAACTCTCACAGTTCCTGCTGCTGCCCCGCTGTGGATGGTTCCATTTTCTTTGTTCCTCTGCTGAGCTGTGGCTGTCCCTCTCCTGCAGCAATTCCTGTTTCCCCTCCCAGCTCCTCAGCCACCCACACTGGAACTCTCACAGCTCCTGCTGCTGCCCCACTGTGGAGCTGAGGGGCCTTGCCTGGGAGTGGCTGCAGGGAAACAGGGAATTATGGATTGGATTGGGTTGGGAGGGACCTCAAATCCCACCCACTACCAGGGCAGGGACACCTTCCCCTGTGCCAGGCTGCTCCAGCCCCAGTGTCCAGCCTGGCCTTGGGCACTGCCAGGGATCCAGGGGCAGCCCCAGCTGCTCTGGCACAGGGACAGCACAAAAGGGGTGGGCAACTCCTCAAAATGTGTTCAAGAAACCCAGCTAAAGCATCCTGGATTTAATATGGCAGAGAAAAGGAGTGCATTGATACAGGGAGAGGAGAAATCCTCCCAGGGGACCTCAGCAGAACATCCCTGTGGGATAAAAGGGCCACAAGGGAACAGTGGACAGGACAGTCAGAGCAAAAGTAGGAAAGGGATTGGGATTGTGCCCCACAGGTGAGAGCCCACCTGAGAGCTGCCCCAGCCCTGGCCCAGCCCAGGAGGAGCTGGAGCTGCTGCAGAGAGCCCAGAGGAGGCTTCCCAAACTTTCCACGATCCATAATTCTCCATCATTCCTCAGGAAAGAGGCAGAACACAACAAACTGCATTTAAAATCCCAGCCCCACAGCACAAGAGCCAGGCTGGGGTTGGTCCCAGGAGGATCAGCAGGGACACAGGGACAGCTGCCAGCCCAGGCCCTCCTGCACACACCCCTGGGGGAGCTGGAAATTCCCACCTGGATCAAGGTGCAGGACTCACTCTGCTCGGAACCCTCCCACCCACACAGCTGCCAGGCAGGAAGCAGGTAAAGCCCTTGGAATTCCTGCCCTTCACTGCCCTTCCCAGCCTCAGCCTCCTCCCCTCTCCAAGGGCAGGCAGGAGCATTCCTCACCCTGTCCAGCAAACACAAACATCTGCAGCCACAAACTGCAGACTCTGGAGCTGTAAAACCAGCCCTGAGAGCAAACCCACTGCCCTGTCAGGCAGACAGAAAACACAACAGCAGCTCAACATTTTCACCTGAAAATCAGCTTTTCTCTCCCCACATGAGCTGATTTCACCTGGACAAAATACTGAAAGCAGTTGCAAGGAAATACAAGAAGCCTGCAGGAAGAAAAATGCCTTAATGTGGAATGTCATTGGGTTAGTGAAGAGCAGAACTGCCTGTTTGCAAAGAGGAGAAAAGACAGGAGGAGAAAGGGAAAAAACGGCATGGAGAATATTCAAGTTTTCCTTGAAGAAGATGCACCTGCCACAAGCAGTTCATCAGAACATCCTTCAGCACACACATTTCCCCACATGCACAGAGGATGAAAAGCACATCAGGGGCTGGTTTATGTGAACGTTTCTGTAATAGCCCACTTTTTCCCACTTATTTCAGTAATTTCCAGCAGTTTCAGTTCTCCCTATTCCACAGCCTGGGCTCTGCTGTCTAACTTTCAAGTATCACAGGAAGACAAGAGCAAAGAAAGGAAGTTTTAAATTATAAAAAAAAAAAAAAACAACCAAAACCAAAAAAAACCACCAAAAAAAACCCAAACAAACAAACAAAAACAAACAACCAACCAAAAAAAAAACCCACCAAGGCTGCGTGGCAAGCTCATTAAAAAGTGATGTTATATTTCCATTTCTTACAGAGCCCCCGGATCCCTGGCAGTGCCAAGGCCAGGCTGGACACCAGGAGCAGCCTGGCACAGAGGAAAGTGTCCCTGCCATGGCACGGGGTGGCACTGGGTGCCATTTGAGGTCCTTCCAAGCCAAGCCAACCCATTCCACGATGTATCCCTTGACAGCAAGGCGCTGCCCAGCCCCAAGGCTGCCTGAGGAGAGCAGGAGTGAGGGAATTAGCTGGATTCCCAATGCTCCGAGGCCGGGCTCGCCCCGAGCCGTGCCTGCCGCGGCACCGGGCGTGACGGCGAGCCCCGAGCCCCGCGGATACGCCGTTCTTTACACGGAACAAGGCGCTTCTCCTTCAGCCTTCCCACAGAACCCACGGCGCGCCCTCAGGGCCGGCGATCCGCCACGCACCGCGCCGGAGTCCCAGGGGGGCGGCCCGGGGGGCCCTCCCGGCCCGGGGCCCGCTCTCTCTCCCTCTCCCCATCCCTTTCCTTGTCCTTGTCCCTGTCCTGTTCCTGTTCCTGTTCCCGTTCCCGGTCCCGGTCCCGGTCCCGGTCCCGGGGCCCCGGCCCGGCGCGGCCGCACGTACCCGCTCCGGGGCGAGACGCTTCCGCCTGAGGGCACCGAGCGCCCTGACTGACGCGCCCTCTGCCCAATCACAACCCAGCGCTGCGCGTCAGCCGAAGGCCGGGTGAGGACGGAGCGGTGCGATTGGTCAATGAGAAGGCTCAAGCTCCGCCCCTTTCCGCTCGGGCGGGGCGGGAAGAGGCGGTGCCAGCGCGCTGCCGCCTTTCCCCGCAGGCCCCGCCCACTCCCGCTATGGCCGCCCCTCAGGGTCCCCTCACGGCCCGTCACGGCCCCTCAGGGCCCCCTCACGGCCCGTCACGGCCCCTCAGGACCCCTCACGCCCCCTCATGACCCCTCACAGCCTCACGGACCCCTCAGGGCCCCTCACGGCCTCTCAGGGTCCCCTCACGGGCCCTTCAAGGCCCCTCACGACCCCTCACGGACTCCTCACGGCCCCTCAGGGCTCCTCACGGACCCCTCCTGGCCCCCTCACGACCCCTCGGGGCCCCTCACGGCACCTGAGGGCCCAGAGCCGCCCCACACAGCCCCTCACGGCCCCTTCAGGGTCCCTCGCAGTCCCTCACGATCCCCTCCCGGCCCCTCAGGGTCCCCTCACGGCCCCTCACGACCCCTCAGGGCTGTGAATGGCCCCCAGCCTCTTCCGCTGCCCCACGGAACAGCACAGTGTGAAAAATGTGTATTTTATGATTGGCTTTTCGCAAGTATTAAAATAAATATTGTATTATGCTAGAAAGCTACGCTGTATTAATTTTCTTAAGTAGTGTGTTAAAGATAGATTTAGGTTATAACATAATGTTAAAATAGAAACTATGCTGTGCAAGATATTTGTTTAAGAAGGGACTCGCACCAGACAGAAGCCACAGGACACCTAAATCTTTCAGAGAATTTATTGCTCCCTTAATCAGCAGAAAACTAACTTCTTCCCACCTTGCTACCCCTCACGCCCCCTCATGACCCCTCACAGCCTCACGGACCCCTCAGGGCCCCTCACGGCCTCTCAGGGTCCCCTCACGGGCCCTTCAAGGCCCCTCACGACCCCTCACGGACTCCTCACGGCCCCTCAGGGCTCCTCACGGACCCCTCCTGGCCCCCTCACGACCCCTCGGGGCCCCTCACGGCACCTGAGGGCCCAGAGCCGCCCCACACAGCCCCTCACGGCCCCTTCAGGGTCCCTCGCAGTCCCTCACGATCCCCTCCCGGCCCCTCAGGGTCCCCTCACGGCCCCTCACGACCCCTCAGGGCTGTGAAGCTGGCGTTTTTCACAACAGTGTTGTCATTCCCATGCTGGAATGGATAAAGTTCACCCCTACATGCTCTCAAACCCCAGTCTGGTGTCTGGTTTAATGAAACTAAGTGGAACTAATAAAAATGTGGATAAATTCTAATTCACAGGATCAGCCACGGAGTGGTGTGGGTTGAAAGGACAAGCAACATGGGGGTAACAAACACGTCAATAAGCTCAGTGTGGAGCACTACCCACCCAAAACGGCAAACAAGTAAGTGACAAAAGAGTGATGTTGAATAAAAGCAAAGAAAAGAACGGGATCAAAGTCAGCCTTTTGAGGATTAGAGGGAACATCTCACAGATGTGAAAGAGTCAGATTGTGCTCAAAGTCCCCTCTGCTTCCTTTTTAACCTTAACTTACACGTACACACCGTGTTCATCAAGCCCAGAGACACCACACTCCCTGCTCCCTCAGAGGGGCACTAAGAATAAAGATTTTTACGTCTTTCTTTTACAAGATGCTCCCACTTCTCCTTTATTCCTTCTCCTCAGAGCCTTCTCTGTATCTCCAGGTTCATCCTGAGATGTTACTGCTCTGAAACAGAGAAATCCTCAGCAGGACTCAACATCTACAGTGCCTAGAGAAGGGAGAAATTTATTCTCAGGACTTTGTTTAAATCTTTCAGTTTCAAGCCATTCCCGCTTGTCCAGTTGGGCATGACACAGATTCCTCACCCTGAGAAAAACTGATACCTCAAATACTGTATCTTCATAAAATATAAAATTATATACCTATACAATCTTTTGTCTTCATATTAAGATGTCACTTAAGCCATTCAAGCCACAAGGTCATTAGACAAACAAATAGGAAGTTCTGGGGATAAACAACGTGGTTTTGGATCTGGGGTCAGCAATGGCTGCACACTTTTTCACAGACATAAAATAACATTTATCAAATCCAAATTAACAGTCCAGTATCAGCCAGAAGAATTCCTTCTAAGGGCCATTCTCCCCTGGATTTTCTGTGTGCAGTAGTTGATGTTCCTTAGTATTGCCTAAACACTGCTCTTAAGAGCAACAAAATTATAGACAAGCCCTGAAGCACTGAACTCCTCTACACACCTGGGGAACATGAAAATTGAAATTATTTTTTTTCCATTGTCACTGTAAATGTAAATGTAAATGCAGAAGTGGATTTTTGTGCCTGGCAGGTTCTGATGGCATCAGTGCAAGGCTGATTTGAAGTGCCTCGGGCAGGTCACACCTGCCCCATTTAAACCCGAGTGGTTTTAAGAAGAACATAAAAATCCCTCAGTCTGCTGATTCACCCTTTATGGCACCTCTGCTACTGGAACTGCTGATGCTTCTTCGTGAGCCAAAGTGGGTCCCATTTCCTGCAAACTGGCTTCTATTTACCCTTGTGCATAAATTTGATTTGCCCTTGAAATCCACTGGATTGTCTGAACAGCAATTCTGATCCAATTCCTGCAGATCCTAACATGAAGCAAAATTTGAGGTTTTCAAGGGTACCGTGTCAAAGGACCTTCAGAAAAGTATCTTTAATGAACAGTTTTTGTTATAAACAAGAATAAATTATGAGGGAACATTAAAGTGGAAATTATTTTTCCCATTGTCACTGTAGATGTTGCAGAAGTGGATTTTTGTGCCTGGCAGGTTCTGATGGCATCAGTGCAAGGCTGATTTGAAGTGCCTCGGGCAGGTCACACCTGCCCCATTTAAACCCGAGTGGTTTTAAGAAGAACATAAAAATCCCTCAGTCTGCTGATTCACCCTTTATGGCACCTCTGCTACTGGAACTGCTGATGCTTCTTCGTGAGCCAAAGTGGGTCCCATTTCCTGCAAACTGGCTTCTATTTACCCTTGTGCATAAATTTGATTTGCCCTTGAAATCCACTGGATTGTCTGAACAGCAATTCTGATCCAATTCCTGCAGATCCTAACATGAAGCAAAATTTGAGGTTTTCAAGGGTACCGTGTCAAAGGACCTTCAGAAAAGTATCTTTAATGAACAGTTTTTGTTATAAACAAGAATAAATTATGAAAATAAACATTCACACACAGAGCTGGAAGGTGTACCTGCCCGTGGCAGGGGGTGTTCACCAATAAATAAATTTCCAAGACTGCTTTCTGTGTTAAAGATGCAGAAATGGACTTGTGCACGTGTACATTCCAAGCCAAGAACCCTCCCTTCACAGCCACTGAATTTACCCTTGAAGAGGTGAATGTACTCTCAAAAAATATGCAGAGAACCTGCCAAAAATTCATGAGTTGTAAGTATTGAAATAAAAGTGCAAAGGTCAAGCAGGGCCCAGCAAGAGATTTGCCTCCACTTTAATGTGCTATTCTTATGCCTCCATTTCCCCTTTGAAGTGATAAGAGCCTGTAAAAGTGATTACAGCCTGTGCTGAAATGAAGCATTAATTTGGATTTCAGCAGAAGGAAAGTGACCTGCAAGGGAAGAACTGATTTGTTGCTGCTGTGGTTTGACCCAGCCAGCAGCTGCCCAGGGCTGGGGAGGTGTGAAGGGCACAAAAGGTGCTGTGCAAGCCCTGCCCAGCAATAAAAACACCCTGGAATGGTCAGCACTGCCTCCAGCCCAAACCCAACAGCCCCAGACTAACGATGAGAGAAAAATTAACTCTACCACAACCCAAACTGGCACATTTCATTTAATAATATTTAAAAATAACTCAATTATTTATCATGAAAATGCTCATCACACAACCAAATTTCCTTCAAGTACCGTAACAGTGTGAATTTGACATTTTCAGTGAACCTGAAATTTCTCAAGTGCTATATTCCATTAATAAAGTGCATTCAAAACCTTGACAAGAGGAATTAGCGTGAAATTATTTCGGTGTAAGTTTTAACCACTTCAAGAGAGAAGACTTCCACCCAAACCTTTTGCCCTCTTCCCGCCCGTTTTCCTTCGTGTCTGAATCAGAAACCTTCTCCACGACGGCCTCGTAATTCTTCCGCGCTCGGAGGATCTCCTTGTCGGTGCTGAAGTGCACCATCTGCCTGCTGAGGATGGGCACCACCAGGTTGAAGTTGTCCACTCTCTTGTTCAACTTCCTGATGTCTTCCGCGAACTGCTCGCAGATGCGGCCCCACTGCTTCTGCTCCGGCAGCGTCATCGGCTCCCCGAGCTTCCTCCTGGAGGCCACGATGCTCTTCCTCAGGCGCTCGATGGTCTCCCGGATCTCCTTCTGCAGCAGGATCCACTCGGGCTGGTAGCCGTTGTCGATGAGGATCCTGTTCAGGTTGTGCGTCATGGGGTCGATGTGCGGGCTGTGCGAGAACTTCTGCAGCGGCTTCCCTTTGCCGCTGAGGTTGTCGAAGTCTCCTTTGGCCATGGATTCCTGGATGAGGTCCTCCACCAGCCGCTCCACGGCCTGAGTGATCTTCACCTTCTTGCTCTGCCGCACGTCCTTGGCCCGGCTGAGGTCGCTGCCGGCGTAGCGGCTCTCCAGCCGCTGCTGCCGGTACTCCAGCACCTGCTCGGTGGCGCGGTCCACGCGGAACTGCATGTACTGCTTCTCCCGCTGGCTCGGCGTGCCGATGCCCACGCCCTCGAAGCTCAGGTAGTGCCTGTGCTGCAGGGACTTGGATTTGAACTGGTCTTCCTCCTCCTCGCCGGCGTCGGATTTCTGTTTGGCCGCCAGGTCGCCCAGCACAACCCTGTAGGCCTCCTCCACCCTTATGAAGGCCCTGGAGTCGGCCATGCCGGAGCTGCTGTCCGGGTGGTATTTTTTGGCAAGATTGTGATAGGAGTTTCTGACGTCATCGAGGGAACAGCCTTCCTCCAGCTCCAGAATTTTGTAAGAGTCCTTGACATCGTTTTTGGGCTTGTAACCCGAAAACATCCTGCAGAGAAACGGCTTCAGCTTCCTTGGAATCATGGCTCCCCGTCCCATGAAACAGTGCCCCATGTTGTTACTCAGCATGACACAAAGCCACGGCGGATTTCTTCACGTGCAGCTACATTATAAACAACCTACAGGCACATTTGGGCAAAAATCATGTTAAGTATCTTATTTAAAGAACTTCCAGGGCATAAGTCTTATCTTTAGCCTGATATATTAAAGAAATCCCTACTAAAATTTAGCAGGGTTTTTTTTTGTTTTACAAACTAATATTGAAATCACAGAATCCCAGAATGGTTTGGGCTGGGAGGGACTTTAAATCCCACCCAGTGCTAGCCCTGCCATGGCAGGGACACCTTCCCCTGTGCCAGGCTGCTCCAGCCCCAGTGTCCAGCCTGGCCTTGGGCACTGCCAGGGATCCAGGGGCAGCCCCAGCTGCTCTGCGGCCATAAAACCCCACATAACTACTACGTAAAGAGAATGATCAACAAACACACTTTTAAAATTCAATTATCGCTCCCAAAGTGACTTTCTCATAACTCGGTAGCCCCGATTTCAATAAACCTGTCCTTAAAGAACCGTAAGCACAACCCTCACCCCCCGAGGGAGCCAGCTGGGAAAGGAGGGTTATTCCCCGGCAGAGTGAACCCAGCGATCCCCCTGGGATGCGGGAAGGGGGGGTTGATGGGGACCCCCGGGAAGCAGCCCCCTCCCGCCCTCCCTGCTCCGTGGGGTCCCGCAGCCGCGACCCCGGCCCGCCTCACCTGGTGCCGCCGGGCGGCCGCGGGAACGGGCCGGGAACGGCCCCGCAGGAAGGGGAGGGGCCGCGGGAAGGGGAGGGGACGGCCGCGCTGTGACCCCCGCTCAAGGACAGAGAGACGGGAAGGGACCGGCAGGGATGGGAGGAAAGGGGGCGAGACGGGAGGGTCGGGGAGTGGGGAGTGGGAGAGACAGGGGAGAAGGGCAGAGAGGGAGAGGGGGAAAGTGGAGAGGGAAGGGAGGAAGGTGAGAGGTGCTTGTCTCCGCCAGGGGGCGCCCGAGCGGCGCCGCGGCCGTGAGGGGAGGGAAGGAAACGTGAGGGGAGATGTGCCGTGGTGGGGTGTGAGGGGAGATGTGCCATGAAGGAAACGTGAGGGGTGTGCCAAGGTGGGGCTGTGAGGGGAGATGTGCCATAGTGGGGCTGTGAGGGGAGATGTGCCATGATGGGGCTGGGAGGAGATTGTGAGGAGAGATGTGCCATGGTGGGACTGTGAGGAGATGTGAGGAGATGTGCCAAGGTGGGGCTGTGAGGGGAGATGTGCCATAGGGGGGGGTGAGGGGAGATGTGCCGCGGTGGGGTGTGAGGGGAGATGGGCCATAGTGGGGTGTGAGGGGAGATGGGCCATAGTGGGGTGTGAGGGGAGATGGGCCATAGTGGGGTGTGAGGGGAGATGGGCCATGATGGGGCTGTGAGGAGATGTGAGGAGATGTGCCATAGTGAGGCTGTGAGGGGAGATGTGCCATAGTGGGGTGTGAGGGGAGATGTGCCATAGTGGGGTGTGAGGGGAGATGTGCCATGGTGGGGCTGTGAGGAGAGATGTGCCATAGTGGGGTGTGAGGGGAGATGTGCCATAGTGGGGCTGTGCATTGTCATCATGGCCCAGGTGGGCTGGGGAGCTCTGCATCCAGGCAGCAGGGAATGTGAGGAAAGACAAACCTCTCCTGGTTAAGGCTGCACTCTGATTGAAGTACTTGAGGGCATGTCTCACCTCTGCCCAGCTGAACAAAGAGAATGCTGATACCCAGCAGTTCCCGGTCCAAAATGATAACTCTCCATCCCACTGCAGCTCAATAAGGTTTTCTTTCCTGTTTGTGAGCCCAGGGGCTGGCAAAAGTCAGGCTGGTCTGCACGTAGAGCTGCCCCTGTTCATTTTTCCAAGAGGAAAATGTTTCATGAAATCAGGAGTACACATCCCTGTCCCAGAACACTGCTGTGTGCACCTTCCTGCTGGAGGTGTGTGTCTTCAGTGTGCCAGTGGGAAGAGAACAAATAGTGGGAAGATGAACTAAAGAAACAGGAGTGCCCAGGGCAGATGACACCGAGCTCTCCCCAGGGGATAACAAGAGTGCCTTGGAGCTGTCCAAAGGGAAAATGCCACCATTCCCTCCCCAGGGGCCAAGCAGAATGACCAGCAGGCATCCCAGGGCCAAGACTACCACAGGGAAGAGCTGTCCCAAGGGGGGGGGTGACAGTGACAAGGAGCTGTCCCAACAGGATAACAGCAGCAACAGCCAGCTTTGCCAAGAAGGCAAATATGACAAAGAGCTGTCTTTGGGGAAGACTGTCATGTCCAAGACATGTCCCCATGGCAGCAGATGAGGACAAAGGGCTCTCCCAGTGGGAAGCAGATGAGGACACAGCTCTGCTGAGGGCACAGGGCAGTTCCAGGGAGCTGTCCCAAAGGAGGCAAGCAGCGCCGAGGGAGCTGCTGCCTGTCTGGAGGAAGCAGCTCCCTGGATCCCTCTGTGCTGGAGGACAACAGAAATAATTGAGAAGATGAACAAGGAGAAGGGGACCCCCAGTTCTCCTTTCTTTTCCACACCAAAGGAGACTCCTGCAATGGGAAATGGAATTGTCCATGGTGGAGCTGCCCTGCAGGGCTCCAGCCCAGAGGAGAGGCCTGGGCCACATCAGGTGTGCTCCCAGCTGCAGCTTGGCACTTCAAAGCTGTGCCAAGAGGGGAACACTGGAGAGAAAAGAGATGATCCAGAACCACACTGCATCTGTCTCCTCTCACGCACCGCTCCCAGAGGAGGTTCTGGATAAAGGATGCAGGGCAAGCCAAGGAAATCAGGAAACAAATTTAAAAGTTTAAAAAGAATGAGGACAACAAGTGACAAAACTGTGTAAGTATTTTATAGCACAGTTTTTCTTTTCTTAATTATTTTGTCAGTAGAGATGTTGCTCCTAACTACTCCTTATGCCTTTTGAGCCCCATGTATTTCTAATTATACCTTTCTAGTATTTGTCATGCCTTTTGAATTCCATGTATAACAGACAAGTGCCATCGAAAGTAATTTTCTCTCCCTAATAGCGTAAAACACTCGTTTATTTCTCCCGAGAGGCTGAACCCCGTGTGTTTCGTGTCCCATCGCGCACCCCCGCCCCGGTACCAGCACAAGGGATTTAACCCTGGGGCAGCCGTGTGGCGATGCAGCCGAGCCCACCCCTTGGGGCCGCTGTCCGGGGGCATTTGGCAGGGCACGGACACAATTTCAGTGCTGTCTGTCTTTGTGCTCCGTGTTGGTGTGGCTCCTGGAGCTCTGGCAGCCTCGGGGCCGTGCCCATTCCCTGGGCAGCCTGGGCAGTGCCAGCAGCCTCTGAGGAAGGACCTTTCCCTAAAATCCACCCTAAATCCCTGCAGGCCCAGCTCCAGCAGCTCCCTGGGTGCTGTCCCCGTGCCAGGAGCAGAGATCTTGAGGGAAGAGCGACTCATCTGCAGATTTCCTGACTCCATCTCCCTCTTCTCCAGCATTCTCAGAAATGTGACAGCACACAGGTAAACTTTAAGTGTTATTCTTGCATCACTTGCATTTCTTCTTGCATCATTCACTTGCACAAGCCCAGTCTCAGCTGTGTCCAGCATTGCACAGCCCCACACCAGCTGTGCCACCACAGCTGGAACAGCACCAGGCCTCACACAGGGGGCACAGTTTAGGGACTCTTGTTTAGTTATACCTTGTCTGTAAATAAAATTGTTTAACCAGGAGTGACTGAGGAAACAAGACATTCACAGCAACTGAAGTCAGTTAAAATTGCATTATGAGAAACAGTACTGCCTGAATCATACCTATTACAAATGCCTTAAAAACCAAAAGGAGCCATCTTCACAGTACAGCTGTTTCACTGAGGAATGGTTAAATGTGCTGTAAATGAACAATACAAATTAATTGCATTTTCTTGAAAAAAAAGAGTAACTTCTTCTTCCACTGTCAGATAACTTTTATAATGTCTTCATAATTTTTAGGATCATACAAATCCTACAGACAGTAAAATTTTTCTCTGGTTTTCTTAAAAGAGAAAAGGAAAAGGAAATGAATCCATACTATTTGTTCGGCAAAAAGCAAAATGTGCACAAAAAAGCCAAGGTGAGATGGGGAAGAGGGAGCAGCAGCTCTCAGAGGGTGGGCAGGGCTGGCACAGGGTGCCCAGAGCAGCTGGGGCTGCCCCTGGATCCCTGGCAGTGCCCAAGGCCAGGCTGGGCACTGGGGCTGGAGCAGCCTGGCACAGTGGGAGGTGTCCCTGCCATGGCAGGGTGGCACTGGGTGGGATTTAAAGACCCCCCCAAAGCATCCTGTGATTCCCTGGAGATAGGGCCAGGCCCCTGGACCAGCACCATGGTCCTGCACCCGACCTTCTCCTCCTCCTGTGTCCCCTGGTCCCTAAATCCAGGGACAGTGCCCCTTTGGCAGCTTTACAGGCAGCCAAGGAATTGACCCACAGTCACAGCAGAGCCTTTGACAACTCCATCAAGTAATTAGGGCCATTTAACAGACTCTCACTGCAGTTCTTTATTTTTTTAATGATATTCTAAATATATCCTACATACAGAAGAATAATTTCCTGAGGACACTCCTTCTTTTAAAATATTTAAATGAACAAACAAAACCGGGTGCCTTTAAATGCTTTTCTGTGAGATTTACTCGGTATTTGACAATGACAACAGAGCTGTTTTTGTGCTATATGTACAGTAATCACATGTACTGAACTCTGGATACAGCAATGTGCATGTAGGACAGGAGTGGAGAGGCTGAACAAAGCAAGAGCACAGAGCAAACCCTCAGAGCAATTTCTCCTGATTCCCAGCTTCTCCCTGTTTCAAGAGCTTTGACTGCTGGATTTGAATGAACTAAGATCTCACTGTGACAAGCAGAGCAGTCTGGAACCAGGCACTGCTGTTGCAGTCAGACTCTGGAGTTGTCACATCTCAGTTTTGAGAAGGTATGTAAGAAAAAACTCCATTACCCACAATGTTTCCCACCCCAATCCTCCTCACACGTAACAAAAAGTGACTGAATTATTTTTAAAGGGTAAAAAAATTGCACAATGAGCATTGACAAAGTGCCCTCATAAAAACTCACATTGAGAAAATACTGAATAATTAAGTGCATCTAGAAAAAAGCCTGCTGCAATGACTCAGCTGTTTGGCTCAGTGTCAGCTCAGAGCCTCAGGCTCTGTGCCCCAGGTGCCCAAGTCCTTGCCCAGCTCTGAGCAGCCTCTCTTGGCTTTCCAGCCCAGCTCTCTCTATCAGCTCTGCCCCAGGCAGGCTCTCAGCATCTCTGAGCCAAGGCCAGCCTGGGGATGGTTTTATTTTACAGCACTTCCAAGTGCAGGGGCTGCCCAGGGAGCTTGGCAGTGCCCATCCCTGCAGTGTCCCCTGCAGGTGGCACTGAGTGCTCTGGGCTGGGGACAAGGTGGCCATGGGGCACAGCTGGCACTGCCTGGGCTGGCAGGGCTGTGCCAGCCCCGGGGATTTGGGGATTCTGTGACTCCAGGAAGCTCAGTTCTTTCTGGGAAGCTGGCAGTGCTGATGTGCCACCGAGCTCCAAGGGCAGTGACACCGTCACCAGGGCATGGGCAGAGCCTGTCCTCCGTGCACAGGGACAGGATGAGCTTCCCCTTTAGCACTGGGCTGAGTATGAGGGACTCATTGGATCTCTGTGAGCCAAACTCCAGCCTTTCCCCATCAATGTTTGAGTAACCCCTGCTGGCACGTGGCAGGAGTTCAGTGCTGTGCATCCGGGGGGAGTGGGACATCCCAAGCCGTGGGGCTGGGAAGGTGCTCGTGCTTATTCTGTCACAATTCCCCAAACCAGGGCAATCCTACAGGCTGCTACAGCACCTCCCTGGCAGTGTCCAAGGTTGGATGGGGCTTGGGACAGTGCAAGGTGTCACTGCCCATGGCAGGGGTGGCACTGGATGGGCTTTAAGGTCCCTTCCAACCCAAACCATTGTGGGATTCTCTGATGTCTGTGACAGGGGTTTCAGTCTGAGAGGGGCCCTGAGTGAAGAGTCCCCCACTTCCAGCACCAAATGAGCCTCAGGCAGCTGCAGCTCCTTGGGGCTCCCTCCAAATCCCTGCCCAAGGTTCCTGCATTCCTGCCACGAGATTTTTTTGGTCCTGTTGGCCATTTCAGCTGTCACTGTAATTGATGCTGGTGAAATGACACTATTAACAAACAAAGTGATGCTACTTGTGAAACACTGAAATGAATGTTCACCCTGTTGGCAGCACTGAGTAAAATTAGGACAGCAATAAAAGGTTAGACAATGACATTTAATGGTACTCCAGTAATAGATTTTATCACTTTTTTTTATCCTACCACAACAATGTGTATTTTCATATACATTATATTTAATAAAATGTATTGATATGGAATTAGGAAAGCATGGGTTTAGTACTATTTACATATTTTAATTGAAACAATTTTCTTAACAACATTGAAAAATAGAAACTTAAAGTTCTCTTAATCGTGTTTTCAGCCAGTTAGTGGTAAACAAATGCATGCCTAGGAAGTCACACTCCCTCTAAAATGTGGTCAGTTGAAAGTTTCTAACTAAAGTGTGTATCTCTGTTTTGTTTCAAAAAATACATAAGTATGTCTGTCATTTCTGATACAAAATTCTACACTATCTTCAATAAATAAATAATAAAGCGATTCTGAAAAGTATGAAATGTAAACTTTGTTGTCCCTCCAACATACATTTTTTTCCTTCCCATTGCTTGAAACATTACAGTGGTCTTTTAGGAAATTATAATACACAGACACTTCCCAGCACAGTTTACACTTATTACCATACTGATCTACCTACCTGTTATGGATATATCCTAATTTCCTAATGGAAACCAATAAGACTTGGAGTGCTAGAGAACACCGCCGACACAGGAGAGGTGGGAACCAGTACTGAAAGGACATGCAAGGAACACCAAAACCTAACAACAGCTCCACGAGAACGTTCACATGCGAATGACACGGGCTGGCACCTCCCATCCGGAATGAAGTCCTTACAAAAATACCAGTGGATGCGTGGCAGGGCATGAACAAAAGGAATCAAAGCACAACAAAGAGGAATTTGACTCTCAGGGATCTTTTGTCCCCCCGAGTCCAGACTCAGCAGAGCACTCACACGTGTGCCTGAGGGAAAGCAGACGTTGTGCCCGCCTGGAGCCAGGAGCTTTGCCAAACAGGGACGTGGGCCTGGACCTTGTTATCCATGGAGTGAAAGGGATGGAGAGCCCTGGCATTCCCCGGATGGCTTTGGGTTCCCCACTCTGCAGCACCACGAGCTCTCTGGTGACATCCAGCAGCCACCCCGTGGGAGCTGCAGGACAGGGCTGCCCTGAGCCCCTGGAGCTGCCCCGAGCCCCCAGGGCTGCCCCAAGCCCCCGTGTCCTGGTTGCACACAGGTGAGCACGGCTCAGCTCCGTACCTGGGCACACCAGGCCCTGCAGGCTGGATCTTCACTTCCTGAGCTGGAGCCACGATTGTTTCTCCTTCCCCACTGCAGGTGAGGCTCAGCCTGGGGGCAGCAGCAGTGCAGGAGTACCCAGGAGGTACACACGACACCAGCAGGGCTCTGTGCCTCACCCTTGGCCTCCTGCCCCAGCACTTACAGTCCTGGGGACAACAGCAACTTCCACAGGGACCGAGGGCTGGACTCTTCTGGAGTGCAATTCATCTCTGTGCAGAAGGCCTGGACAGCTTTTATTTTCAGGGGCAACACAAGTCATGAAGTGGTATGTTAATAGAATCTTCTCTGTTTATAGATATAGACTATTTATTTTCTAAGTCTTTTCAGTACCATCATGAAGATCTTCAGAGATCTTCTTGCTGCAAAACTGCTCCTTCCATTCACTCACATTTACACACCACTCTGCTAGGCAATAGGCACAGAACTCCTAAAGGGGAAAACCCTCAGGAAGCCTCCAAAACACACCCACACTGCCTCCTCCACGGGAATTAACGAGCTGGAGCAAGCACAGCCACCCATGTGTTTTGCCAGCCATCCCCACTGCAGCACAAGGAACAACAGGGTTGTTTCACCAGCCCAGGAAACCAACGCCGAGTTCCACACAGAGAGATTGAGGGAGATCTCCTCACTAAATTGGGATTCGTGTGTTCAGTGAGAATTATCAAGGCACAAAGATGCTCCTGTTTGCTTTGATAACCCTCTGACGTGTGAAGGGCGAGCAGTAGTTTGATGCCACACCAGCAAGGACTCGGTGACAGCTTCTGCAGACACCTCCTGCAGTGACCTCTGGCTGAATTCTGACACTGGCCCCTCTCTCCTACGGCTCATCAAACAGCTGCAGGTCCAGGCGCACCACGATCTCTCCCGTGGGGACTTCGTGCAGGAGGAGACACTTTGTCACTGGTCCCTTGGAACCCTGATCCTTCTTGATGTCTGCCACACGGATCTCTGTCCTGCCCAAAAAGTCTGGAATGCAGAAACACAGCGTGCTCAGGAAAGGGAAAGCAGAGCCTGCAGAAGGACCTGAACTTACACACACACAGCAAAAGAGAAAACAACCCTTTGGTCCTACTCTAGTTGTGCACTTGAAGAGGGCCAAAGGCTGTCAAGCTGCATAGAAGGAGATTTAGCCAGAACTTGTTAAACAGCAACAGCATTCAAACTAAATGGGCCCATGAGTGGAAAAACCCACTATGGAACTCACAGCTTCAGGGACTTCTTGATTTTATGATATGTTAGCCAAAGGCCAAAGTTCTCAGTTAGACCTGAGAGTGAACCTGCTGGAGATGACAGAGCCAAGCAGGTCATCAGCCCAGCAACGAGGTCAATGAGCCAGCACCAGCCCTATCCAAACACTGCCTGAGAGATTGTGACTCCAAGATACACCCTGTGATGCTCCACGTGTTCATCCCAGCTTATGAAAGAAGAATGAATCCTCATTGTGGAATCCCCAGCCCTGGAAGTGTTCAAGGCCACTCTGGATGGAGCTTGGAGCAATGTGGGATAGTGGAAAGTGTCCCTGCCCATGGAAGGGGTTGGAACTGGATGATCTTTAAGGTTCTTTCCAATCCAAACTGTTCCATGATTCTATCAGGTTTGGAATCCTGGGCTCATTTTTGCTACTGTTATTGCATATAACAGGAGCTCAAAGTAATTTCTCTTCCTCCTGCCTGAACCCATCTGTGTGCAAGCAGCATCCAGAGCTTTCTGGAGCCTTAGCAGAATTACAAATCACGCTGTAGGTGTCAACTGCACAAGAAAAGGAACGCTCAAAACCCAGAGGGAGCTGCATCCTTTTTGTGCTGCTACTGGGTGGAGTGAGGTTGACTCCTAAATACACAGAGGGTCAAATCTGGGATATCTTTAAAAACCATCTCCCAGCCCAGCCATTCCCTCTGCTTTCCCTCAGCAGGAATGCTCCTCCTCACAAAGAGCTCTGCAAAAGCCCTTGGCAGGGGCAGCCCCGTACGCACCGTCCGGGGAGAACTGGTCCCGCTCGAACACCGTGATGCACAGCACGTCCTGCTCCAGGTCCTTGATGAAGAACTGGCAGTTGGAATTCCACTTGGGATTGAGGGTGTCCTGGATGGTCTTGGTGATGTGGCACTGGGAGCCCATAGTCACCTCGCAGTAGGGGTTGCTCTTTCCTGGGAAGATGGGAACAAACAGAAATGAGTGGGGCTTTCTTAGCTGTGTGCTCCTGCTCCTGAGCTTCCTTCTGCTCCAACAGCCAGCTGAGCTGGGAAAGACCTTGGCCACACCAGGCCTCTGGCCCCATCCCAGGCTCTGCTTCACTGCCTCTGTAATGGGCTACATGAACACCACAGTGAATGCTCTGCTGAGCACCCTCCACCCTTCCCTTCAGGACTTTATGGCTTGTGTGGTGGAAACAAAGCCAGCCTGAAACAAAAGCCTCATGCAGGACAACTGCAGGACCACGGCTCAGCTGCACAAAGCCACCTCTGCCTCTTTTACCTTCATTAAACCCATTTAACAATTAACATGGTAACATTCCCATTTAACAAGGTAATGTCTGGGACAGAACCCCTGCAGAGTTAGGCTGGCAAATGGGAATGTCCCTGGATGGAGCAAGGAAAGCTGAGGCACTCACCATGGGACCTGCAGGGTTTTAGCTCAATGCCTTCTACAACATTCACCATCAGCCTCCCGATGCCTGTGGCTCTCTGAGAGCGAACTGTGGTGGAACAGAAGAGCAGAGAGAAATGTCACCAAGGGATTTTCCTGCCCAGGGACTTTTCCACAGAAGATGAGACCCCCACATCCTATGCTGTACCTAAGTAGGCCTTTTCCCTCTTCTTCTTTTCAGTCTCTATGTAAAGTTCTGAAGCAGCTTTGATCTTCTGAACCCAGGCAGTCCTTCAGAAGGAAAGGAGAAAAAAAAGTTGCAAGATGCCATTTCTGTTTTTCCCTGCTGGAGCACAGCAGACAGAACTAAAGCTGTCCCTCCTTCCCAGCCAAAGCTCTGGCCCCATCCCACAGCTGTCTGCCTGGAAGGGATCTTAATGAATTCACAGCGCCTGCAGAATGTAACCATCCCAAGGCAGCAAACTCACCACTCAGAGAAAGCTCAAGAGAACCACGAGAAGGAGATGCTTGGTGAGAAAACAAAAGGTCTCAAGAACAGGTTTGCTTTCATGCAGCCCCTTGTTTTCCTGAAATAAACTGACTTCTTGGAGCAGTACAAGACACGGCTGCTGCTGAGGTGGCCACTGTCCTTGGGCCCTGAGATTTCCTACCCAATTCCTCTGACTCTCAGGACTTTAAAAGTGTAACCTGGGGAGTCCACGGGTGGTGAGTGGGCCCTTCTGGGAAACCATTTCATGGCTAAGAGTCACAGAACATCCTGAGTTGGAAGGGACCCTCATGGATCACTGAGTCCATCCCAACAATCCCAGCCTGTGCCTGAAGGAGGCTGAGGGGGAAGGCTGACAGAGAAAAAGGGAGGCAGAAGGGCTACTGAGTGACCTCAAGGGCTGCAAAGAACTGCTGTGACATACAAGGAAGCCTGAATCAAGGAAACATGGGAGGATCTGGAGGCTGTGGATCAGTTTTGGAACCTCGAATGAAGAGCTGCTGCTCCACAGGACATTCATGGTTTGGGTTGGGAGCTCACCCAGTCCCACTCCCTGCCATGGGCAGGGACACCTGCCACTATCCCAGCTCACAGCAGAAGATAGAATTGCATCTCTTGGCTTCTTCACATTACCATAAAATGTGAAATGCAGCCTAAACATCCACCCTCAGCCATTTCATCACTGGTCTAGCTGGAATTCAGGAAACATCATTATTTCTCCCTCTTTTTAGATCACCATATTCTCAAGAAGGAATTTTCCAGTCCTGTAAAATAACCAGCTTGGAGAGTGCTCTGCAAGTTTCCATCACAACCATTCCCATCCTACATTTCCCAGAGTTTTTGAAGGCCCACAGAGGCCCTTACCTTTCATTAATGCTTTCAGCCCGGAGTGTGTAGACTCTGTCAATGTGGGAGATGTGGAAGATGGGCTCATCTCCAGAAGGGTCTGTGGGTAATTTCACCAGTACCTCGTTTAGGAAAATGGGCTGTAAAACATCAGCAGAGCTGGAGTTGTACTGCAGAGTCTGCACGGGGGCATCCAGCACACATCAGCCCACAGCAGGATTATTCCATGCCCCAAGTATCTCACACAGTATCATCTGTGATACTCTGTCACAGCAGAATATCTCTGCCTCCTGTATTTCTGCAGCAAATTTTAAAAGCTGACAAAGACAGAGGTGCCTGCACAGCCTGGGGACACTCCTGGAGAGAGCCAAGCACAGCAGAGTTTCCTTTCCCAGAGAGCAGTGAATGCTGCTCTCCCTCCTCTCCCTCAAACACACGAGCCCTCATGGGAGGGTTTTATTCAAGCAAAACCTCCAAAGCATCTTTTCTTATCTCACTAGAGCCCACAGCCACCCTTCCTGCCATCAGCCCCTGAACCCCAAAGCTTTCAAAGCTCTTCTCTAGGAAGGCTCCTGCCCACACCCCTGGGATGGAGCTCCAGAGCCCTGTCCCCATCCCCGTGTCAGAGCAGCACTTACAGTTTTGTACATTTTGTACTGCAGGTTGGACTTGGGGCTGAAGACCTTGTCTGTGCCGGAAGAGCCAAGAGGTTTTATGATCTGAGTGAGGAGGAGGAAGTCGTTGAAGAGAAAACCATACAGCTCCTTGTTACTCTTGGCTTTATAGAGCTTCCCACTGTGCAGGAACTTGCGTGGTCCCAAGCAGTTTGTAACTGAATTAAAAACGAGTTGCTGCGAAAAGTAGAAGAAGAACAACAACGCACTGTATAAAGTGAAACAATCGGGGCTGCCCTGCAAGAGACCAAATACAGATTTGAGTCCTGCTTCCATCTGTGTCACAGGGATCACGAGCCATGCCTCGAGCACGACAAGCAGGCAGTGTCACAGGAGGGCCCGTGAGAGTCCCTGAAGGCCACAGGGGCACGGGCTGGGCAGGCAGGGGAAGCCACAAGCATCTGTGCCCCCTGGCCACGCACATGCACCTCCAGGGCTGGGACTGAGCCAGGGCAGCTGTCCTGGGTGAGCAGCAGCTCTGCCAAAGGCCTCTCCACAGGCCGAGCTTCCTTAAGGGCTGCATTCTGAGTTGTGCTTGAATTTCACCCCTTAAAACACCCCAGAGGACTTCAGATGGCCATGACACCCCGAGTTAGAGCTGCTCACCATTGGCACAATCCCAGACTCAGCCAGGGCTTGTTAAGGATCAGCAGAGTCTTGCCCTTGCCTAAAGTGCCATTTTCAGGTTTATTTTCACCAGGGTTTGGCACAGCTCTCCCCACCCAGGGCAGCTGGCTCTGGAGGGGCTCCTTTGGCAGGCTGGAAACCCTTGGACAGGAAACAGGGAGAGGCTGGGCTGTTCCCTGCCAGGGCTGGGGCTGCTGCTGGTGATGGTGCAGCGAGCACCACAGGCTCTGTCAGGGTGTGGAGCTGCTGCTCTGGGCAGGCACCACCTACAGCAGATAAAAGCAGCCACTTTCCTGCTGGCAGACAGCTGGATGTGCTGACAGTGTCACACCATCCTTCTCCCAGAACAGTCAGACTTCCTCAGGTGAAATGCAATTCTTCTACTTCATGAACCAACCAGTGCTCATTATTTTTTTACCTTCTAGAATGGTGCATACTTTGAAAATCAAGTTGTGATCTGTCTGCCTCTGTTACCTCCACCAACAGCAGGAAGGCCATCAGAATATCTTCCCTCCTTTTGCAGGACACACAAACACAATATTTCTAGAAACTTATCACCTAACCATAAAGAAATAAATGGCATGGGAGGCAGGGATTCTCTTTGTAAAGTCTCCAGAGACTTGATCAGTATTCTTGAGTTTTCAAATGTATACAAAGCTTTATCACAGAAAATATTTCTAACTATTTGGTTTTTAAAGCAGTCCATCGTGGTCAGGTGCAGGATACAGCAGCCCCACAAGCACTGCACCACAAAGCACTGGGGAGCTGGGAGGTTGCAAAAGGCAGCACTGAACCAGGACTGCTCCGGAGCCAGGCACCCCAGCAGGGCTCAGCACCACGAGCAGCAGCCAGCACGGCGTGCAGGAGGCCAGCTGGGCACAGGGCACAGGGCACAGGGTGTGTCCCCGTGCCCACGGCCAGCCTGGCACCCCGGTTACCTCGGAGAGGCCCTCGCACTGCACGTGGGCCTGGATCCACTCCAGCCTGTCCGAGTTCTCCTTCTCCCGCACGCCCTCGTTCACCTGCGAGCACAGCTCCTCCGCCTTCTCCAGGGCGTGCTTCAGGTGGCTGTGGTCAGGGTGGTTCTCGGGGGTGTTCTCTATGATCTGCACAAGCAAAGGCAGCATCAGCCTGCTGGCACCACAGCTGGGCTGCACTCGCTCTGCCAGCCCCACGCTCCCATTCCAGGCCTCACTGCCAGCAGAGCCAGCCCCACGCTCCCATTCCAGGCTGCACTCACACTGCCAGCCCCACGCTCCCATTCCAGGCTGCACTGCCAGCAGAGCCAGCCCCACGCTCCCATTCCAGGCCTCACTGCCAGCAGAGCCAGCCCCACGTTTGTTCTCCTCCTTGACAGACATGAGACATGGGAGACAAACACTCTTTGGGAGCAGCTGGACTGCAGGCCTGCCTGCACAGCCTTTGCACCAGGACGCTGCTGGCTCCTCTGACAGAAGCACACACATTGCAGCCAAATACAGAAATGCAGCCACGACTGCTGAAGGAATCTTTTAAACACCAACATCCGATTCATAATCCCCTGTGAAAGCCTTGGGTCATGCTCCATGGTGTTATTTGGGATGGGAAGTGTTAAGCAACAAGTGGAAGTTAGGAAAGGGCTGTAAATCCCCCAGCACCATCAGCACAGGGGGAACCTGCACAATCCAGGCTCAGCCCCTGGGGAGGGAGTGGCTCTGAGGGGAAAGGCAAATATGAGCACAAGGTTGTCTTGTTGCTCCTGTTATCTGAATTTTAAATTTTCTCTCAGCACTTGCTGCCTTCTGGTTCTTTGGGTGCAAGCTTCATCTCTGTTTCAAATGGAAATATTGAATAACTTTGCCAAAGCTCAAGGAATTATTCAATTTTCTACACTGGAATCGAGTATTAAAGGACATCCCACATTCCCAAGCACATCAGAAACCTCACAGTCACAAAGCCTGACACAAATAAGGAAACAACCCTGTAACTGAAGTGTAAGCAAAGCAGCACCAAACCCATCACTGTGCAAAGGAACGTACATTTTTAATGATTAGTGGGTATCTGGTTACCCGTTGCATAGGCTTTAGTAGAAAACTTGACAGTGGCATTCCTTTACAGCGAGGATCCATTGCTAACCTCTGAAACATTAGAGAGGTAAAATCTGGTTAGTCAGGTGGTTTAACCCCCGAGAAGTGAGCTCCTCCAAGAAAGGAAAAGGGAAGGCAATAAATGAGCACCAATCCTCAGCTACATCTGCTCTGACACCTCAACATCAGTAGGAGAACTCCTGGTGGATTTACAACACTTCTTCACCTGCCTTGTCTGGACAAGAATCCCAGGATCACCAGGGCTGAAGGAGCCCTCCAGGATCACCCAGTGCCACCAGCAGCGCCCCAAACCCTGTCCCCAAGGGCCATCCAGACTCCTCTGGGACACTCCCACAGACAGTGACTCCAGCTCATCCCAAAGCCTGACCATTCTGTGAGGGAAAAAAAATCTTTCTAATTACTGATCTGAATCTCCCCTGGTGCAAATTGAGGCCATTTCCTCTTGTTCTGTCCCTGTTCCCTGGCAGCAGAGCCCGACCCCCCCGGCTGTGCCCTCCTGCCAGGGACTTGTGCAGAGCCACAAGGGCCCCTGAGCCTCCTTTGCTCCAGCCTCAGCCCCTTCCCAGCTCCGTTCCCTGCCCTGGACATGCTCCAGCCCCTCCAGGTCCTTTTTCAAGTGAGTGGCCCAGAAGGGGACCCAGCCCTCGAGGTGGGGCCTCCTTTGCTCAGCGGATCAGCCAGGTGAGAAGGTGCCCAGAATTCCCAGGTGTTGCTGCTTCTCCTACCTTGACAAACTCCTTGAAGTCGGGCACTTCATCGGTTTTCTGCTGGATGAGGGCGGCCCCGTTGAGCTGGCAGCTGCAGAAGCGGATGTAGGGCTGCATGTGGGGCAGCTGTGCTGTCAGGATGTCCCCGATCATCTTCACCGGCATCTTCTCCCCAGACATCTTCTTCCTCACCCGCAGGGCCCTGAGCAGCAGCAGGGCACGGGTTGGACAAAGGGCTGGGTTCTCATTCATTATGGACACCCAGAGAGCCATAAACACACCAGCCAAAGATTCACTGCAGGGGTGCAATAAATGAGCAGGCTGCACCCTCAATGCCTTTCCCTCTCCTGGTCACCCAGCTGCTGCCTGACCTTAATGCAATGCCAGATCACAGGTGAGAGGAAGAGGAGGGTAATTTCCTTTTCTGTTGGCTTAGAAAGAGTTACTGGTGTGTGAGTGAGGCAGGGAAAAGTCCATCACTTTTTAGTCTGGTTTCCTAAGGAAAGGTTCATTGTCACTTGTCCCACAACTTTTCAACCTGTGGGCCATTTTCAAATACATTTTACAAAAAAAAAAAGGAGATATTACAAAGCTGTAAAATCCCTGCAGGTTCAGTGAAAATTAGCAGCTGAGGAGGGAAAGAAAATAACTTTAATAATGCTTTTGCTTATCAAGGTGCAGGTTTAACTGTGCCCTCACTCAGTTTCCCTGGCAGTGATTTGGGGCAGCAGCACCCAGAGCTTTGGAGAGGGGTGCCCTGGGCACAAACCCTTTGGAAGCAAGTCCTGCCCTGTGGGAAGCCTTGGCAAGCCCTGCTCTTCAGGGCAGAGGAGGATTTGCCTTCTGCAGCACTGGAGCCAAGTGAGTGCAAATGGCAGGGAACTGCTGGTTCTTCTCACCAGCTCACAGCAAACACTGCCCCCAGTTTGCTTTGTCCCCAAGGAGAAACACGGGGCCCTTCTGGTTAGGATTTGTGTAAGTGGCAAATGTTTTCATGCAGATAAAAGGAGAAGCAGGGGGAGAGGCCCAGGGTTCTGTTTTTGTGAAGTGTGGGGATAAAAACCAACTTACTTCAGTAGTTTTATATTGCACATAATCAGCTCCTTCCAATTGACAAAAATCATGGCAACTTCTTTTTCTGTGACCAGCTCAGACTCCATCAGTGGTTTCTGGAAGATCTGGGGAGTGAGAAGAGGCCAGTTAGAGTGCCCAGGAAAGTACAGACAGACCCAGCACACCCCATGTCCCTGACATCCGTGGTGTCCCCTGGCATGGCTGGGACTACGGAGACCCTCAGGTATGAGGGGCTTTAACAGGCAATACTCTGAGTTTGTGGGGTGCTGGGGTTCATTCTGATCTGGATAATATCTCTGTATCTGTATCTCTCTGTCTCTGTCTGTATCAATACAGATAAAGGAGTACAGCCCCAGGCAGGCCAGCAGGGCAGTGCAGGATCTTTGCACAGTGCAGGGCTGGCTTGGCTGGGGAGGAGACCCCAAGGCTGCTGAGCTGCCCCCCTGTCCCCAGTGCCCCCCTGTCCCCAGTGCCCCCCTGTCCCCAGTGCCCCACCTCTGTCCCCAGTGCCCCCCTCTGTCCCCAGTGCCCCCCTGTCCCCAGTGCCCCACCCCTGTCCCCGTGCCCACCTCTGTCACCAGCTGCAGGTCGGTGACGTAGTTCTCCTCGGTGACGATGAGCTCGTGGATGTAGCCCTGCCTCTTCCTCTCGGTGGGGGTCAGCATGTCCAGCAGGTGCAGGTCTGCACACCCTGCAAAACACAGCAGCAGCATCCTTCAGAGGGGCTGTGGCACAGGGACTGACAGCCACAGCAGCCCAGGAACAGAGCTGCTGCTGCCCTGCTCCCTCCACTGCTGTTCTCATGGCACAGCCCCAGCAAAGCTTCATCTCAGAGACTCCAAACATTCCATTTAACACCTTTGTTATGTATTAAAACAAAGGGCATCCCTGTGTGTGAGCTCTTCCCTGGTGGCCAGGCCTCAAAGTCTCCCTCACCTCTGCCTGCCCATTCCCAGCCTCTCCCTGGAGGCCCCCAACCCCTTGGGCTGTGTCATTCCAATCCCACGTGCATGGCTGGCAGTGAAAAAGGGGGAAAGGACTGCATGTGGTGTGAGGAAAGCACAGAGCTGTCCCAGAGGGGATGAGGGAGGAGCTGCAGTGAGGGGCACTTTGGAATGACCCCCTCGGCTGATGGATGGTTCACCTTGAGCCCTCTGCTACAGAAATGCTGCTCAAGAAGGGCCTGCAGGGCCTCTTCCTTCACACTTCAACTAAAAACTGCTCCCAAATGTTTGAAGGGCCCGAGCCAGGCAATGCAAAGCTCACTGGAGAGCCCCACTGATGTCTGGGCCGAGCCAAGGGCTGCATTTTGTTCTCCTTTCTGTTTGAAAGGTGGGCACTGAGAGCTCCTGTCCCATCACTTCTGTCCTTTCAGTGTTGCAAACCCCCCTTGCATGGATCCCCTCAGATGGGAGGATTTCTATATCTATTCCACAATCTTGAATTTTCTTTTCTACTCTGAATTAGATAAAACATTTAATTCCATTCTTTCTTCTGTAGGCCATTATTTTTCAGCTGAGCTCAATTAAGTCCTTCTGAGATTGGAACACAGAATGTTTTCTTCCAGTTTTTGCTACTTTTCTGCATAAAATACAATGATTTCAAAAAGCTAAGTTGATTTCAAACAGATGGAAAATGTTTGGCTCTAAAAATGATCAATTCAACTATTTTCACACAACCAAAATTCCCCAGTTGAATTTTTTCCCTCACCCCTCAGCAGATTCAGTATATTCCCCATGGAAACAAACTTTCCTTATGGAAACATCAGGCCCCAGGTAACTCTTTCAGTTCTTTGCATATCAAGTTAATACTTAGGGAATATCTCCTGCATTTTGAGCTTCCTGAATGGAGCTCAGACAATGCCACTGAGAAGGTCCAGGTGTATCACCAATATTTCCATGGAATACCAGCAACATCTGCTTTAATTGATCTGTATTCCTCAGAGGGGAACAAAGGATTTGACTTGAAAATAAAATAAAATTTAAAAAAACAAAACAAAACAAAACAAAAAACCAAAGTCAAACCAAACAAGCCAAGAAAAGGAGATACAGGCAGCCAAGGTTGTTTCCTCTGTGACTGTGAAGCTGGGAGCTGGGATCAGGTGGGAAGCAGAGTGACACTGACAAGACTCCCTGGAGACACAGGGTGTCACAGCCCCTTACGAAGTGCAATTGAAACTTGGAATAAAAAGCAGATGTGGAGAAACATCATCTTTATGCCAAAACAATGAATTTTGGCCCCTTCCAAAAGCCAGAAGTTTGATGTCTCTTGAATAAATGCCTGATTTCAGAGCAGCTTCTTTGGCACCAAGTAAACCACAGGTCTAAGGAACAGCCCCAGTTCTCCCAGTGCTTCATTAGAAGAGAACCAAGTGTTTAATTACTTTTCCTTGGAGAAGTTCTTGTTCAAAGATGTTCAGAATCCTTGGCCTGCAGGTGATTTCCAAGCAGCAAGGCCTTGGAGGGAGCACTGACATTTTGAACAATGAAGCATTTCAGTGGCTCCCTTGGCTGTGAATGGGCTGCTCTGAACCACAACAAACACTCTGCTTTTGGCTGTGAAGTATTTGGGGAAAAAAGAATCTGAAATCTGAGCAGAACATCCCAAAGAGACTTTCCTGGTAGGAGATTTCTTTGTGAGGTGCACAAGTACAGAGATTTTTCTTGTCTTTGTGTTAAGAACCCTGAAGAAGAACTGGATTCCTTTCCAGGTGGGAATGTCTGGCTCCTTCTTCATGGATGCCAAAGAACTTTGGTGAACTGCATTCCACAGATCACAGAATCAGGGAATGGTTTGGGTTTGGACCTCAGAGCCCACCCAGTGCCACCCTGCCATGGCAGGGACACCTTCCCCTGTGCCAGGCTGCTCCAGCCCCAGTGCCCAGCCTGGCCTTGGGCACTGCCAGGGACCCAGGGGCAGCCCCAGCTGCTCTGGGCAATTCTTTGTTTCAATGCAGTAAAGCCAGGGAAGGATGGGAAATGACAATAATTAACTTGGTTTGTCCTCAGGAGGGTGAATCCAGGAATTCTGCCATCCTGGCTGGACTTGGAGGAAGAACAGACAAATGTTGGAACTGCAAATCTGTGCCTTGACCTCCCAGCAGCACAGTCCCTGCAGATTAATGGGCTCCAGAAATACAATATACAAATAACTCCAAATCCTTTGTACAGAGTAAAGACGTTGTTCCTCCTCCTTACAAAGTCAGCCCTGAAGATCTGGGTCTCCCAGGACAAACACTGAACCTAAAAGAAGATGCTGCTTTTTGGGAAGGGAGGTTCTGCTGTGGAAATCACTGATCCACATCCATGGCCACAGCTGCTGGTTCCTTTTCACTTGGGGAGGTTTTCTAAGCAGGGCCACTGCCAGATTTCCCTGTCAGCCTCGTGCTGGCCCAGGCTGCAGGGACAAGGTCACAGGAGACAGGAATTGTCCTGTCACAGGGGACCAGGAGCAGGCAAAAGGGATGGCACAGTTTTCCTCCAAATCCTTAAGGAGAACGGAACAGCACACCAGGAGAGCACCTCTTCACTCAGGTAAATTAATTCACAAATCCCAAATCCCTGGTGCTGGCACACCCCTCCCAGCCCAGGCAGTGCCAGCTGTGCCCCATGGGCACCTTGTCCCCAGCCCAGAGCACTCAGTGCCACCTGCAGGGGACACCTGCAGGGATGGGCACTGCCAAGCTCCCTGGGCAGCCCCTGCCAAGGCCTGAGCACCCTTTCCATGGGCAAATTCCTGCTGCTGGCCCAGCTGAGCCTGCCCTGGCCCAGCCTGAGGCCGTTCCCTCTGCTCCTGTCCCTGTTCCCTGGCAGCAGAGCCCGACCCCCCCGGCTGTGCCCTCCTGCCAGGGACTTGTGCAGAGCCACAAGGGCCCCTGAGCCTCCTTTGCTCCAGCCTCAGCCCCTTCCCAGCTCCTCAGCAATTCTCCAGCCCCTTCCCAGCTCCTCAGCAATTCTCCAGCCCCTTCCCAGCTCCTCAGCAATTCTCCAGCCCCTTCCCAGCTCCATTCCCTGCCCTGGACTCCTCCAGCCCCTCCAGGTCTCTCCTGCAGGAGCAGGACTGGGCACAGCCCTATTTAAATAACTCTCAGTGCTGAGTTATTTAAATCACAGCATTTCAACATTCAGCTTTCTCAGCACCTGTTTCAGATGCAGCCAATTCCCCCTAAATCTCCTGGGATGGACCCTGCACTGAGAGGCCACCCCAGGCTTTTGGTGAGGCCACTGGGATCAAACAGATCTCTGCATCTCAAGCATCTGCAATGCCCAACCCCATTTCTCAGCTATTTTCAATTATTTCAGCAGGTTTGGAATTTCAGTTCCTCTCAGAGCAGAGCATTCCCTCTGAGGTGCAGGGAAGGAGCAGGAAAACAATCTGGGCAGTCCCACTGGCAAAACCTGCAGCATTATTTAAGGGTGGAAGTGCCCTCTCTGGAATGCTCAAATGTCTGGATGTGTTCAGTGCTGGTGCTCCAACCTCAGCCATTCCACGAGTCACTGATTCTACCAATGCTGCTTGGGGACAGTAAAATCCCCCATGTGAGGGCAAGAATGCATCCAAAAATGTAAATCACAGAGTTAAGCAAGGCCTGGAATGGTTCAGAACACACCAGGAAATGAAACCTCACCTCTGTATCGTGCCCCAGGGCCTGTCTGAGCCCCTGGCACCCAGGGCTCAGGAGCAGCAGCCACAGTCCAGGCAGAGGGGCCTGCACAGCCCATTCCACAGGGAATTCCATAAATACAGGTGCTGTGCAGGCACTTCACTTGGAACCAGGAATGGGGGAACCAAATGCAGTATTTTAAATGTTCCAACCTCTTATCAAACAGCATTTTATCATTTTTTCACTTTCATTTGGCAGAGGGACAGCTCTGAGCTCTGCTCCTGTGACCTGACAGCACCCAGGGAGCAGCTGGAGCTGTGCCAGAGGGATTTAGGGTGGATTTTAGGGAAAGGCTCTTCCCCAGAGGTGCTGGCACTGCCCAGGGAATGGGCACGGCCCCGAGGCTGCCAGAGCTCCAGGAGCCTTTGGCCAGCGCTGCCAGGGGTGCCCAGGCTGGGCCTGGGGGGCTCTGGGCAGGGCAGGGCTGGCACTGGGGGGTCCCTGGGGGTGCCCCCAGCTCAGTTCAAGTGCTTTGCTCACTGAAGTCCCCAGGTGGGCACTGAAGTCTTGCTGAAAACCATTTTCATTTGAACTGCTCCAGGACAATGTCCTGACAGCCAAAGGTCACCTCAGCCCCGTGTTTAGCCAAGGAGCCCTTTGTGACCCTGCCCTCTGTGTCATTCCACTGCTGCAGTAATATTTGGGTATATTGCTCCTGAATCTACTGAAGTTGCCCAAATTAAAGTTAAAAACAAGTCATTTGTCATCTGAATTTACTGCACAGAAGTTGCTATTTAACAAGTGAAATAGCTGGAGTCAATAACCACTAAGAACTAAAAGTGCTTTGAAACCAGAGAACAAAACCAGAATTTCAGTGATTTTGCTTATGGGAATCAAATATGCTCAGTGAGCTCATGGGGACAGAAAGTGAAGCCACTAAAACTCCAAAAGAATTGAGGTTTAAATAAAACTGATCCTGGATATAAAGGAAATGTTCTTGATAAACCTACATTTCAGATTTAGAGTTGACTTGGGCAGATTTCAAGTATTGAAAAGAACAAATTCTCTGAAAGAACATCCATGGGAATTCTTTGTCAGCAGTTGAATACAGAAGGAACTCCCACAAACAGTAAAAAGAGTGAGGAATAAAATCCAGCAGCACTGGCAGCCTCTGGAATTCCAGTCTCCTCTCCATCCCTCAAGTGACAATTCCTGTGCAAGGGGAGAAGGCACCTGGCACAGGGAAGTGAAGACAAAGAACCAATTCCCAGAATGCCAAAGAGCCAATTCCCAGGATGATTTGGCTGGGAAGGGATTTTAAGGATCACCCAGTGCCACCCTGCCAGGGCAGGGACACCTTCCCCTGTGCCAGGCTGCTCCAGCCCCAGTGCCCAGCCTGGCCTTGGGCACTGCCAGGGATCCAGGGCAGCCCCAGCTGCTCTGGGCACTGCCAGACTCCCTTTCTCATACAGATATATTTATAGATTTATATATATTGGTATCCATAAAGACAAGTAAAGCAGACACTGCTGCCTGCAGCTCAGGGAGAATCCCTGATGAGGAGGAGGAGGGTGAAACCCTCCCTGCTGAGCCAGCAGAGCATCCTTAGGGACTCAGGGAGGAAATGAACAATTCAGGGATTTCAACACTTAAGCCCCAAGGGAGTGTCTGTGTCTGGGACTCTGCACGTGGGATTCATTTTGCTCTTCTGCCTGAGGGGTCCTGGCACCAGCAGTGCCTCCTGTGTGTTCAGCTGGGCCAGCAGCAAGAATTTGCCCATGGAAAGGGTGCTCAGGCCTTGGCAGGGGCTGCCCAGGGAGCTTGGCAGTGCCCATCCCTGCAGGTGTCCCCTGCAGGTGGCACTGAGTGCTCTGGGCTGGGGACAAGGTGCCCATGGGGCACAGCTGGCACTGCCTGGGCTGGCAGGGCTGTGCCAGCCCCGGGGATTTGGGATTCTGTGAGTCACAGAGGGAACCCCAACCTGCTCCTCCCAGGACTGCAGTGTCCCCAAGGGCAGAGCTTTCAGCCCAGTCAGTTTTTCAACCCAGCAGCTCAGGATGGGCAAAGAGGGAGAGGCTCTCGTTCAGATGTCAGTCAATGCACAAAACACTGACAGAGTGGAGTCAAAGCTGGCTCCATCCCCTCAGACAGCTCTGAAAATCACAAGTGGGATGTGCTGCTCCATTTCTGCAGTTGTCAGCAAGTGGCCATGATGGAGAAGAATTATTTTTTATGGTAGAAATGAAAGATGTATTACTATTTAAATACTGTCCTAAAAAGAAGGAAAATCTGTGCAGTTGTGCATTTTTTGAGACTTGAGCTTCTGGCATAGAACACATCCCAAATCCAGGTAAGCCCACGGCAAAGCAAGAAAGAATATTTCATTTATCATTAACAGAACACCAAAATCCACTGATTGGCACCACATAGAAACCCTGGGCAGGGAATCAGAGAATCCCAGAACATCCTGAGCTGGGAGGGACTCACCAGGAGTCCAAGGACACGCCAGCAATGCCCCCTGAGCCAGAGGGGCAGAGGCTGCAGGAGCAGTGATGAATGTGAGCCCTGAGAGTGAGAGCACGTCCCAGGGAGCCAGGCTGGTGTCCCTGGGGGGGCACGGGGCTCCGGGCTGGGCTGGGCCAAGCCCTCGGGGCGAGCTCGGCTGAGCCAGCAACGAGACAACAACAAACACTGTCGGCCTCTTTTGTACGAAGGATTTAATTCTCTATACATGGAACTAATTGGAAAGGCTGGATTACAGTTGTTAAAGCTGCAGGTTTTTATATATTTATATAATTTACATTCATAGTGATGAAATACTGAAGTGCAACTGAGTAAGGAGCTTCACTTGTCCTTTGCACCGCAGGACGGGTCGGGAGGGGAGCTGGGCTGGGAGTGCTAGGGCTGCCAGCAGGAGCTGGGGGACAGAGGGACACGGAAGCAGGACTCTGTGTAACCCCGTGGTAAATCATTAGTAGCAGGGCTCTGTTGTGCTGAGGTGTTGGGAGGGGGCACTGCCAGCACTTTCAGCAAGAGCCGGGCGCTAACGGAGACGGGCACGGCTGCAGCACAGCCACAGCTCCACCTCACATTCACCTGTGAAACTCCACAGTCTGCTTTAAAAAATGTAAACATCGGAAATGAATCGCAGGGAGAGAGTTCTATACATTCGCTCTTGTCAGGAAAATGACTCGTTCAGGTGGGGCTCCACAGGAAGCACAGCGGAGCAGCCCGAGTGCCGTCCCTGCGGAATTTGGGAATTCTGGCAGCCCCAGGAGGGAACATTGCACCCATTTCTGACCCATTTTGGGAATGTGACACCCCGAGGGACAGACACAAACCAGGCTGCTCGCTCACTGTTTGCAGCTACAGGTAATGTGCAAAATCAAATGAAGAGAGCTGGGTAAAACCGCTCCAGGTTTGCCTCCCCACAACGGTTACACACTCAACAACAACACCTGTTACAACAGTACAGTAACTACAACAAAACACCTGGAACTGGGCACATTGAAACTTCCTTAAACTGATTTGAACTCCTTCTGTTCTTTTGTAATTAAAAAAAAAAAAGAAAAAAAAAGAAAATTAAAATAATAAAAAAAAAGACACATTGACAACACTGGACAAGTGAACAATAAAAAAGAAAGATACATAAAGTCTCCAATTCATGGACATTTGGAACAATTTTAATAGCACATGCAGCATTCCTTGATAGTGGGTCTTTTTGCACAAACAAAATTGCAATGAAGAAATTAAATTTATACTTTTCCTTTAAAAGGCTAGAATATATCTTTAAAAAATAATTTTTAAAACTACCAAAAGCACCTGTGCAAAGGTGGAAAAATTAGTTTGGTAACTCTGAAAGCCACAAAAGGACCCACTATCCTCTGAGTTTTTTTATTTTTTTTTAGCGTGTGTGTTTTTGTTTTTTTTTTTTGTTTTGAATCAGTTTAATTTTGTCGGTAATTAACTCAACCGTTGCGATTCCATGCAACTAAATGTCAAATGAGGTAAAACTGCTGTGCAGTGTGTTCTTGACTCAGAAGGCAGTAGGTGATCATGCTGGAAGGCACATGATCAAGGCTGCATCTCCCTCCATCCCTCTGGGCACTGCTATGGGATAGTGGGTCTCTTTGAGGACTTTCAAGCCTGAGTGGGGGATGGACAACATATGATTCCTAGAAAAAGGAGGAAAACAACACATAAGCAAAACAAAACAATGAGCAAATTCAAGCTGGGGAAATGAGGCAGGCGTGGCGAGGCATGGAGCAAAAATGATGGGAGAGGGGGGGGAACGTGCTGGGCGGGATGGGAACGAAACCAACCAAACACAGGGGGACAGAAGGTCTTCAAAGAGCCCGGGGGCCCGGGGGCGGGGGACACGCCAGGGACACTCACACTGCTGGCTCGGGTCCGTGTCCGTGGTCAGCTTCACGTAGTTGGAGGGGAAGAGCCCCACGTGGCCGTTGACCTCCCCCTTCCACCAGTCGGGGTCCTCCCTGTTGAGCACGGTGATGATCTGGCCCTTGCTGAAGGCCAGCTCGTCGTCGTTCTGCGCGCTGTAGTCGTACATGCCGATCACCTGGCACACTGAGGGGGACAGGGGTCACTGGGGGCTGCAGCCACCCCCCAGAGCAGCCCGGACCCACCCTGCCCTGCCCAGAGCCCCCAGCCCCAGCCTGGGCATCCCGCAGGCTCCTGGAGCTCCGGCAGCCTCGGGCCGTGCCCATTCCCTGGGCAGCCTCTGGGGAAGAGCCTTTCCCTGCTCTGCAGCCTGCCCACAGGCAGAGGTCACCTCTGGACATTGCCCATGGCTCAGGACAGCTCCACAGAATCCCAGAATGCCCAGGCTGGGAGAGCCCTTCCAGCCCATGGAGCCCCCCCAGCACCCCCAGCTCCCTCAGGGCTCCTCTCAGGGTTTGTGTTCAAGCCCACTTGAGCACCCAGGACCCTGCAGTGACCAGAGCCCATCCTGGGGCTCAGCCCCCCCAAACTGACTCCAGGGGTTTACAAATCCCAAAGAGTTTCATGGAATCCCAGCAGGGCTTGGGTTGAAGGGACCTTAAAGGCCATCCAGTGCCACCCCTGCCATGGGCAGGGACACCTTCCACTGCCTCAGTGGAATCCCAGCAGGGCTTGGGCTGAAGGGACCTTAAAGCCCATCCAGTGCCACCCCTGCCATGGGCAGGGACACCTTCCACTGCCTCAGGGTGCTCCAACCTGCCCTGGAACTGGTCAGTGGACAGGAAAACCTGGGACACATTGGAACTTCCACTACTGGAAGCTGCATATTCCAAAAGAAAGCCAATGGTGATGCCTTTGTTGTCCCAGTGAGGTTTTCAGAACAAAAAAATCTTGGAAAATACAAGAGAAAATGAACAGAGCTGGACAAAAGCATCCCAGGCCATCCAGGCACCCAGGACTGGTCCCAGCAGGGATTTTCTGTTCCCTTGCAGTGGAACTCATCCAGCCTCAGAATGCAGCTGGTTCTGCTCACTTCTGACAAAGCAGCTCCCTGGATTCTCTGAAGCAGCAGGACTGTTCAGTTAAATAAATAATCCCCTCTATTTCTCTGCTCTTTTCTCTTTGCCAGGGCTTCTGGTTTTCCCACCAGACATCAGACTTGCATTAATGAGCCTTGCTGGCAGGTTCTCTCCAGGGGATTAATCCTAAAATTTGCTTTGATTTTCATCCTTGTACCAAGCCAGCAACTTATTTCAATTTGCCAAACAGCTTTTCCTTTTTTTTCTTATTACAGTTTAATTAAGATTTTGATGTTCTGAAAAAAGTGCTAAAAATTTATTCTGCAAAATGTAGCATGTGGGGAAAGTCCCAGATTGTCAAACTTGAAATAATTTCAAAAATATATAAAAATAAATCTCATCCTCTTTCCTTGTAAAAGGTTGTGTCTCAGTGCTGAGTTGCCATTCCAAACCTGAATTCCAAGAGGCTTTAGAGAAGCATTTGCTGGATCTTTGTAACAACCACAAGCAGCACCAGGGGATGGGCTCTGGGAAGGCCCCTCAGGCTGGGATTCTGTGGAATGTTCCTTTCTGTGGCTCCTGTGTCCCCCCAAAGCTCAGAGCAGAGGAAAGGTCCCTCCCCACAGGGGTTTGTCCCTCTTCACCTCAGACCTGGGGGCTCTGCAGGAGAGGAGCCTCAGGGGCCAGCCCTGGAGCCTCCTGAGCCTCTGCAGCTCCTGGGATGGGATGGGGATGGAGACACATCCAGAGCTCCTGTCCCACAGGGCAGGGCTGGGCTGGTTTGGGGGATGGAGGAACAACCCAGAGCTCAGAGCCCCTGTCCCACAGTCAGGGATGGGATGGAATGGGATGGGGATGGGATGGGATGCAGGAACATCCCAGATCTCCTGTCTCACAGTCAGGGCAGGGATGGGATGGACTGGGAAGATTTGGGGCATGCAGGAACACCCAGAGCTCCTGTCCCACAGTCAGGGCAGCGCAGGGAAGGGCAGGGATGAGATGGGAATGCAGGAACACCCCAAGTCTCAGAGCCCCTGTGCCGTAGTCAGGGATGGGCAGGGATGTTTTGGGGGATGCAGGAACGCCCCAGATCTCCTGTCCCACAGTCAGGGCAGGGCAGGGAAGGGCAGGGATGAGATGGGAATGCAGGAACACCCCAAGGCTCAGAGCCCCTGTTCCAGAGTCAGGAATGGGATGGGATGGGCAGGGATGGTTTGGGGGATGCAGGAACACCCCAGACCTCCTGTCCCACAGTCAGGGCAGGACAGGGCAGGGCAGGGGTGAGATGGGTTATGGGATGGGATGGGATGGGCAGGGATGAGATGGGAATGCAGGAACACCCCAAGGCTCAGAGCCCCTGTTCCATAGTCAGGGATGGGCAGGGATGTTTTGGGGGATGCAGGAACGCCCCAGATCTCCTGTCCCACAGTCAGGGCAGGACAGGGCAGGGCAGGGGTGGGATGGGTTATGGGATGGGATGGGCAGGGATGGTTTGGGGGATGCAGGAACGCCCCAGAGGCTCTGGAGCACCACACCCCTCCCAGCTGAAGGCCCAGCACGGGCACAGCAGGCAGGGCAGGGGTGCCAGGGGCAGGCAGGGCTCACCTGAGGGTGCTGCAGGCCTGGGCAGCTCGGTGGGGGTGCTCTTGCTGGTGCCAGGGCTCAGCAGCTTGACGTAGTTGGCCGGGAACCAGCCGATCTGGCGCTTCTTGCCGCGCGCCTGCGGAGACAGCGGCGCTCAGCGGGGCCCTGCCAGGCTCCAGGGCCCTGCAGCTGCCCAGCCTGGGGAAAGGCTCTGGGGGGAAATCCCAGCTGCTCTGGGCCGTTATACATCAGTGGTGCAATGCTAACACAGAATCTGAGCAGTATTTCTGATTAAACACTCCATTGTTACGATCCTTACACTAAAATTGATCCCCGGGTTGTGACAGTTTCAGCAGAGATTCAGAATCCAAATTTCCTCTTTTCTTTTACAGGAACATATCCAAGGTTTTCAATGCCCCGTGTCACCAAAGCAGGAAACCTCATCCTGTTGTCTCCCCAAACCCAATGTCCATTGCAAATCAAATCCATGAAAATTCCTTGCAGTAAGAAAGGTTCTTCCAGAACTCTGAATCCCAGCTTCCAACTCCATCTCAAGAAAGATTTTAACTGTTTATTCTGTTTGTGTTAGAATAAGGTTGGCATTTTGGGCAAGGAGAATTTTGCCTCTAAAAAACAGATTGTTAAATTTGGTGGAAAAGAAGTCACCTAAAGGATTTACTATTCTTGAACTACTTTCTTCCCTGTCTAAACCTTTACTGAAAACACTTGATCTAAAGTCTATTTAGGTAATTTAACAGATTTTTGAACACTGCATTAATGCTTAAATGCTTAATGCTAAAAACATTTGCCTTATTTTCCCTCCACTCTGACCCCCAAGTGTGGAGCAGCAGAATAAAAAGAACAGTCAGGGATTTTTAACAAAATAAAACCCAATTGTAAACCACATGTAAGCATCTCAATTACATAGGAGCATTTACACAACCAAAACTGAGTTGTTTCAGAGCCTCCCAGCAGCTGCTCAGTGAAAACTGTGGCAGCTCCTGCCCAGAGAAGTTTCTTTTCTGTCTTAAAATACATTTAATGGAGGCTCTTTAAAGTCAAGGTTATTGAGAAAAAACCCTAAAGGGATTCTGGAAGAGGATCTCTCCACAAAAGAAGAAAAAAATATCACCAGAAAGGGCAAAAAGGGCAGGTACAGAGTTAAAGAGAACTGAATTAGTCTGAGATCTGCACTGCACATTAAACCAGTGGCATTGTTCCACCTCAAATTCCCTGCTAAAAACCCCAAACCTAGCAGAGCCTCCTTCAGGGGGACCAAATTGTCAAATTCTGCTCTCAAAAACACCTGGGAGGGCCCAAAGCAGCCCTGAGCCCCCTCCCTGCTGAGCTCCTGCTGCTCTCCTGCCCCAAAGCCAGGCATGGCAGGGTGGGTGCTCCTGAAATGTGTTTTATGTGTTTTGTGTGTTTTATGTATTTTATGTGTTTTACTGGCAACTGCTGCACTGCAGAACCTTGTCAGATTTATTTCTCATTGACACATTCAACATCCTGAACTCCTAAAAAACTTTTTTTTTTTTTTAAGTGGGATTTTACTAGGAAAAAAATAAAGGAACTAACTTGGAGCTCTCCTTCCCACCAACCACCTGGATTCTTCTTTCTGATGAGAATCAACTGGCCAGGAGCAAGAGTCAGCTGTTCTGGGCCTGTTGCTGTGTAAGAGGCAATAACTTGGGCAATTTCTGTTGAAGCAGAGGAGGAAAGAAAAGGTTAATTTGAAAAAAAATCTGAGCACATTTTATCCAACATTAATCCTGCTATAAGACTGTGCTGTTATTCCTTTCCATCAAATTGTTATGGATTTATATTTTCATGAATACATGTGGTAATTGTAAAATAAATGAGAGGTTCAGAGCACTACAGGAATAAATAAGTAATAAACCAGAGGTGCAGCAGCTCTGTGGTAGGAGATCAAAAATGTTTGAAATGGAGAATAATAATGACAATGATAATAATAATAATAGGAACTATACAGCTCTTAAAATCCAGTGTTTTCCAGTAAATACACCTTTGCACTGAGCTCCCTGAGGAGAGGAGACACATCAATGACAAAATAATGAAATCATTTTGTCATTGATGCAAATTGAGGCTGGCAGAGAATTTCTCAGCAGCTGGCCCCAAAAGGAATGTTTTCCAAAGCAGCAAAGAGGATTTCCCTGGAAATCTCTGCTCCCTCCAGCACGAGGGGACACAGAGCAGCTGGGAGCTGACACTTCCAGGGAATTACCCCAAGCTGGGCTGGAGTTTCCCCTGCCCCACAGGGCCTGTGGCACAATTCTGGTCTCCACAGGCTGGACCCAAGGAGCTGCAGGAATTGGGGTGTCCCCCAAAGGCTCAGCCTGTCCCCAGGCCATGTGCAGGATGAGTTCAACACTCCCAAAGTGGGGCTGCTGCTGCTGGAGCTTCCTGAGGGATCAGGAGAGTCACTCAGCCCCCAGGGATTCATTCCAAGGGCAGCTGGGGCAGAGGAACCCACAAACCCTGGAAGGCTGGAACTCAGGGAGGCTTTGGTGCAGGGAAGACACAAAGAGAGTTGAAATGGAAATGATCAAATGATTGATGTGAGATTTAGAAGGAAAGGAGCAGTAGGAACATTAGAAATGATCAGAGAAGCAATTGAGACACAGATGAGCAGCATGAGGAGGAAGAGGAGCAGCCCAAGGGCACTGCAGGGAGCAGCAGCTGCAGCAGGGCAGGGACAGGGAGCCAGGCAGCTGAGGGGAAGCCTGGAGTGATAAAGGTGCTTTAAACCTGGATCTGGGTGAGCACACACAGCCATGGAGTCATGGAATGGTTTGGGTTGGAAGAGCCTCAAATCCCACCCAGTGCCACCCTGCCATGGCAGGGACACCTTCCCCTGTGCCAGGCTGCTCCAGCCCCAGTGCCCAGCCTGGCCTTGGGCACTGCCAGGGATCCAGGGCAGCCCCAGCTGTGCCAGGGCCTGCCCACCCTGCCAGGGAACAATTCCTAACTCCCAAGATCCCTTCCAGCAGCAGAGCCATGCTCCCAGCCCAGCTCCTCCTGGCTCTGCCCTCACCCAGCACTGACTCTGCTCCTGGTTTTTCTCTGTTTAAACCTCCCACTCTCCTGCCAGCCCCTGCTGCATTTAATGAGAAATTCCTCCTCCTGTCTTCTGCTCCCACAGCTGAGAAACCTGGAGAGGGGCTGGGGACAAGGGGGAATGGCTTGAGCAGTCCAGCAGGGAGTTCACATTCTGAGCAAGCAGGTTTTCATTCTCTAGCTACATGTTATTTAGTGATTGACACACTAGAATGATTAGAGGACGAATTCTTTTATTACATTTACATTATTTATTAACTGCATTTATTCCAGTTGGTTTATAATGGTTTTCATCAGTGCAAACCACTCCAAATGACCAAGAGCAAACACTCTATTTTCATGGAAAAGGTTTTGTTGCCATTAAATTCAACACTTAAGAACAGAATGGCTCCCACTGCTCTGCTGAGCAGTCCAGCAGGGAGTTCACACTCTGAGCAAGCAGGTTTTCATTCTCTAGCTACATGTTATTTAGTGATTGACACACTAGAATGATTAGAGGACGAATTCTTTTATTACATTTACATTATTTATTAACTGCATTTATTCCAGTTGGTTTATAATGGTTTTCATCAGTGCAAACCACTCCAAATGACCAAGAGCAAACACTCTATTTTCATGGAAAAGGTTTTGTTGCCATTAAATTCAACACTTAAGAACAGAGAGAAGGTGGTGTCACAGTGTTTGACTCACCAGGTTTCTTCCCTAAGCTTCCTGTTTTCCCAGCTGCTCCTGGAGCCTTGAAATGGAGAACAAGAGGCAAGTTTAGCACTCAGGTTTCTTTCTACAGCACATGAAAATGATTTACAAAGCTTCACTCAACAAGCATGTGAGCCAAAAACTCACAGGAAATTCTGTTCTTAAAGAAATCCTTAATATTTTACATGGCAATAAACATCTGGGAATAAATACCAGCATGAAGTGGATGGTTTGTTAATGCACAAGTGCAGACTTTTATTCCCTTGCACGGGCTGCAGATACCACAGTATATCCCATTTGCAATCCCAAAGGAGATCCCATTTGTAATCCCAAAGGAGATCCCATTTGCAATTCCAAAGGAGATCTCATTTATAATCCCAAAGGAGATCCCATTTGCAATCCCAAAGGAGATCCCATGTGCAATCCCAAAGGAGATCCCATCTGTAATCCCAAAGGAGATCCCATGTGCAATCCCAAAGGAGATCCCATTTGCAATTCCAAAGGAGATCTCATTTATAATCCCAAAGGAGATCCCATGTGCAATCCCAAAGGAGATCCCATTTGCAATCCCAAAGGAGATCCCATTTGCAATCCCAAAGGAGATCCCATGTGCAATCCCAAAGGAGATCCCATGTGCAATCCCAAAGGAGATCCCATCTGTAATTGCAGATCCATGTACCTACAGAATGGGAATTCTGTGGAGGTGAGCTGAAACAACAACAGAATTTTTCATCCCTGCAAATTGCTGGATTGCAAACATTCCTGAGCAGCTCCCTGCACCCAGACAGGGTGAGGTGAGGGATGAACATCAGCATCCAAGGGACTGGGAAGCAAGGCCTTCAAACAGCCACAAGAAATCCAGCAAAACCTGACATCAGTCCAGCTCCTGCCCCTAAATCATTCCTGCAGTTTCCTCCCAGGCCACTGACAGATTTATGTCCTGCAGTAAGGAGCTCTGAGGTGGATTACAGCAACTTAAATCTAAACTGGACTGTGGCCAGGAATGTTGGCAAGTCATAGAAGTCCCTCTGCCTTCAACACTTCCACCTCCCTCAACTTCACCTTTAGATCCTCCTCACAAACTTGGAGCCAACATCAAACCACCCGAAGGCCTCCACAGAATCCTAATTCCTGTGTGGAAAAGAACAATTTCCTTCTCCACATTCTCCCTGCCAGCTGATGTTTTGGAAACTTGGGGATTCTGGCAGGAATTAAACTGAGGAGTAAGTGAAGAACAGCTGAGTGGCTGAGAGAAAAGGGCCCTCAAACCCCTGTGCTGGCTGTGAGTCACCCACAAAATGGATTTCAGGTACATCTTCAGCTTGCCTTGATGTCCCACAGCTCCTTCCCTGTCACACATTATTGCAGTTACACCCCTCAGGAGCAGCAGATCTTCCTCTCCTCCCTGCAGTCCTTTGATGGCCCCAGATCCCCCCACCCTGGGAGGTGGGAGCCAGCAGAGCCCCCAGGGGATCAGGGCAAAGCCCAGAGCAGCTCTGGGGACAAGGGGACATGGCCCTGCCAGAGGAGAGAACCAAAGCACTGCCAGGTGATGCCAGGGACTCCTCCTGCTCTGGGAAGTGTTTCTGGAGAGGAAGCCTCTGCCCTCCTCAGCACAGAACAGTGCCTGCACCCTCAGAGGAGCCCCTCCTCCCAACTCCTTGGTCAGCTGCTGGGTCAGAGGCACATGGACAGACCAAACTGGGCTGGGACATTGCCTTTGCTGGGAAACAGAGGTGGTTTTAAAACAGAAACCTCAGAACCACCATGACCACACTGAGTCTGAATTGTCTTTGAGGAGTCTCTGAATCCTCAGTGCAAAAGCAGCAGGAACACATGGAAAAGTCCCACAGCACTTCAAGAAATAACTGAATTCATAATTTAGGATGGTCCCCATTTCTGGCCCACTCAGGAGAAGCATTTCCCATTCCTTCTGCAGAGGGAAGACACAGCAGTGAGGACAGAGCCTGTTCTGCCTCCCTGCACACCTGGGACACTCCCTCAGCACCTGAGGGCACCTTGTGACAAGTGATGAAGTCTCCTGAGCCAGCAGAGCAGAACTGGCTCTGTCACTTCAATCATCCCCAGCAAGGACTTGCCAATTGTGCTTCAAATCCCAACTTGAGCCATTCAGGGATTATTTTCTGAAGCCCTATGCAAAGTTTTATAATCAGATGTCTTGAAATTGTTGTGTTTCCAAGCCATCCCCACAGAGGGAATTCTCACCAGTGTCCAGAATAAAACCCTGTATCCATCCCTCCCTCTAAGGAACAGCCTCAGAATGGGTCATTGCTCCTCTGAAGAACAAAGACTTTCCCACTTTTTAATAAACTGAAGCTTGAAGGAACAGGGAATGGTTTGTTTTAGCACCCTGAGGTGAATGGGCACAGAAGAACAAATTTAAAAAATTCTTCTGCTGTAGAAACCATTGAGATTTTGAGTCATTTCTAGAAACTCTGCCCTTGCTGCTGAAAGATCACCCCTGCTTTTCTTTGGTTCTGTCAATAGTGCAGAACACATGAAATTATTCCTCTTTTCAGAACATTTTCCAGCCCAGGCAGCTGTCCAAGCACAGCAGTACATCTGAGTGTGAGAGAGTGAGATTTCAGAGAGCCAGGACTCTGAAATCCTCTGCAAAAACTGCCTGGGAGCAGGCTGGAGAGCAAAACCCAGTTCCCCCCTTGGAGGCAGGTCCCTGTCCTGCAGGCACATGGCATGGAAAAACCATCCCAGGGCAGGGGCTCCACCAGCTCTGGGCTTTTCCCTCCCTCTCTCATCCAGATTGGAGCTGAAGGTGGCATTTTCACCAGCACAGAGGGCACTTGGAGCACTTTTGGGTGAAATGCAGTGAGCTGGGGCAGCCCCAGGCAGTCTCTGAGGTGCCAGAAACCCCAAAGTGAGCTCTGACAGAACTGAACACCTGAGCTCTGCAGTGCCCCAGCCCCACCTCTCCAAGGACTGAACATCACCAACCACAAGGGTTTTAACCCTGGCCCAGAGATGTTGTTGGAATTTCCTGACACTGCAGAAATTTCCCCTTGAAAGGTTTCCCACAGCTGAGGTTTCACTGCAGCTTTTGTCCTCTGGCTTTTGCAGCAGCAGGGATGGATTTAAGGAGTGACTGCTCAGGCTCTGTGCTGCAGCCTTTCACTGAGTTCTTGTGCATTACCTTCCAGATCTCCCAAAATCCACTGATTTTCTTTCATTTATCTTTAACTCCCCATTATTCCAAGATATAAACCAGAATCTTCTCATCAAGAGATCAGTCATGTACTCAACTCTGAATCTAAACTAATTCTTATTGGGAGACAAATTATCCTCTCAAGCCATATAAATGAGAGAACATCTATCTCCCTTTAGAATGCCTAAAAAGAAAGCAAAAAATCCCCCAAAAAACAAAACAAAAAACCAAAACCCAAAACAAAACAAACCACCAAAACAAAAAACAAAAAAACTAAACCAAAACAAAAAAACCAACCAAACAAAAACAACAACAAAAAAACCCCCAAAAACCCCCCCCAAAACAAACAAAAAAACAGAACAAACAAAAAAACAAAAAAAACTGTGTTCTATGGAATTATTTCAAGATAAAAAGAGATGAAACAGAACCTCTATTACTCAGTCAAAATCTGACAAATAAATACAGTCGTTAGCAAAGTTTTGGTACAAAATTTGTTCTTGATTGCAAGAAATTACAGGGAAAAAATGTAATAGATTGAAATATTACTGTGCAGATTTTTTTTTTTAATAATGGCAGTAAGATGCAGCTCAGGCATTAAAAACTTATCAGGGCAATAAAACAATCATGGCTGTTCTGATCAGTGTCTAAAAATCTGCCAAGTGCACTAGTGATGCAGGCATTATTGCCATGGAAGGTCCCCCAAGTTATTTATAATATTAAGCTGTAAAATGCAACTACAGCTGTTATTGTAATTGTTTTTCCTTTCCAGTCTCAGTCAATAAATCTGCAACACATTTTTATTTCCCCTACCACGCCCTGCCCTGCAGCTACCACTAGAACCCCAAAGAAAACATTTCTCTACCTCAGAATCTTTGAGTCTCACATAATTAGATGGGAAAACTCCTGATTTATCACCCAGCGTTCCCGTCCACCAGTCACCATCTTTCTTTGTCACCAGGATCAGGTCACCTTGTTGGAAAGTGAGGTCCCCCTGCTCCGAGCTCTCGTAGGTGTACATGGCAATGTACTCTGCAAAAGGGAACACAGCACATGGAAAAGCCCTGAGAAAGCTCCCCTGGCAAACCTCAGCCACAGCAGGGCCAGGCAGAAGGCAAATTTTTATTTATTACTCATAGAAACATCAATATTTAATGAATAAAATTGTATCTATCACAACTGAATAGGATCTATCAAAAAGCTGCCTCAGGGGGACTTGTATATAATTTGCTGGTTTAATTTTATGTGTATATATGTACATATATATATATTTATGTACATTTTAATAATTTAAATGTACATAAATCATTCATTCAGATACTAAACATGTTTCCCAGTGGTTTCTGGGTTGTGCTGATGAGTGGGATTTTCAGAGTTTGGGATGCAAAGTGCACACACCTTAAAAATCACCTTCTGCACATGAGCTTTTCTGCAACCCTCTCAACAGAAGATGTTAAACCCCTGCTTTATTGCCTCTCAAAACCACAGCTTTTTTGAAGTGTTTAAACAAAGGTTGTGTTCCTTTCTCACACAAACACAACACCTGAGATATCCCACCTGGGACAAGACCCTGCATGCCCACAGTTCCTTCTCCTCAAACACCAGGAAAACCAGAACAAGGTGATCCTGAATTAAAGTCCCTTCCAACCCAAAGCAGCTGGGATTCTGGAATAATTACTTATTATTATATTATTATAATAATATATTAACAACAGATTATATTATAATCTGTTATTTCAAAGTACAGCAGCTGTACTTTGAAATAACAGATTATCTCCCTTTTCTCTGCTGCTCCCTCCTTTTAGTTTCTGTAGTGCTGAGTACAAATTAAATATAAATATCCCTAAAACTGTACCTGGGATTGCAGTTAGAAAATTCAGGTGTGCAGTAGGGACCACACACAGATGCTCACCTGTGACCTGCATTTAGATTAACTGATCTCCTCTGCCTGTGATTTAATTAACCCCCAGCCACCTCTGCACTGCAGGGGATTAAGAGTTAAGGCAGCTCAGGTTGGGGACATTCCCCTCCAGCTGAAAGGTGACAACAGCCAGCAATTCCCCTTTTAAAACCCTTCAGAAAAATATCTGTGAACCCTGAGTCTGTGCCCCAGGCTCCCCCTTGAAAACGGAGCTGAGCAGAAGGATCCCAGAATTCCCTGAGTGACTGTCACTGCCTTCAAGGAAACACTGGGAATGGACTTTGGGGAAAATGAAAATATTTACAATTCCCTGTATTCCCTGAGTGACTGTCACTGCCTTCAAGGAAACACTGGGAATGAACTTTGGGGGAAAATGAAAAGATTTACAATTCCCTGTATTCCCTGAGTGACTGTCACTGCCTTCAAGGAAACACTGGGAATGAACTTTGGGGAAAATGAAAAGATTTACAATTCCCTGTATTCCCTGAGTGACTGTCACTGCCTTCAAGGAAACACTGGGAATGAACTTTGGGGAAAATGAAAATATTTACAATTCCCTGTACTCCCTGAGTGACTGTCACTGCCTTCATTGAGAGCTTTAATGAAACATTGGGAATGAGCTCTGGGGGAAATGAAAATATTTAAAAATTCCCTGTATTCCCTAAGTGACTGCCACTGCCTTCATTGAGAACTCTAATAAAACATTGGGAATGGACTCTGGGGAAAATTAAAATATTTAGAATTCCCTGTATTCCCTGACTGTCACTGCCTTCACTGAGAGCTCTAAAAAAACACTGGGAATGAACTCTGGGGGAAATCAAAATATTTACCAATTCTTGACACCATGGACAGATGTGTTTATTTGACCCTCTGTGAAAACCCATTCTAGATCAGAAAATGTCACCAAAATAATGACAAAAAAATAGAAATATTGGAAAAAGTATAAACTACAAAATATATTTTCATATCTTTTGTAGTTTGTAGTTTTTCCAGTATTTCTATTGGATATTTTAATATCTTTTGTAGTTTGTACTTTTCCCAATATTTCTATTGGATATTTCCATATATTTTGTGATATATGAAATTATAATGAAATGAATATATATGAAAATATATGAAATTCCTTCTCTACACACAACATATATAAACTGTTACTCTAATAATAATAATTCTAAATTATTCCAGAGGCAAACTGATTAGCTCTTGGATTTCAGCACCACTTGAAGAGCACAGTCTGACTCCTGATTCTGGCAAAAAGCAGAGTAAGAGGCTGCCAGGGCAGCCAGGACTCACCTTCCCCTGACACTGCTGCCTTGGCTGCTGGGGATGCTACTCTTTTCAGACTAGCAGGACTTTCTGAGGAACCAGAATCCATGCTTTAGAAGAAAATAATGGTTATTTAAGAAATTCAATCTCTTCAGAAAAATTGTTATTATATTTCAAATATAAAATGCACGTGCACCCCCAAGCAACTCCCTGGGTTTTAAAAGAAGAGACAGTAAATGTGCAAAATAAAGCTTTGAATCCAGTGGTCTGCCATGGTCACATTTAAACAACTGCCTTAAATACAGAATTTTCTGCATCTCCTCTTTTTCCTCAGGAAAAAAATGATCTAAAATCATTCTCATTGGTACTCCTAATGCTAATGTTGCCTTCACATTACAAAAAAAAAAAAAAAAAAAAGAGATTTTAAATGTTTAATCCTCCAAGAATAATGAGGAGTAATTTAGATTTGAGGAATACCTTTTAATTTTGGGCAGAGAGGAGCTGTGACTTACACAGCTGTACTTCAGAAAGTCCAACACACTCATTTTTCAGTTGCAAGTCACATAAAATTAAGAAGGTTAATTAATCTTTTGTTGGTCAGGGAAGACCAGAGGAGAACTGAGGACAGTTTTCTTATTCGTATTTTCTAATTCTTATGGAGGTCAGCTTTCTTATTTCTCAAAGTCTTATCTTCTTATTATTAAAATTATTTCTTAATTTTCTTCTTATTATTATTATTTCTTAATTTCTCAATTAAGAAATAGAAAATTTCTTATATTTTCAGGATTGGAAGTCCAAACCCTCCAGATAAAAACAGGGTCTCTTTTACAGGGTGGAACTCTAAAATTCAATCCTGCAGCTCTTCCAATTTCCTTCCACCCCAGCACAGAAGTGAAGGACAGAAAAAACAAACAAAATACCTCGTGGACTTCCTAATGGGGCCTGAGATGAGCTTGACATAGGATTTGGGGAACCAGCCCTTGTGGCCCTGCACCTCCCCAAACCACCACATGTCCTGCTGCTCCAGCACGGTGATCACGTCGTTCTTGTTGAAGTTCAGGTGGTTGTCCTTCTTTGCTCTCCAGGGATACAGAGCCTGGGCCTGAAGCCCCTCCACTTTTTCACCCTTCAGAAAGAAAATCAGGAGTCAGTCATGCTCTGCCTTCTGCAACAAAGCTACTTATACAGCAACAAACTAAAATAAACTCTCTCAACTAAGGCATCGGTTAAACTTGCAAAGGAATTCCAGAAATGGTTACAGTCCTCCTGCAGTTCTGTCTGTGAACACATCATCAATGCAATGCAAGATTAAATTAATTGCTTTTATTTAAGTTGTGTAATAAACCCTTGTGAAGCTGCTTTGGCAGGACTTCTAGGCCATTTTATGGGAAATGGTGCTTTGCTGCACTTTATTCATGGTATATTGCAATTTCTTTTTGCTCTGAGGTAGATATTCAGCACTTCCCAGAAGACATGAGCTCTCCAGAAGAGTTTGTTTTTCCACTGAGGAAAAGGAAATGCCTGAAGAGAGGGAAGAACACAGCTGGGAAGCTTTGCCATTGCTATTCCACTCAACCCACCTGGGAGTGGAGGTTGTCATGGGAGTGAAGAAAGCCCCAAGGAAGTGACCCAACCCTGTACCACCAAAATCTAAAAAAGCCAACCCAGACCAGCAAACCAGGAATTGTTTGGTGTTAAATCCAGCCCCAGATATTGCCAATGGATCAGAGATCCATAGAATGGTTTGGGCTGGGAGGGACCTCAAAGCCCACCCAGTGCCACCCTGCCATGGCAGGGACACCTTCCCCTGTGCCAGGCTGCTCCAGCCCCAGTGTCCAGCCTGGCCTTGGGCACTGCCAGGGATCCAGGGGCAGCCCCAGCTGTGCCAGAGCCTGCCTGAAAGTGCCTAAATGAGGGATGCAGGCCTCCAGGCAGCTCTTCCAAATGCAGTTTATTACATCCAAGATGTTACAGCACTCCAGGGTTGTGGGTGACAGAGCCTGTGCCTAGAGCTGTCAGCTGCAGGCAGCCTGGAGACCCCGAGTTCAGGTTACAAATGCATTATACACTTTTCTTTTTTGAGCATCTCAATCCAGTAGAACCAATCTATACCTTGACTTTTATCTATAGCCTCTCATAACTACTACAATTACCATATTCATGTTACTATTCTCCAATCACTAAAAGTACATTACAGTTTAAGCTAGAAGTTGTTCTTCAGTTTTCTTGCAGTGGAAAATTTGGAGACCTTTTTTCTACTTGCAACATTTGCTGACTTGCTAGCCTGTGCTATTTTTCTGCTTGGTGAAAACATCTTCTTGTTTGAGGTGGGTTTATCCTTTGTTCTAAGTCATAAAAACCCCCTTATAACTAACATACCCTTTGCCTCCTTGGTTATCCAGTAAGACTGGCTCAGCAATTCTTTTCTTCTATATCAAAATTTGCTTCCATCTCTATTCCTTCCTCAGTCTCTACATTCAAAAATCTTTCTGCTAAGCATACATATCTGTGAGACTTTCTTGTCAAACTTTCATCCTTCCCAACACCTGCCCACCCTGCCAGGGAACAATTATATCCTCATTTCCAAGATCCCATCCAGCCCTGCCCTCTGGCACTAGGAGCCATTCCCTGGGTGCTGTCCCTGCATCCCCTGGAAATTGTCTCTCTCCAGCTTTCCTGGGGCTCCTGCAGGCCCTGCAAGGCCACCCTGAGCTCAGCCCAAAGCTTCTCCTGTGCAGGTGAACAATGCCAGCTGTGCCAGCCTTTGCTGCCAGCAGAGCTGCTCCATCCCTCTGCTCATCCTGGAGCCTCCTCTGGGCTCTCTGCAGCTCCTCCTGGGCTGGGGCAGCTCTGCAGGTGGGACCCTCCCTGCCGCCCCTCCTGCAGGTGCTCCCTCTGTCGTGTCAGGTGAGTGTTTTAACACGCAGGCAAGGCTCCCACTCTGCTCTCCACGCCTTTGTGGGGCCCAGAGCACGTGGGCGAGGCCAGGAGCTCACCTGGCCCAGCACAGGGGACGGGGACGAGCCGGTGACAGTGGCAGGGGTGAAGGCCGAGCGCTGCCGGAGCTGCCCCGCGCTGGGCACGGTCAGCGAGGGCTGGGCTGCCCAGGCATCCCAGTTATCACTCTCTGCCTTCTCACTGCTGTTTGCTGGCCAGCTGGAAAGGAAAAGAAAAGAACAATGTGATTCCTACTGGTTTTAACAGTAGGAACAAAAAAAAATTCACACAGAACAAATATTTCAACTTTCTACATGAATTTCTTTTCCAGCACCTTAATTCCAGGTGCAGCAGTGCAACTGAACACTGGTGAAGCACAACTTCCCCTTCAAAGGCAGCCCCCACACTGAGCTCCCTGTCCTTGCCACTGAAGGACAGGTTTTTATCTCAGTTCTTAGCTGTGTCCCTACAAACAGAAGTTCAAGCAGCGCAGGCTGCATTATGCACAGTGGAAAGAGAAATAAAATAATTAATCATTCTTTACAAAACTGGTTTGAAATCTTCCCCCCTGCATGTCACTGACCTCTCACATCCCTTTTCTTTAGACACAGGATCATGGAATGGTTTGGGTTTGGACCTCAGAGCCCACCCAGTGCCAGCCCTGCCATGGCAGGGACACCTTCCCCTGTGCCAGGCTGCTCCAGCCCCAGTGCCCAGCCTGGCCTTGGGCACTGCCAGGGATCCAGGGGCAGCCCCAGCTGTGTCAGGGCCTCCCATTGAGATATCAGTTTAAAAACATGGATTTCATGGGCAAAGGAGAAGGAATTGCAGCTGATAAAAGTGCCCAGTATTGAGTTAAGACACCCAGGGATGGGCACGTGTTCCAATTCCATCAGTTTTAATAATGCTGTGACCAGGAATCAAGTGAGCTCTTCATGTCACCTCTGCCATTTTCATATTGAAAAGAGCAATAAGCAGGTTGGAAGCCTTCCATAAGGCTTGGTGGAAACTAATGTAGGAGAAAGGGATTTAGGAGCTGGCAGTACCTGAAGGGGCTCCAGGAGAGCTGCAGAGGGATGGTTCATTAGGGAGAGGAGTGGCAGGGCAAGGGGGAATGGGTTCCCACTGAAAGAGAGGACATTTCAGTGGGAGATTAGGATGGAATTGTTCCCTGGCAGGGTGGGCAGGGCTGGCACAGGGTGCCCAGAGCAGCTGGGGCTGCCCCTGGATCCCTGGCAGTGCCCAAGGCCAGGTTGGAGCAGCCTGGCACAGTGGAAGGTGTCCCTGCCATGGCAGGGCTGGCACTGGGTGGGCTTTGAGGTCCCTCCAACCCAGTCTGGGATTCTGTGATTCCAAAGGAAGTGAACCCCTTGGGATTTCCCCCATGCCCACATGGGGATGTCTCTGCTCATGCTGTACCCAGGCAGGGCTGATGGGAGCAGCCCCAAGTCCCACAGGGCTTCAACTTCAACTGCTTCCTACAGAAAGCATCCTTCACATCCCAAAATGTATTTTTAGTTTGGCTCTGTGCTCAGGGCCAGCTCCAAAGGAGCCCAGGCAGCCCCCAAACCTACGTGGAGCTGAAGTCTGCCCAGTTGTTGGCTGCTGCAGGAGCCTCTGCAGGGGCAGGGGCTCCCAGGGCAGTGGAGCTTTCCTGCACAGACACTTTGGGAGCAGCAGAGGGCTCAGCCACAGGCTTGGCAGAGGCTGGAACTTCACTGTCTGGAATCTTCTCTGCATAGTTTGCAGGGAACCATCCAGTCTTCCCCTTCAGTTCTCCACCGAGCCATCCTGGCTCTCCAGTCTGGCTTTCATCCACCTGCAGACACAGAAGTCAGAGAGTTAACAAACACATCCTGCAAAAGGGAATTTTCCTGAAAACACCCAGATCTCCTCTGCAGTAATGAACTTTTTGCAATACAAGAGTGCTCCACAATTGTTTTTTTCCTTTTCTTTCCATATTGAAACCACTGAACCATGGAATGGTTTGGGTCAGTAGGGACCCTAAAACCTGTCCTGCTCCACCCTGCCATGGCAGGGACACTCCCACTGTGCCAGGCTGCTCCAGCCCCAGTGTCCAGCCTGGCCTTGGGCACTGCCAGGGATCCAGGGGCAGCCCCAGCTGCTCTGGCAATTCCAATCCAGCCCCTGCTCACCTTCCCAAGGAGGAAATTGTTCCTAATACCTGACCTAATTTTTCAGTGTGAAGCCATTCCCTGTGTGCTGTCCCTGCATCCCCTGGAAATTGTCTCTCTCTAGCTTTCCTGGGGCTCCTGCAGGCCCTGCAAGGCCACCCTGAGCTCAGCCCAAAGCTTCTCCTGTGCAGGTGAACAATGCCAGCTGTGCCAGCCTTTGCTGCCAGCAGAGCTGCTCCATCCCTCTGCTCATCCTGGAGCCTCCTCTGGGCTCTCTGCAGCAGCTCCAGCTCCTCCTGGGCTGGGCCAGGGCTGGGGCAGCTCTCAGGTGGGCTCTCACCTGTGGGGCACAATCCCAACCCCAACCCCAATCCCAATCCTGACCCACACAGGGATCTGGGACCCCATTGGGGCTGGATAACCCACACAGGGAACCCACACAGGGATCACTGACCCCATTGGGGCTGGATAACCCACACAGGGATCTGTGACCCCACAAGGGGCTGGATAACCCACACAGGGATCTGGGACCCCATTGGGGCTGGATAACCCACACAGGGATCTGGGACCCCATTGGGGCTGGATAACCCACACAGGGAGGGATCAGGCACCCCAGGCAGGGCAGGATCTGCAATCAGCACACAGAGGGAACAAGCAGCACTGCAAAGGCAAATCTGGCTGGTGGAGATGCTCCAAAAAGAGCATCTTTGAGGTTTGAACCCCAGAAACCACTGGCATTCCTCAGGCATAAGGAAAAAAAAACAAAAACAAAACAACCAAAAGGTTTCAAACCCATGCAATTCGTGGCTCTTCAGGAGAGGATGTGAGTGTAATAATTCTAAAACTGCCTGTGAGGATCCAGATCTCTGTTTATTCAACCCAATGAAGTTCTCTATGCACTCTCATGAAAAGGCATTTTGAAGGATAATTAAACTTCAAAATTCCTATCAGCTCTGGTTTCTTTTTCATCTAAAAAACAAATCACATCTGGTTTTGTAGTACTATATTGAATTTTTAAATAAATTCCTTTAAATGTTTTTTTTTAAGCTATTTTGTTTCAATTTAATTTAATTTTACACCTACCACCCACAAGTCCCACAAGAATCCCAGATTTTTTTTTTCCAAAAGACAACCAGACTCTAAATGTACACCTGAATAGTGAATTACAGTGTGTGGGAGGTTTTTTTTTATTTATTTATTGAGCTGTACTTTAGAACCACAGCTGACAACTCCTTAATTCTGTGGATCACAAAGAAGATTGAATCCAACTCCAACAATCAATAACTAAGAAAACTGATGAGAAACTGCCATTAGAATTCATTGTAGATTTTTCAGGGAAGGATGTCTGTTCCCACACAAAAGCTTGGCTGAGTTACAGCCAGGATTAAAATCAATCTCAACTTACAGTGGAAGGAATTTAAAGTACATTGAAAGGATGGGAGAATTAAAAAGTGGGAGAATTAAAAAGCCAGAGTAACTGTGGAATCCATGGCACAGGCTTTTCCCAGCAGCAGGGCAGAGCAGAGCCCTCCCCAGACTGGCAAAGCCTTTTCCTTCCTGGGGAAATTCTCCTCCTCTTCCCTGGGCTTTACACTCTTGGAAAGATCATTCCCAGGCTCCTGTGACAGAATGAGCTCTGCAAGATATTCCAGGCAGGATCCCAGCCAGGATCAGACCCCAGCTCATGATCCCAACCCAGGAATTCCAACCCAGGAATTCCAGCCCAGGAATCCCAACCCAGGAATCTCAGTCCAGGATCCCAACCAAGGGACCCCAGGTCAGGATTCCAGCCCAGGGATCCCAACCCAGGAATTCCAACCCAGGAATTCCAGCCCAGGTATTCCACCCTAGAAATCCCAACCCAGGAATTCCAGCCCAAGAATCCCAGCCCAGGATTCTAACCCAGGAATTCCAGCTCAGGAATTCCCCAGGAATCCCAACACAGGAATTCCAGCCCAGGATTCCAACCCAGGAATCCCAGCCCAGGAATTCCAGCCCAGGATTCCAACTCAGGAATTCTAGCCCAGGAATCCCAGCCCAGGGATCCCAGCCCAGGAATTACAGCCCAGGATCTCAGCTCAGGAATTCCCCAGGAATCCCAGCCCAGGAATTACAGTCCAGGATCTCAGCTCAGGAATTCCAGCCCAGGAATCTCAGCTCAGGAATTCCAACCCAGGGATCCCAGCTCAGGAATTCCCCAGGAATCCCAGCCCAGGAATCCCAACCCAGGAATTCTAGTCCAGGATCCCAACCATGGATCCTAGCCCAGGATTCCAACCCAGAAATTCCAGCCCAGGAATCCTAGCCCAGGAATCCCAACACAGGAATTCCAACACAGGAATTCCAGCCCAGGAATCCCAGCCCAGGAATCCCAGACCAGGAATCCCAGCCCAGGAATCCCAACACAGGAATTCCAACCCAGGAATTCCAACCCAGGAATCCTAGCCCAGGAATCTCAACACAGGAATCCCAGCCCAGGATCTTAGCTCAGGAATTCCAGCTCAGGAATCCCAACCCAGGAATCCCAACTCAGGAATTCCAACCCAGGAATTCCCCAGGAATCTCAACAGAGGAATCCCAGTCCAGGATCCCAACCCAGGAATCCCAGCCCAGCCCTGGGCTCTGCTGGCACCTCCTGCCCGCTGCCTGCCAGGACCACAGCTCCAAAACGGGTCAGGATTTGAGCTGCAGTGTGGGAGAGCTCCACTTGTGTTGAGTTATCCAAGGAGCAGGGATTTGGGGGCACAGGAAGCTCCCAGCTGGAGCTCAGCTCCACTGCAGCCCCACTGATGCCACCAGGCAGCCTGAGCTTGCAAATTGCTGTATCCAAGGCAAGGCAGCACGGGCACCTCTGGAAGCACAGGACAAACACAGGAGGAGCCAAAGGCAGCACCAACAGCAAACCCTGGCCCAGGGTGTCTGAAGTGCTTTTGGTAACGAGCTGGGCTGTGTTAATTGGACCCCTGGTGGGCTCCAACCCGAGGAAGTGCAGGGGAAGCAGCTCTGGGGGGTCAGTGGAGCCCTGAGGAGCTGCTGGCAGCACTCACCCACTCCCTTCTCACCTCAGGGGAAGCAGGGATGGAAAGCAAGGCATGGGTGCAGCACTGCCCACAGCAGCTGCCCTTTAACCCTTCCTGCAGGGCAGCAGAGCCCCCAGGAACCTGCTGGCATTCTGGAAAAAAAACTTCAATAAAGGCAACAGAGAGGAGGTGCCCTGCTGGGAATGAAGGGGTTAACACCGAGTCCATAAAAACAGATAACAAGACTGAGATGGTCTCAAAGTCTCTAAAATATGTGTGGTGCTCCTTAGAATCACATACTTTGGGGGAAAATTTTATTTCCCTGTAAATCTGTCTTTTAAAATTATTTCAGTGCTCTTCAGAATTGTGTATTTTGGGAAAAATGTTATTTCCCTGCAAATCTCTCTTTTAAAATTATTTCAGTGCTCTTCAGAATTGTGTATTTTGGGAAAAATGTTATTTCCCTGCAAATCTCTTTTCAAAAATGATTCCAGCACTCCTTAGAATCACACATTTAAGGGAAAATGTTATTTTCCCTGCAAGAACAGGGATAAATATGTGCAGAACTGCCTAGAACCACATCTTTGGAGGAAAAATGTTATTTTCTCTGCAAATATCTATTTAAAAATGTGCAAAATTATTCTTTTTTTGGGATAATTGTTATTTTCCCAGCAAGTCTGCCTAACAGGGACCACTCTTGCCCACAGAATGACCTGTAAATCCAGGCCATTCCCTATTTTCCAGGAAAACAAGGCATCCCAGCATTTCCCAGCAGCCTCCAAAGGCCCCTCTCCAGCTTTCCAACCTGTGTATCCTCCCTCAGTCCTCAGCAGTGACACCGAGCCAGGATTCACTTTGGATTTTCCAGAAGCCCATTCCAAGGTCACAAACACCCAATAATTAAAAAGCCAACCCCAAAAGGTTCAATTTCCCAAACCAGTTTTTTTTTAATAATGATAATTACAATTTAGAGGACTTTACAAAGTGTATTTTTGCAAAATCCACTGTTACTAAACTGAGCTAAAATGCAAAAGCTCTTGAAATCAATTTTGTTGGGTAGAACATTGTTGGGAATACATTTCCTCCAGGGAACAATATTTAAGAATTCCCTTAGGAATTTTCATTCTGCACGTTAAGAACATACTAATGATTAATTAGTATTAATATCCACTTAATCCCTGCAGCCATTAACCAGGAATTAAAACTTAGAGAGACAAAAGCAAGCCTTGCTTCAGAGTTTGACACAACCCAGTGACCACATCCCTGAAAAACTGGAAATTATTCTCTACCAACACACCTGCAAGCAGATTTTGGGATTGAAATTTCATTTCTTGCCATATAAAATGTAAGGCAGCCATGGCAGAAGCTGGAGGCTTTTCCCAAGGAAGATCCCAAGCCCTGCTTACCATGACGATGTCTCCAGGCTGGATGGTGATCTCGTCGTGGCTTCTGGATTCAAAAGGATACAGAGCTCTATAATACACTATTTTTACATCCTCCTGAGCAGAAATGGTTAGAGGAGCTTTCTCTGAGCAAAGGAAACACACAGATACAGAGAGAAGAAATCAAACCACCTGATTTTTAACTTCATGGAAAATGGGGTGGAAATGGAGACAAGAGTCACCAAACCTGCAGTCTGCAGAACAACCCTATCCCCTTTTTACACAAGGGAAATAGAAAAATTGATTATTGAAATACAATTTGCTTATTCTTTTCTTCTCTAAACAGGGAAAATCTCAGATAAACAGAATGGCCTGGGCTGGGAGGGACCTGAAAGCCCATCCAGTGCCACCCTGCCATGGCAGGGACACCTTCCCCTGTGCCAGGCTGCTCCAGCCCCAGTGTCCAGCCTGGCCTTGGGCACTGCCAGGAACTGGAAATCCACAGCTCCTCTGGGCAGAATTTGGTTATCAAAGTGATGCAATCCTTTGGACAAATATTTAAACCACTTTTACATTCCCAAACAGTTCTCGTGTGTATCCAAGGCACTTAAGAGGGAAGCAGAATTCTCACTACAGGCAAAAATCAGGATACAATGCACAGAAAAAGCTCTCAGCTGAAAGTGAATGTGGCGAGCAGAAAAGGGGCATTAAATCTTAGATTTCAGGTCATTGCTCCAGTGAACAAAGGAAGGCAGGAAAGGAAAAGGAAATTGTTCCCACTCTGACAAATCCCAAGGCATGTATCCCACACCAAAAAAAACCTACAGAAATAGTTTTGTTGTCTTGCATCGAGGAGAGGAGGAGAAGAGAAGAGAAGAGAAGAGAAGAGAAGAGAAGAGAAGAGAAGAGAAGAGAAGAGAAGAGAAGAGAAGAGAAGAGAAGAGAAGAGAAGAGAACTGTGCCAGAGCACTCCCTGCTGCTGGACCCTACCTGCGTTGGACCATGGAGCCTGGCCAGGCTTGCTGGGCTCCTGGTGGGGCTGGAAGAGTTTACTCAGCTTCTCCTGCATCTCCTGTTTCCCCTTATCCTCACTTTCCTTCTTCTTGGGTAGTTCTTCCCTTTTCTGCTTGTCATCTTCCTGGATTTTTTTTTGCCACTGTGGCTCCTCCTCTGGCTGTCCCCGCTCCAGGCGTGGTTTGTCCCGGTCCTGGATCCGCCTGCGGGACAATGGGGACAACAGAGCCACTCAGACCAAAGCCACCAAAGCTTTTGGGTCATCTCCAGCAAGAGTCCTCTGTAGAGCTTGTCCATGCCCTAACTTTATTTTGCATCTCCCAGCACCTCCTCACACCGGGAATGATTCCAGAAATCACAAACTCAGGGGATGGTTCAGGTGGGAAGGGACCTTGAAGATCCAACCCAAGCCAGGACTCCAAACAGGCAAATCAGAAAGAGAAAAGCAGGAATCAGAACACGTGGCAATCCTTATCCTCATGCTGAGGGGCAAGGAGGAGAAGTATTTGCAAGTTTTACACTCTAGAGAATTATTTGGAATATTTCCCATTCCCAAAGGCCAGAGTTAGCAAGTCCTTCCCCTCCACCAGAGGATAAGACACCAAGAAATGAATAAATATTCTCTGCTGGAAACAATTTGCCCCAGTAAAGACAGCTCTGAAGATCTGAAGGATGGCCAGTGTGCTCCAATCTGTTCCATGGCCTATTCCACCCCTGGAATTCCTTCAGAATTAGAGGCAAACACCTGAGAAGCAGCTGCTCCTCACACACTTGGTGTGCTGCAAAGAACACACCAAGGACAAGGTGAATTCCTGATCAAAAACAGTGGGAGGAAAAAACCTAATTCATGGAATCCCAAATCCCTGGGGCTGGCACAGCCCTGCCAGCCCAGGCAGTGCCAGCTGTGCCCCATGGCCACCTTGTCCCCAGCCCAGAGCACTCAGTGCCACCTGCAGGGGACACCTGCAGGGATGGGCACTGCCAAGCTCCCTGGGCAGCCCCTGCCAAGGCCTGAGCACCCTTTCCATGGGCAAATTCCTGTTGCTGTCCAACCAATCCACTTGCCAAGCCTTAGAGGGTGGCACTAGAGGACACAAACCTCATCTGCATCCCTGGAAGTTTTGGGCAGACAGGAATGTTGCCCAGGAGATGCCAGGGGAGGTGTTACATTTAGGGCTCCACTAAAGCAGTTTGTTACCTCTGAGCTTCTTTCTGCTTTTCCAGTTCCACTGTCTTCCTTTCCTGTTCCTTCTGTTTCAACTTCTCAGCTTCCAGGCTCTTCTGTTTCTGGAGCTGCTGTTTGTTATGGATTTCTCTCAGCTCCTGGATTAAAAAAAGGCAAATAGGTGTAAAAATCCACTCTGTGAATGAGAACTGATGGCTCCAAAGATTTCCCTGTGAGGGGACAACACCTGGCAGTGGTTGGGGACCTCTCAAAGTCACACTCCTGCCAGATGCAGATATTTCAGGTTTATTCCTAGGGTCTATAAACCACCTACTGTTTTCCTATTTTTATCCATTAAAGGGTTAGGAAACCAGAAAACTTTTAAATGGGACTGTGAAAAATGGACAAAACTTAATCTGAACAGTCACATCTGTTTTATTTTGTTTGTTGGTTTATGGAATCCATTTATTGAATTCCAGACACAAATCTGCCCTCTCAGCTCTCACAACAGCAACTCTTAATCAGTTTCATTTGCCAGTTAATGCTGATTTATACACAGGAGACTGAAATCCTTAAGGAATGTCTTTGGGATGAGTCATGGTACAGAGTATTCATTCATATATAAGTCAGCTTTTCTTCAATTGCCTGAAAAAATTAGAATATAAATAATAATACCATAATATTTTCCTCAAGATTTGTTCTCTGCATTAATACCTATTAACACAAATCCAACCTTTATCTGGAATTTCTTTGCACGACCTGGAATTTTGCATCTGAACTCCTCAGGATTACAGTAGAAAAAGGGAAAATTTACCTATGACCACTGAGGATTTTCACTGAAAATAGTTCACTTCAAAAATTGATATCTTATCGTGAAAATATGGTACAGGTAAAACTGAAACAGTTAATCCTGGAAGTATTTGGATGGTTTTTCAGAAGTTCACAATCTACAGTCCACAGGAAGTTTTAATTCCTCATGCACTGACCCAAATGAGAAAATTGCATAAGAAACAAAAAAAGAAATGGAAGTGATTCAAACCCACTGGATACAGGGGTGCAAGCTTCAAAAGGGAAGCTGATCCTTGTGGCTCAGCTCTCAGTTTTATTTCATTACTGCTCCTCAGTTTTAAATTCAGTGAAAACTGAGCTCAGCATCATTAAAGAGACAATCAGTTCCCAGAGAAGTTGGAATTAGAGACATTTTAAGAATAATTTAAGTTTTCCACAGACATTTAACACACTATTCCCTCCCAGCTGGGTCAGTGTTTTGTGAAAGGATTTTTCTGTGACAGGACTGTGTGTTAAGAAAACCAAACCTATTTACAGTGCTGGCACTGGATGGAGCATTTTTGGAGACGAAAAAATCCCATGCACATCCCTTTTGGGTCAGCCAGGAGGAAACAAAGATGTGCTGGGCATCTCATGCAACACTGCTTTGCCAAGTGGGAGGATGGGGGAGGAAGAGCCAGCATCTCCCACAGCTCTGCTGGAAACCAGCTGAAGAAAATTCTGCTAACACCTCAGCAGCCAGGACACTTCCAGCTGGATGCTCAGCACACTCTACACCCATCCTGCACAGACACAGCTCCCAGCTGGACATTCCCCCCAAGGCTTTGCTCATTCCTGGACAAGGAATGCCTTGCCTAAAAAGCAGAGCAATTGTTACCCTGGCATTTAAATCCAAACAGACCAACAAGGAGGATTTGAGGTGTTACAACAGCCACATTCATATTATTGGCTAGGAATAACAGCATTTCAATATTCACTGTATACAGCCCAGTCAGTTGCTACAAAAATCTTCATGGTGGAAGTGGAGTTTTTTTGGCCCAGACTATGCCTTTTTGACAGCAAAACTTGGGATGTTCAGGGATTAAAATCCAAGGTTTCCATCAGATCTTCTCCCCCTGAGACAAGCAGAGCATTTGATGCCAGTGGAAAAGACCCTGAAGTTCTGTGCTCCCTGAAGCTTTTCCAGAGCAACCTTTTCCTGCCCCATTCCCCAGCTCCCAAAGCCTCTGCTCTGGCCTTGGCAGGCAATTCCTCCCTTCACCCCATCCTGGGGGTTTTTTGGGCAAAGGAAGGGAGCTGCCACCCCTCTCCTCCCAGGAATCACAGATGACAGTGATGTGTAGGGATACTTCCCATCCAAGTGTTTGCTTTTAAAAAAATCTGAAAATCATGACCAAAACTGGCAATTGACTTAAACTCCTGAAGTTCCAGATAAGCAAAAGACAAAAATAACTCACTAGCACTGTGCCCAAGTTGCAATTCAAGGCACACTCCTCACACAGGCATAAGGATCAGATAAAAATCTAATGCTAAACTCTTCTGTGTGGTTTTGGTTTGGTGCTGGCACCCCTCAGCAAACACTGCACACTCATCTGCTTAGGGAAAGTGAAGCACATAACTGGAGGAGGCTCCTCACTCAGAGGGAGCTGGGTCCTGCCTGAGCAGGCCACGGAGACCTTTGGGAAGGAGTGTAAGTGCTGGATGCAGCCCAGGAGGAGAGCCAGGCACTGCAGCATTGCCTCTTCCACTGCCACTGACTGGAAGAAAGAAATGCTGAGATGTAAAGAGGGTTGGGAGCAGGAGTGCCCTGCTGACACTGACACACTGACAGCCACGGGACACACGGACAGCACTGGGACAGCTCAGCCCACTGCTTTGGCCAGGCACTGGCAAAGGATTCTCAGCACAAGCACTTCACAAACACCAACTCAGTCCTTGTGTGCTTTTGGGCAGGAGCAGCAGCAAGAAATTCTGGATTCTTCCATGTTCTAGGATGGGCATTAGGGCCTTGGAGCTTGGAGGGTCAGTTTAGATCCAGGGACACTAGGGGGGGATTCTTTATCCTGAGGGTGGGCAGGGCTGGCACAGGGTGCCCAGAGCAGCTGGGGCTGCCCCTGCATCCCTGGCTGGAGCAGCCTGGCACAGTGGAAGGTGTCCCTGGCATGGCAGGGCTGGGATGGGATGGATTTAAGGTCCTTCCAACCCAGCCCATCCCATGATCCTAACAGAAACAAGTGACCAGCTCCATTTCATTGATACCTGCATCAGTATCAATTATCAAATCTCTAGGCTGAGATTATTAAAGAGCACAGAAGTTTCACTCCTTCAACAGTAAGACACAAAGAAGTGGCCAAACTTTCAAACAATCTCAGTCACTTTAGAGCCAAATTCAGCCTAATCCACCAGATGTTTATCTTGTATCATAAAATGCCCCAAATCCCATTTGAAAGGATACCTGAGCAGCCAAACAAGCACCAGCAACCTCCTGAAACCAACTGGTTCTACCTCAAGATCTCCAATACTACAATTCTAATGACCTGATTTGAAATATTAATGACATTTTGCAAGCCTGAAAGCTGTTGGTGGAAATGCACCAAATTCTGTGAGTACTTCCCACTCCAAAGGACTCATCAGAAGGATTTGAAATCAGTTGTTTTGGAGAGGTGACAAAAATATTCAGCAGAAAAAGTATTTATCTCCCTATTCACTCCTATGATATTAAGACACACAGCAAAGATGATGTAATTTAACACTTGTATGAAGTATTGACTTATTACAGAACATAAAAACATGGAGACAAATCCAGAGTATCCTGTAAACTGCTGTGGTTTGGAAAAGTTGCCTGGTAAATGAAATTACCTTGATTAAATCCAGAGTTTGTAATTTATTTGTTTGATAAAAATGCATTTTAAAAGGAAGATTTGCATCTTTCCCATCTTGACCTATTATCCCTTAATTTACAAGAAACCTTTATCATATTTGGAGCTCAGATGTGGTGGAATTGTTGAGACACAATTTGAAAAATTTCCCATTTCACTGTGAGCATTATCCAGCTGCCTGGATAATGGATAATCACACAGATGGCACCACAGCACACACCCAGGAATGACAACTCCATAAGTTCTTCTGCTCTTCAGGGAAATCATTAATTTAGCATTATTTACAAGCCAATTTCTACCTACTGTCAATATCAGTCACTTTTCCAGTGGCGGCTCCTAAAAGTTGTCACAGATTTTTGATTATTTTAGGTAACTGTATGTGAGAATTATGGGAGTTCATAAGGACCTGGCTTGGAGTGATGTGATCAGCTAAGTGTGTTCTCTGTGGGGGGAGAACTCCCACCTCACACAAATCCCAGTAAATCCAGGACTCCAGGAAAGCCTTCACTGGCCCTGGGCACAAAATTCCAGGGTGCTGGCACTGCCCAGGCTGCCCAGGGAATGGGCACAGCCCCGAGGCTGCCAGAGCTCCAGGAGCCTTTGGCCAGCGCTGCCAGGGGTGTCCAGGCTGGGATTTGGGGGGTCTGGGGTGGCACTGGGTGATCCCTGGGGGTCCCTTCAGCTCAGGATATTCCATGGTTCCATGAAGAACAACAGCCATGGAATCATTGCTGCACTCAGCAGCTTCTGAGTGGTTTCTCTACCCCTTCCATGCTGAGCCCACAAAAATCCATGTGCCTTTTTATGGTTTAAATTCAGTTATAAAATCCTCCAGGCCCCCCAAAATATGCCTTGCTCATCTTGAGAAACTACAAAAGGGAGAAGTCTCTGAATTACTGCTCAGTTTCCATAGTACAGCTGGGGCTGGAGCGTGTCCAGGGCAGGGAACGGAGCTGGGAAGGGGCTGGAGAATTGCTGAGGAGCTGGGAAGGGGCTGGAGAATTGCTGAGGAGCTGGGAAGGGGCTGAGGCTGGAGCAAAGGAGGCTCAGGGGCCCTTGTGGCTCTGCACAAGTCCCTGGCAGGAGGGCACAGCCGGGGGGGTCGGGCTCTGCTGCCAGGGAACAGGGACAGGAGCAGAGGGAACGGCCTCAGGCTGGGCCAGGGCAGGCTCAGCTGGGCCAGCAGCAGGAATTTGCCCATGGAAAGGGTGCTCAGGCCTTGGCAGGGGCTGCCCAGGGAGCTTGGCAGTGCCCATCCCTGCAGTGTCCCCTGCAGGTGTGTGGATGTGGCCCCTGGGGACACAGCTCAGGGGTGCTGCTGGGGTGGCACTGGGTGACCCTGAAGGTCCCTTCCCACCCTGACAATTTTGGGATTCTGTCACTGCTCCTCCTCAGCTCAGCCAGGCAGAAATCCCCTCAGGGAGCTGCTCCTGATCTGCTCCTCCTGGCATTGAGTCCCACAATCTCCTCAGGCCAGAAACTTTCTGCTCTTCCCAAAGAAATGTCTCCACAACTCCTTGTCAATTGATTGAAATAAATGTTCTTGTTAAACTGCAAAATCATTTTCCTTTAGTCAAGGCATTCCTGGATTCCTGGAACATGCTGATAAATCTGTGCTTAATGGGAAACTTCCATTTTTAATTACCATCAGCTTGTTACCTGGGAAGTGCAATCCTTCAATATTTAAAAGATGGACTTTTGGGTGACTGTTTGTTGATTTTGGGTGGGTTTTTTTGCTGGTGTCACAATACCAAGACTGTTCACCCCTTTCCCATTTATGTTTAGGTAATTTATAAACAAACCAAACACGGGCACTAATTTTAGAATTAATATCCTTTGGTCCAGTTTATCACTTTTAAAGGACTCCATTAAAAAATTAATACCCAAGAAGCACAACATGGTAAGATGTATCAAAAAATCACATATAAAGAAAAACGAAGTGAGGTTTAAACCTCAAGGACTAATTAAGCGAGGATTAGACTATTCTATTTTCTTTTAAATATAAATTCAAACCAAACACAGGCACTAATTTAAGAATTAATATCCTTTGGTCCAATTTATCACTTTTAAAGGACTCCATCAAAAAAAAATACCCAAGAAGCACAAGATGATAAGATGTATCCAAAAATCACATATGAAGAAAAACTAAGTGAGGTTTAAATCTCAAAGACTAATTAACCAAAGATTAGACTATTCTATTTTCTTTTAAATATAAATTGTGCCCATTTTGTTTGCTCTGTCTGCCTCTGCAGAGATTCTCCCCTTCCATCCTCCCTGTCTCAGACTGGGAGAGTCATCTTCAAATGAACCTTAAAACAGGGGCTCACTTTTAATTTTTCCTATAATTATTAATAACTCCAATTGAACCAAGCTATTTGTTGCTTAATTTCAACCCCACCTTCCATCCTAAATTGTTTGATTTAATCCCAGTTGATCAACTTTCATAACTCCATTAATGTCTCTGTCACAGTGATTTTCCTGCTGAACACTTGCAGCACAATTTGTGCCACCTTGCAGGAAATTGAGCATTTTTGGTCAGCTTTCAGGAGAACCCACCAGTGGAATTAGCAGATAAAGTGCCTGAACACTGGGATATTTTATGAAAAAATGAATGCTTTTAAAAAGTTTGTAACTACAGATTGATTTCCAACTTCTCTCTCCAGAACCCTGACATGGCCAATGCATAAATACACAAAAAAAAAAATCACAGTTTTAACAAAGACTGAGCAGTAAAGCATGAAACCACAAACCACAGGCAGCTGCACTCAGGGACAAGCAGGAGCACACAGACAGCAGATAACAATTCTGGGTGGCAGCAGAAAATCAAGTCTCTTTTATTCAAGATTTCAATTTGAACTCCTGATTCCAGCAGATTTGCTGACCTTGTCCTGCCCTTCATGGATGAAAAGCACAGAAATTGGTAATTTCATTTTTGCAATCACAGACTCGGAATCAGGGCTCAAATCTCCTCCTGAAGAGACTCTGCAGATTAAATTGAGTCAAACCCTGAGTTTGAAAGCTGAGCAGCATTTTCTTCAATAAAATAAAAATTAAATCAAATCCTCAACAGACAGATTGAGAATGCTCCCCAAACTGACATTCTTAATCATTTCAGTTCATTTTTCCCCCCCCATAATCAGGTTAGAAAAGAATTAACTGAACATTCAGGAAGGCTTAAGGAGCCCTGGGTTACCTTCAGCTGATTATTGAAAATATCAATTTCCTGCAGTTTAGATCTGGTTTCTTTCTCCACCTCATCCAGCTGGTCCCGGAGCTGCTGCCGTGCCAGTTCCTTGGCTTCCAAGGCTCTTTTGATGGTGAGGAGGGAATCCCCTGGTTTGGAACACATTGTCAAGTCAGTATTTTCTTCTGTGGAACAGTTTAGGTCACAGAAACCAACATCTTCAACACACAAAGAGCAATTCCAGGGGACACTACAGTGAGGAACGTGTCCTGCCCCAAAATCTACTCACTGTGCAAACTGTTCTGCTGGACCTGCTTGAGCTGATCATTGAGCAGCTGCTTCTCTGGAATCAGCCTGCCCAGCATCTGCTGGGACTCCTGGAGCACAGGGAAAACAAGAACAGAAGCAAAGGTGAGTGAGGGATAACTGCAGCCACCACACCTCTCCTCTTCATTTCTGCTTGGCTTATTGCTCAGTGAACGCTGTGTTATTGCTTGCTTCCCTCCCCTGTGCCACTGATCTTATCCAAGCCCTGTTTGTGTGGTATTCCCACAGATCCCAGACATTCTCTGCCAGTCCAGGACATCTCTGCCAGTCCAGGAGAGTGGATGCATGGAATTGATCTGATTCTAACTGAATATTGAACCTGGCTTGGAATTACCCAGAACTGAGGGCAGGGAGACAAGGCTAAATTTGAGGAAATGTTCAAACAAGCACTTACAAATGTTTAATTCTGATTTTAATAAATAAAACACAGAATCCCAGGATCCCTAGGGCTGGCAAAGCCCTGCCAGCCCAGGCAGTGCCAGCTGTGCCCCATGGGCACCTTGTCCCCAGCCCAGGGCACTCAGTGCCACCTGCAGGGGACACCTGCAGGGATGGGCACTGCCAAGCTCCCTGGGCAGCCCCTGCCAAGGCCTGAGCACCCTTTCCATGGGCAAATTCCTGCTGCTGGCCCAGCTGAGCCTGCCCTGGCTGCCCCCTCCACTAATAGTTAATTAATAATATTAACAACAGTGTTAATGATTAATAACTTAGGTCAGGAATAGAAAGACAAACAATTACAGGAAGAGAAAATAAAGACTTTCCTTTTAAAGGAATATATTCTGGCCAAAAGCCATGAAACACAAGCCCTGTGGGATGACAGCCCCTGAGTCCTTGACCTCTCCTCCCTGAGCTCTTGGCAGAGGATTCTGATCTCAAACTCAGCACGTGGCTGGAAGGTTGTGAACTGCTGTGCTACAGGGGTCCCTGCAGAAGGCACTCTCCCTTTGGAGGACCCTATAAATGTATTTCATGTGGAACCCTGGCCCCTTCCAGAGCATGAAATGCCACCTCACACACTTTTCTGAAGCCTGCACCTCCCAGCTCAAGTTGTCAAAACACCTTCAGCAGCACAAGGTGGAACAGCACCTGAGTATCAACATCCCATCTTTCCCACAAACCCTGGAACTTCTCTGAGCAGTTCTCATCAACATCCCACCTTTCAACATCCCATCTTTCCTACAAACCCTGGAACTTCTCTGAGCAGTTCTCAGGAACTGCAGGCTTTTGAGGAATCAAGCAGCTGACAGTTTCAATTTGTCATGGAGGATTGCAGTGGCATCACTCAATGCTAAGAATAAATGTCCCCTGATCCCTGAACACCAGAGTGAGCCCCAGGGGTGTTGTGGACTCCCCATCCCTGGCAGTGCCCAAGGCCAGGTTGGACACTGGGGCTGGAGCAGCCTGGGACAGTGGAATGTACCACAGGGGTGGCACTGGGTGGGATTTGGGGTCCATCCCAACACAAGTCATTCTCTGATCCCACAATTCCACAGAAAGTTTTAATTATGGTTAAAGCCAGGGTTGAGTGCACTGCCATGGCTTTGGGCTGCCCCACTTTCCTCCTGCCCAGCCCTGCTGGGGCTCTGCAGTGCCCAGCTCAGCTCTGAGCATTATGCAACAACTGCAGCCTCCTGTGAGCTCCTGATGTTCCAGAAAATACCCTGAGACAGCACACAGCACAGCCAAGGACTTTAGGAATTCACAAGCAGCAAAGCAGCAGAATTCAGACAAATTACAGATTAGATTATGAGGAGCTGCACGTGTCCCTCACAGCTGCAGAGCCTGACACAGCAACAGAGCCCTCCCAGCCCCTCAGGGACATCCCAAAACTGGGCACCCTAATCCTGTCTTGCCCTGGGGCAGCCTCACCTGCAGTGCTGGGGACATTCTGGGTGTCTCTAAAAGATCAGAAGCTGCTGGAAAGGGTCCAGGGGAGGGACACGGGGGTGGGGAAGGGCCTGGAGGGGCCCCGAGGTGCCTTGGCCAGCCCAGCCTGGAGCAGCCTGAGGGCAGAGCTCCCCGGGGCTGCAGCTCCTCCCGAGGGCAGCACAGGGACAGCTCCAGCTCTGCTCTGGGACAGGGACAGCACCAGGGAGCGCCTGGGGCTGGGCCAGGCCAGGCTGCAGGGCAGGGAAAGGCTCTTCCCCAGAGGTGCTGGCACTGCCCAGGGAATGGGCACGGCCCCGAGGCTGCCAGAGCTCCAGGAGCCTTTGGCCAGCGCTGCCAGGGGTGCCCAGGCTGGGCTTGGGGGCTCTGGGCAGGGCAGGGGTGGCACTCGGGGGTCCCTGGGGTCCCTCCAGCTCAGGACATTCCTTGACTGCCATCCTGGGACTATTGTCAGCCTGGAAGAAATGGGAAATACCAATATACACAAGCTATAGCCTTGCTGTGGTGGGAGGTTCCCTGCCCATGGCAGGGTGGATGAGCTTTAAGGTCCCCCCCAAACCCAACCCCTCTGTGCTCCTGTGGCTCTGAGAAGGCTGCAGATCAACCAAGCAGCAGAATGTTCATCAACACTAAACAGAAAATCTCCTTCTCCAAGTACAAAAAGCACCACAGGACAGCATTTGAGGGTGGAATGTGATCACAACATCAGCTGCTTTGTTTGTAAAGGCCAGAACACTTCCAAACATCCCAGATTACTCAATGCACCGAATAGTTTGGGGAGTGTGTAAGGACAGAGAATGCCAAGGCATCCTGAAGGCCAAGCCCTGTTTCCTGAAAGCCCAGACAAGCATGGAATAAGCATCTAGCCAAGAACACCCACCACATGGATTCCACATCCCTGCCTCATACTGAAGAAACAGATGAAAGAAATTAACAGCATCACAAGCTCTGGAAATTCGTGCATCAAAAAATGGCCAAGAGTTGAGCAATGTCCCACATGGAGGGGAAATCAAAACCCAGCTCCTGCCCCTGGGACAAGGGAAAATTGTCTTTAAATCACCTGGGAGCCAAGGTGCTCAGCAAGGAGGTAAATAATTGCACTGAGCAAGCCCCAGCCAGCACAGAGGTGTTCCCAGCACAGCCCAGGGTCTGGAGAGCAGGACCCTGCTGAGCACCCCTGCAAGCAGCACAGGGCCAGAGAACTGGCACTCATCCTCATCACCACTTCTTCCACACGTTTAATGAAACTGCATCTTGGGAGTAATTAACAGGCTGAAGAATAATTGCTCCTCTGAATTAACTCATCTTCCCACAGCAAGTGTCAGATGTATTAAACTAAACTGCTTCCAAATGAAGATACATCACCCTACAAAGATAATGACAATATTGACTTTATAACTCTTTGGAGAGTTGAGAGGATGAAAATCTCCTTTTTTAAAACTCATTTACATCTTCAGTCTGTCCTCTACAGATGACATAGGAAAATTTACAGGATATCTGAAAAATTTGTTTTTTTTCAGGAAAAAGCCTTAAGGTTCTCCCCAGACAAAATGTGGCCTTTTCTCCTAAGCAGTGACATTTTCTGGGATCACAATTGGGATAAAAACACCTCAAGTGACACTAAGGGAAATATCAGTGGTGGAGATCAATGAGAGCAGGCATCACCACACAGCCACAGCTACTGCTGCCAAACCCCCTCAAACCAAAACCCAACAGAAGAACTGCCAGGGAGAGCAGGAGTGAAGCTGGGATGGGATTATTTCATTATCATTGCTACAATAAAAATTATTTACAAAGTATTATTGTAATATGTAATAATATTATAATATTAAATTAATTAAATTTATTTCAATTTTTATAAGAAGCACACACCCTCAAAACAAGTCTCATAATCTGAAGGTCATGAGCTCAATTCTCACACAGGGCACCACTAAATGTTGGTGGGTTTCTTGTTTGTTTGTTTTTGTTAGGATTGGGATTGAAAGTGTTTGAGATGGTATTTTGTGTTTGGACTTAGATGTTTATTATTTTTTACTTACATTGTAGTTTTATAAGTTGTGAGTTTTATAGTATTTTTATTAATAAGTTAGAAAATAGTTTTGTATTTATCTTTATAAGTTTTTTTAAGGAAAAGTTATGTAAATAAGAAATTATATTTAAATTATTTTTATTTTTAACTTAACAACTAATTACTTTTTAACTTAATCACTAATTTTTATAATAAAATAGCAGGATTAGGTTTTAAGGCAGGTTTTACACCTCAGCTCCATAAGTGTGAGATTATTTTTAGTGCTACAAACATACTGAGAGCCCCCACGACCAGCCAAGAATTAATTTCAAGCCCTATGAAGTACTTAATAAAGAGAAAAATTCCTGAATCAAATACTGAAAAACCCTTACAAACCACAGTGAATACTCTTTCATAAAGGCAGACACCTCCTGAGCTGCAGCTCTCATGTGACAGAATTTTACATCAGTAAGAAAGGCAAATGCCAGGCTTGGACCAACAACTCCCTGCTTGCACTGGGAGCTTCCATTTCCAAAGTTCATTAATTTTTATAATAAAAAAAAAAAAATCAACGGGCCACTTCACTGCAGTCAGTTCTTTCCCCCAGCACAAACACAATTTCCAAGGGACAATTGTTTTCTGCTTCCCCCAAAAATTTCTGCAGCCAAATAATTTCCTGCTCCCACAGCAGGAGCCCAGCAGGATGAAGGGACAATCCCAGACACACTTCAGGTGCAGGAAGGAGTTCCCAGGCACCTCTGAGGGACATTAATTACAGGAATGACAAATTATCTTGAAGTGTGAGGAACAGCTCATTCCAAGTTTGCTCAGGGTATTGATGTTTTTGAGGAGGTCAAAATTCAAGGCTAAGAATAAAGATAGAGAACATTTTCTCACCTGTAGCTGCTGCTGCAAATGGGTGATTTCTGCAATTCTGAGTTCTCTGGATTTATTTGTACTTTCAATTTCTTGTCTTTGGGTCGACAGCCGACACCTGATATCCTGAAGCTTCCCCTCCAACTGGTTTCTTTTATCATTCTTTAAAAGAAAAGAAAAACATCTATTTAATAAATTTTTAAACCAAAATGTTCAGTTGTGCAAGTCTGGGTCTAAGAACTTCTTTTAAAAACTCCTTTTTTTAAAACTCATTTACATCTTTAGCCTGTCCTCCACAGATGATATAGGAAAATTTACAGGATATTTGAAAAAAATATTTTTTTCAAGAAAAACCTTTAAGGTTCTCCCCAGACAAAACGTGGCCTTTTCTCCTAAGTAGTGACATTTTCTGGGATCACAATTGGGATAAAAACACCTCAAGTGACACTAAGGGAAATATCAGTGGTGGAAATTCTAGAAAACAGAAAACAACCAGAGCCAAGGCACAGTCACCACCACTCTGTGCTTGTGCATTGAATGTGCAGGGCAGCCCTGATGAGGGGAGAGAATCTGACTCCATCTTATCAGAAGGTTAATTACTTTATTATATTACATTATTTTATATTATATAACACTATTTTACACTACATCTAAAATGAATCTGCTAAGCACTCAACTGCACAACATTTTGTGACTATCAGCTGACAATCCTGACACACACACACTTGGCCCTGATAGGCCAAGGGAACAATGCACCATCATTCTGGGTAAACAATCTCCATATTGCATTTTACTTTTGCACAAACACAGGCACAGCAAACGACAAGAATTATTTTTCCTCTCTCTGAGGTTCAGAGAATGTGAAACCCAGAAACATTCTCGGGAAGAATTGTGCCTTGCTTTTCTCTGTGAAGAGAAACATGGCAACACTTGTGTCCTTGAGCTGCTCCACCACCACCACCACCAGCACTCACGAGAGCTTCCAGCTCAAACTCCAGGGTTTTCTTCTTGGCCTTGAGCACCACGATGTCCTCCTGCTCCTTGTTCCTCTGGTTCAGCAGCTCCTGCCGCCGGTTGCGCTCCCACTCCAGCTGCCTCTGCCTCTCCAGCTCCCGTTTGGCAGCCTGCAGGTTCAAAAGCAACAGCTGTAATTTGGGATGATCCTGTTCTGATATTCAGTTAGAATGTTGGTACAAATGGGGGCTGCTCTGGGCTCTGCACACACAGATTGCTCAGGGGCTGCTTCCCTGCACAGCAGGGGATGCCCTGAGAGGCTGAGCCAGAGCATAATATAAAACCTAAAACCTGAGGCATCACAGAGGCGACTGAACAGAAAACCCCTCTGTTTTCCAAGATCCAGTTTGCTGATTTAACAGGTTGTTTAATACCAGGACTGGGAGAACTCTCCAAGACATATTCCAATCTCCAACATTAGACCCTCTGTAGCTTTGTGTTTCTGTGCTGAACCTATCAAGGTTTGGCAATGGGAGAAAAAAGGAGATTTTTGGGGTTACCCAGAGTGTTTTTCCTTTAACAAATTAAAGGCCAGGTTGGATGGTGCTACCTGCCCTGGTGGATGTTATCACTGCCCATGGCAGAAGGTTGGAACTGGAGGATCTTTAAGGTCCCTTCCAACCCAAACCATTCTGGGACTCTGAAATGAACTCAGCCCTGCAAAATCATGAATGCCAGATCATTCACGCACCTTTTAACATCAAAAATAATAATATAACAGTAATAATAAATATTATTTTTAAAGAAGTGAGAGGTCAGGAGCATGTTGTCCCAGATGTCAGTGTCTCATCCATTAATTTCACGGGACAAATAAAGCAAAAACTGCCCCTTTCTTGCCTTTAACATCCCAATAATTTTAGTTCCTGCTTTAAAAGTTTGCTCCCCAACCTGGCAGCAACACACCAAGTGCCCAGCACTCACCTGGATGCTCCCAAGCTGGGGCACTGTTGGAACCCTGGATACTGAGAATTCCAGACTCTCTGTGCTGCCAGGCTCTGATCCCAGGAGAACTCTGCACTGACCTGAGGCCCTGTAGGAGCTTCCCAAATGGAATGACAGAGCTGGGATTGTGGGTGTGCAGTTTGGATAGAAGTGTGTGATATCACAGGGTGGGAAACTTAAGGAGCTTAAGGTTTTAGAATGTAGTGATATATATAAAGCAAGATGGAGGATTTAGGGTGGAGGCTGCTCCTTCTTCACTTCTTCTCCATGGGTTTGGGTGGTTTTGTGTCATTGGATAAAAAAGTCCCCATTGTGGGCATGGGTGGTTGGTTATTGGGTCAAAAGTGAAAATAATTGAGGTGTCATTTCTTAATTGGACTGTTTATAATTATTATTTTTCACAGGCCTTAAAAGTCCTTGTAGAGAGAGACAGGGCTCCATTTTCAGTTTGTTGGAGTGAAGTGCTGCAGAGCTCAGGGTTTGTGAGACTGTGACAGAGACAAGAACTGACAAACATCTGAGCCCTAATAAGAAACACTGTCCCACATTTAACCCCGACCTTGGCAGCAAAAAGAAGCCCAGCCCCTGCAGGACCCAGCCCCTCCCCGTGCTCCCTGGTGTAGGAGTGTAGGAGAGTGCCCCTAATGACAGAGTGGCAAAGCTAACCTTTTTCCCCCAAAAAAGGAAAGAAGCCCAGAAGTTTCTCCCAACGGTCAGGTAAAAAGCCACCTTATAGGACCCCAGAGACTTCACTAAAACCTTGGGGTCACCTAATTGGATAGAAGCCAAAAAGTCCCGCCTGGGCCATAAGGTAGAAAAAGAGCAAGACAAAAGAACTAAACTGCTTTTGTGAAGGTGTTTCTACCAGGGGCAGACCTCTGTACCTGGCTCGGATTTTCTGTTTCTTATTTTGCCTTTTTGTAGCCATGATATTTTAGTGAAAAATCCTCTGCTGGGATTTTTCCTGTCCTGAGGAGCTGAGAGCCTCAGGAGAGAAATGTAAACAATAACTATCTGCTGCTGTGAAGTGCAACAGGTGCATCTTCCATTGGTCATGTGGATTGTTTTCAATTAGTGACCAGTCACAGCCACCTGTGCCAAGGCTGTGAGCAGGCACAGGATTTTGTTATGCATTCTATTCCTATTCTATTGTCTTGGTAGCCTTCTGATCTTCTCCTCTCTGTTCTTTTAGTATAGTTTTAATGTAGCATTTTAATATAATATATAACATAATAAATCAGCCTTCTGATGAAAATGGAGTCAAGCCTCGTGTCCTCACACAAGGAGTCTCAGCCTAAACAAGACCTTTTATTAAACCTTTTTGTTTCTAACGCTGCAGCAGAAGCCATCCTGCTCATTATTTGCCTCTAAAGGTAACAGCCAAGTGATCTTTGGGTGTGTTAGGTTCCCTTTTGAAGGCTCATAAAACCCTGGCCCGACAAAACAGAACCTCATGAAACCCTGGCTCACCTCTCTCCTCTCGATCTCCTTCCTCCTCTCCTCCTCGCGCTGCCGCTCCAGCTCCCGCTGTTTCTCCAGCTGCTTCTCCAGCTCCAGCTGCCTCTTGCGCTCCTGCTCCTGCCGCTCGCGCTCCTTCCTCTCCTGCTCGGCCCTCTCCAGCTGGGCCAGCCTCTCCTGCTCCTTGCGCTGCTGCTCCAGCAGTGCCTGCCTGCGCTTCTCCAGCTCCAGGTTGCCCCGCTCGAAGTTCTCCCGCTTCTTGTCCTCGAACGTCACTTTGTGATGGAAAGGAGGGGCAAAAGGGACAGTTAAACTCTGCCACTGACTTAGTGTCGCAACCCAGAGCCTCTCTCTGGATGCCCTAGATGTCTCAAAGCCCTGGCAGGGGCTCGGAGACCCTGGCAGGAAGCCAAAGACACCTGGAAATTCGATCTTAATTCATGGAGCAAATTGCCAACCTTATATGAAGAACTACAGGCCACAAAAGTTTAAGTAGCAATCACAGGATGAAGGGAATAATTTTGGAGCACTGTACAGGGGGGTTTTGTATGTTGTACAGGGGGTTTGGAATCCTGTACATGGGGGTCAGGGGTTCTAAGATGGAGGGATTTGGGCGTGCCCTGTCCTTCTTCTTTCTTCTCCTTGGCATCCATGTTCAGGATGATGTTGGCACGTGTGGATTGGTTCATGGTGAAGGTGCACTTCTTAACAAGGATGAAAAGTATTGGAAATTAAAGGTAAATATCTTATACGTAGTTTTCACTATAAAAGAGACAACTGCCGCGTGGGCGGGAGAGAGTGCCCTTGGCTGTCTGCTGATCAGACCTCGGCTGGACAGACAGAAAAACTTTGTAGATAAGGAAAAATAAACTCAACTGAAGACCAAAAGCAAGAGTCCAGACTCCTTCTTCAAAGCACGGCCTGCCCAGAACCACCTTTTCCCGTGCTGGGGCAGAGACAAGTGACAGCCGACCCCGGCAACTTAGGAACAAAGAAAGACAGAAATCCAAAGGATCCCCAGCAAAGGGAATGCACCTTCCAGCAGGGATGACCCTGCTCCTCCCCACTAGGGATAATGGCTCCACGGGCCAGCCTGGGGTTTGGTGTGGGAAATGGATTTGTGGAGAGCTCTCAGGGCCTGACAGAAGGCTCAAACAGTGGGCATCTCTGGGCAAGCCTTGAGACAAGAAATGCAGATTCAGAAATGCCCTGGAATAGGACAGACATTGCTGAGAGAGAAGTGGAGCTAGAAACAAGTTTCAGAGGATGGCCTTGCAAATAAAACTAGGTACTTTGGTGAAATACAACAATGAAAGACTGATGTTGCTGATTCCCTCAAAGCCACATCCTCAGCAAACCAAGGCAGGAATTCCCATTCCTCAGGCCTCCAGGTTTCTCCACAAAGCTCAGCAAGGGGAGTAATTTAGGCAAACCATTCTCCAGCTGATCCTCCATGAGGACATGGATTTGGAATTCCTCTGTACATGGGATAATAGCAGCAGTCCAACAGCCAACACTTCCATTAGTGCACTGTGCAAGCCTCGAGACAAGAAATGCAGATTCAGAAATGCCCTGGAATAGGACAGACATTGCTGAGAGAGAAGTGGAGCTAGAAACAAGTTTCAGAGGATGGCCTTGCAAATAAAACTAGGTACTTTGGTGAAATACAACAATGAAAGACTGATGTTGCTGATTCCCTCAAAGCCACATCCTCAGCAAACCAAGGCAGGAATTCCCATTCCTCAGGCCTCCAGGTTTCTCCACAAAGCTCAGCAAGGGGAGTAATTTGGCAAACCATTCTCCAGCTGATCCTCCATGAGGACATGGATCTGGAATTCCTCTGTACATGGGATAATAGCAGCAGTCCAACAGCCAACACTTCCATTAGTGCAAAGAATTCAGCTGCTGACATCATCAAAAAGCCATTATGCAAATGACCAGAACTTACTTCAAGTTGCTATTCTCATTAGATTACCCATTAGTGTCAGGAAAAGAAATGGTTTAGGTTCTTGAGCAGCTGAGCCCAGGATGCCTGGATTCCTGCAGATCCACATCCTCCTCATCTACTGTCCTAAAAGAACAGCCCCACTTCCAGCACAGCATCCCTGACATTCCTCTGCAGTCCCAGGGACTGTCCTTCCTTCTCCTCACTCCTCAGCACCTCCATCCAAATGGTTCTTTGCCTTCACCCTGTGCTCCTTTTCACACCCTCTGTGTGCCATTCCCACAGCCCAAAGTGCAGGTTTCTCTCCCTTGTGTGGACATTTTTGGGATGCAAGGCCAGGGAGAGCCCACTTTGCCTTTCCAGCTGGACACATCAGCCCAACACCTGCTGAACCAGCTCAATTCTTGTCCTTTCCAGTTTGTGCCCCTGTCCAGCTGCCAGTTCCCTCTTCCTTCAGATCTTTTCCTGGAACTGCTGAAATCTGTTTTAAGCCTCACACTGTTACACAGACTCCAAGGAAAGAGCTCTCTGTGGGAATACTTGGATTTTTCACAGAGCACCTCAGTTCAAGCTTTGCTCCACCTAAGCCAGAGGATGAAGGCAGCAGGAATTCTTCCTTGCAATCCTGTGCCAGGGGTGCCCATGTGGGGAGTGCAGGAGATGAGGAGCCTGAGGGCTCTGCCCATCTCCAGTGCCACCAACCCAAAGGATCAGGCACAGGAATGAGCTGGACCCAGCAATGTCTTGGTTTTGCCTTGACCTGTCCCAAACTGTTCTAGAAGGAGATTTCTCATTCAGGCTGTGTAACCTCCCAGGCTGTGACCAGATGGGAAAACCCCTCTGGGAACAGCACACCAAATATCCCTGCTTTCCCTTGCTCACCTGGTAATTTCTTTTCCAGTTGCTGCTGTTCTTCCTCCAATGCTGGTTCCTCAGGTAACCTTTGGTCTACAGACACTGAACTGGCAGCAGAAACCCCACTGCCAGAGCGGACTCTTCTGCCAAGGAAACAGGAATTGTGGGTGTTTAACAGAGCCCAGGCCCACCCAAATTATTTATGATTAAATGATGGGATCAAATCAAATGCAATGATGTAATATTTCATGGTACTCAATGTCCATTCAGTGCTGCCCAGAGGGTCTCACTCAGGCATTGCCTCAGAACAGGATTTTCCAGGATCCCAGCAGTTCACTGGTGAGCTGAGAACCCCAGTCCCAAACTCTGCTTCCAGATGGCTTCAACCCTGTCCCCAAGATCTCTCACCTGGGGGGAGATTTCTCCCTAACCAATCTGAGTGTGGGGAAATGCTGACTTAAACTACAGCAAAAACAGCACAGACAGAAGAAGAGCTCACTATAATCAAGCTAAAAGGAAGATCTCAGGTAGAATACACAAAAATTGGGAATCTTTAGGAGGATACGCAAAGCACCCAGTATAAAAACACTTATTTTAACTGCTGTTAGTTCTTCCCATCCATTTCTCCACAAAGAAGTGAAATAGAGCAAGAGAAGTGATGAGTGACCCCACTGTTCCCAAACCCAGCTGTACCAAAGGAGCTCTGGATGTGGTGCAGTGCAAATCCATCCTGGAATTCCAATACATTCTGACTGCTCTACAGGAGTACAAGCCTGAACTTAAATCTTGGTTTCTCTGGGCAGACTGAGCAGGTCTGGAAGGTGTGCCAGCATAAACACCCACCCAAACCCTGTTCTCACAGGGCAAAAGGGGAGAGGGCACTGCTCAGTTGCTGTACTTGGCACTCCCAGAGCCATCCCAAATGACATACAGACCTCAGGATGAGGCTCCCAGGGGATGAGCAGTTACCTGAATGAGGGTGGGATGTACTCTGGGGGCAGGGCAGGTGGCAGTGGCTGACCAGACATGGCTACATCAATGAGGTGCATAGCCAGGATAAACTCCTCAGCTGTCAGCTTCCCATCTTGATCAATGTCAGAGAGATTCCTTGTTGAAGGGAAGGGACAGAGCAACAAAATTATTAAATATTAAAAAACATTGTTCAAAGGCATTGTTTCAACACACACTGTTCCAAATTAATTCAATTTTTCCACTATTTATTCCACACTACTCTGCATTTTCAAAACAAATTAAAAACAAACCCTAAATGCTTCTATATTTCCCCCTTTTCTCGTGGCTGTCTGTCTGAAATCCAGCCTTGCAGCCATGGCTTCTCCTTCACCTGCTCTGAGTGCTGCCAGGAGCTTGTGCCAGAGAAGGAACCTGAACCAGTGGAGTTCTCTTGAACACCTCGTGAGCACCCAAAAGAACCAGCTCAGGTGTTTGGCAGAACTTTTAGGATTGGTCTCCTTCCTCCTTTTAGGCTCCTATCTCACATTCCAGGGCACCCACTGGCAGTGAAATCAAAGCCATTGATGTTCTAGTCCTGACAAGCACCAACCCACCCTGGCATTATGCACATACTAAAAATTACAGAGTAATGTCTCTGGATAGCCCCAAAGCAGGGCTCCAACAGAGGCACAGAATGCTTTTACCCCTGTTAAACTGGTGTTGGACAAAATTAACAGCCAGGGACAGCACCCAGGGAGCAGCTGGAGCTGGGCAAGGGCAGAGTTAAGTTGGATTTTAGGGAAATGTTCTCCCCAGAGGCTGCTGGCACTGCCCAGGGAATGGGCACGGCCCCGAGGCTGCCAGAGCTCCAGGAGCCTTTGGCCAGCGCTGCCAGGGGTGCCCAGGCTGGGCTTGGGGGCTCTGGGCAGCACAGGACTGGCACTGGGGGATCCCTGGGGGTGCCTCCAGCTCAGGATTTGTTTCTCCAGCATGCTGCACTCTAATCATGCAGGGAAATCTCCCATGATACTGGGAAAATCCAAGGGAAGCAAGGGATAAATTCTCAGAAGGACTTTGCCAATGGGACTTAAATTTGGGAGACAATCCCAGCCTCACTCCATCCACACCTGGGACACTGAACTCCTCAGGCTGGAGCACAAACCAGGAGACTGGGAATGCACCATGCCCAGAAATGACAGAACTCCCAGGACAGCCTGAGGCTGAGCCTCTGAGTGTCTGAGCCAGGCATTCCAGCCCAGCACGGGCTGACAAACCTCACCCCAGGGCAGGGCCAGGAAAGGACCAACAAGAGCTGGAATATCCCCTCCTATGTCAGTGCATTGGCAGCTGTCAGTGTCCCCAGCTGAGTGAGTCCTGTTTGCAGCTCCTGCAGTGAGCTGGTGACAGCTGCCTGCCCACACAAGCACTCCAAGGCTGGCAAAAGGAGAGCATTTCTTGGTTAAGCATCTCCTGGGGGACTGGGCTGGTTTGTTTTTATCCCTTTGTTAGGAAACAGAGAAGGAAAGAGTGGTTTTTAATTTATAACACAACTCCCAGTGCCTTGCAAAGAGAACAAGTGCAGCTGAATGGCCTTGTCAGAGTGACTGCACCACTGCCATCCTCACACTGAGCCCCTGGGCCAGCTCCAATGCTTCTCAAGCAAACACGCCTAAAGGACAGAAGTTAATTAGGAACAACTTCCCATGGGGCAATAAAAACATAATAAAGTTCAGCAAACAACAAGCTGGAAGGCAAAAGGGAAGCTGAGACAAATGCTTTAAAAAATCCATTACTGTGCAGGTCTGTAAGTGCAGTCCCTGGGAAATCAGCCCTGCCAGACCCATGGAAAAGGCAGAAAGAAAACCCACAAAGTGTGGCTTGGGTTGAGCTTCCTGTTCTACCACCTGTGCCAAGGTAAATGCTTCCCTGGTGCTCTGTCAGGGGATGTGGAAGGCACAGGATGCTGAACATCTGCTCTGCCTAAAAACCCAGCACCAAACCACAACTTCCAAAACATCACACAAAAAAATGTTTTGGAACACAAAAGATGCTCCTGGTGCTCTTGTGGAATAATGTCAGCAAAGGCATGGAAGTGCAGGTTTTGTTTCTGAAGTTACACAGGACAAAGAGCAACAAAAAACCTGTGATTTATCAGTGAGACTGAAAATGGAGAAAACCCCACAAGCTCACTGTAGAGCTTTCAGAAGAGTTTGTGTTTTGATGGAAATGGAAACATTTCTTTTACCATATTGTAGCCAGCTGAGCCTGGGGTAAACTTGACTGCATGAGAATCGTTCTTGCTTGGGGACCTAAAAGGGAAATAAATATTAACAAAATAAGTAAGGGATCTGACCAATAGCAACTTGGCTCCCCAAATAACCAAAAATAATACTTCACTTCTGCACAACAATCACAGAATCCCAGACTGGGTGGGGTTGGGAGGGACCCCAAATGCCACCCAGTGCCACCCTGCCATGGCAGGGACACCTTCCCCTGTGCCAGGCTGCTCCAGCCCCAGTGTCCAGCCTGGCCTTGGGCACTGCCAGGGATCCAGGGCAGCCCCAGCTGCTCTGGGCAACCAAATCCCTCAGATTAAAACCCAAGAAAGCTCTAAAGCACAAAGACATGCACCAGAACTGGCAAAACCAAGCCAGGGCATCAGTTCTAGTCTCTCCCTGGAACTGGACACTGCTCTCAGCAGTGGGTGAACCAAGCACTGGAAATGGCTGCACAAGTGGTCACAGAACCCACTGTGCCCTTTCCAGAAACATTTCCCAAGGTCAACTTTGCATAAAATAAAGGAAAGATGTTGATAAAATGATCCCAGGGGTGATGAATATTTGCTTCTAAACAAGAGCATTAAGCACCTGGGAGATTCAAACAGAAAAATACTGATGAGCCTCTTACTATGTGAACAACACCCTCAGTGGCATGAAACTGCTCTTACAGCTCAAAACAAGGAGACAACAGAAGCTGTGCCAGTACCTGTCAGGTGCCCACTCATGGTTTTGTCGTGGCTGTTGAAGAGCTGCCGGTACTTGAGCCGTGAGGACTGAGGCACAGCCCACTCTGCCACGGCAGGAGAGCTGCAAGGAGGGCAGGGAGAACAGGGACAGTTGGACATTTCGTCTCAACAAGGCCATGGGAACAATCACAGAGTCACAAAACACAGCAGGGTTTGGGCTGGAGGGACCTCAGAGCCCACCCAGTGCCACCCTGCCATGCAGGGACACCTTCCCCTGTGCCAGGCTGCTCCAGCCCCAGTGTCCAGCCTGGCCTTGGGCACTGCCAGGGATCCAGGGGCAGCCCCAGCTGCTCTGGGCACCCTGTGCCAGCCCTGCCCACCCTCACAAGAGGCTGAAGTGCTGCACTGAGATCAAGTTTTATGCCTGAAAATGTTCTTTCCCCCAGTTTTACCGTGGGGATGGGCAGGTTCTGAGGTGTCCCAGAGCAGCTGGGGCTGCCCCTGGATCCCTGGCAGTGCCCAAGGCCAGGCTGGACACTGGGGCTGGAGCAGCCTGGCACAGGGGAAGGTGTCCCTGCCATGGCAGGGTGGCACTGATGAACTTTAAGGTCCCTCCCAACCCAAACCATTCCATTATTTATTACTGAAACCACCACAGGTTTGACCTCTTGTTTGCAAACATTTATCACAATTGAGTCTCTTGGAAGATGGTTTGTTTGTTGGTTTTTTTTTAAGAGTTTTGCTTTTTTCTTTACTGGCAGAGAATGAAGGAACCTAAATTGTTCAGAGGAGCTACAAGATTTTACCTAAAGACAACAGAAAATGCAGAACAGCATTTTACTCTGCCTTTAACTGTTTCTCCTAGCCAAACAGAGCTGATGAGGGAAAACAAATCAAAATATACTGGAAATGTAGAAATAAACATGTGAAAAAGCCACACTTGAACATAAAGTTTCTCCAAATGGAACAAGTGAGCAATGGAATATTCCCAGGTCTAATCCATTCCCACAACAGACTGAGTGGATTTGCAGCTCTAATTTCCCAGGCTTGATAGCTGAGAAATCCTAATTCTGAAAAACAAGGAGCAGAGTTTTTCTGCCTTTAGACACATTCAAGCTTTGTCCTTTTTTTGACCTTATAAACCATTCTCACATGACAAGGCACAAACCAGTATCTCTATTTCTATTTTTGATTTCCAAACTCTTGATCTTTAATAATACCCCTCTATGTCAGCAAAGCAGAAACAATCTTCCCCTTCAATAACAAAAATAAGCAAAAAGGCCAAATATTTAATTTTTACCCAGGAAATTTAATTTTTACCCAATTTTAACTGAGGAATTCCTCCTCAGTTTTGCTGGATTTGGGGGTTCCGCACACATTTTAACTTTTGTGTTACACATAAATTATATCAGAGCATCCCTATTCTGCTCCTGGCCAGTTTAGGTTTCAGAGAGAAAATTAATTGTTTTGAAAGACTTTTAATTATTTGCCAATACTGAGTAGTGTCATTTATCTAACAGCAGGGCAATAGACAAGCCTGCAGAAGGAAATGGAAATAAAACCAGATCATTTGTGTCCCAAACCATTTTCCTCTTGCAAAAAATCTGTGCCATAAATCTGTGAGACAGATGATTTGTAAGGACTTTGGGAAATCCCTCTCTTAACTCCTCTCAGGAAGTTTTATTTTGTTAGATCCAGTTTTCTAAACCACAGTAAAACCCTTTTTGCTTAACCACATGTTTTTGTAGATCTTGGACTAATCTAAAAGCCCTTAAAGTGATTTTTCACACAGAATTTGAAGAATATAGAGAAACAGTGATATGGAGTGCATTTAAAATATGAGACCTATTAAATATTTTGCTTTTAACAATTACCCTGTAGTGCTAATTTTAAATAATGCATTACTTGTTCTCCCAGTACCAGGAGCATGGTGCAGGTTTTGTTTATAGAAGCAAAAGCTGTTCTAAAAATCAAGTGAAGATCACGTCAGCACTGTTAGCAGTTAATTACTTTATTTCCATGATTCCCTGTTCCTGAAGTATTACAAAGGTGGAGTAAAGCCACAGCACCCCACGGAATGCTGCAGTGGTACCTCTGCAGAACTGATTTCTGCCACAACTATCATTTCAGACATGCACTTTGGGAAAGGGAAGGAGTTCTCCCAACGCTGGGCACCCCAAGCCCCCTGGCTGCCCCTCCCTGCCCCAGCCCCACCTGGCCACGTCGAAGGATTGTGCCTTTTGCAGCTTGGCATTGAGCTGAGCTCCCGGCCCCGAGCGGCTGAAGGAAGAACTCTTTGGCAAAGTGGCTGGCAAGAGAGAAAACAGGGATTTATTGCTATTCACAGTGAAGCAGGCAATGCCCATGGCATTCATTCACTCCTACATCCAGCACAAGCACTGTGGCTCTGATGGGAGCTTTTTAACAATATGAAGAGCAGAGAGTCCAGCAGGACTGGGGAACACAAGGGCACTTCCCTCATATCTTTTTACTTCCACAGCTTTATGGAAATCCTGTTGATACCAAATTATATTTTGGTACATGTCAGGAACCATATGTAGTTCAGCATTAAAGTCACCCTAACAAACAGCAGTATAAAGAGACAGGAGAGGCCCAATTTCCAGGCAACAGCTTCCTGGCAAGTTCATTTCTCCAAGTGCTGTTTTATTTTCTCACCACGAGGGACTCCTGCGGGAGGCCACGTCCACATTCCTTCTTTTAGCTCTTCTCCAAGTGTGCCAAGTGGGCTAAAGCAAAGCACAGTCCTTCCCCAAAGGCATCACTGGAGTGGCTAATCCCACGTGTCCCGAGGAAATGCAGGGGAGCTGTTAGGAGCAGGAGAAGAGAGTGAGAGCAGCGTACCGGGGTGAGCGAAAGCAGGCAGGGGCTGGATGACAGCAGGAGCTCCGTTAGCCAGGGGAGGGACGGCGGCAGGGACAGAGGACACCAGTGGGGGGGACATCCCCACGACTGGGATGGATGCCATGGGCACCGGGGCCACGGTGGTGAGGGATGGCATGTTGGCAATGCCCCCGAGACCTAAGGGGGAGAAAAGCACAGGTTGGTTCTGACGCGCGCCCGCGGGGCCACTGACACCTCCAGGGGCAGCTCCCAGCCCCTGGGACAGCCCTCCCGGCCCGGCAGGGACAGGAAGGGGACACAGCACAGGGGACAGCCCCAGAGCGGGGCAGCACTGCCCCCAGCTGCCCAGCAGCATCTGCTACACAGGGAATTAATTGTGTGCCTTGACCTGAGAGAGGAGCAGCGCTGGCGGCCCCAGGGTGGAGGAGCCCCTGTCACCATATTTTAGGAAAAATCCTAAACCTTCTGATCATTCTTTTCTCTCTTTTCTTTTAGTATAGTTTTAATGTGGCATTTTAATATAATATATATCATAATATAATAAACCAGCCTTCAGAAATAGAGTCAAGCCTTGTGTCTCCACACGTGGGGAGTCCTCAGGCTGGCCCAGAAGCTGCAGGGCTGGTGCTGCAGCCTTGGCTGGGATGAGACAGGGCAAAGCTGATGGAGAGCACAGCAAGGAGAGGCTGAGGGTGAGCACAGCTGCAGGGAACCAGGGGGGTTAAGGAGGGCCAGTGGTGCCAGGGGAAGGAGGAGGGGTGTGCAAACAGCTCACATTACAGGGAATGAGAGCAGGGGAATCACCATTTGGCTGGGCTTTGTGGGGGTTCATTTCATTCTGCCTTTTCTCACTTAACCCTGCATTGGCTCTGCCCAGTTTCACTATTTTCTCCGAAAGAATTTTATTTCTGACTGTAAAACTTAGTGGGGGTTACAGTGGATGAAACCACAGTGCTGCAAGCAGTTTATCAAAGGTACTGTTCCCTTTCCTCAGGCCATTTAGATGGGATGTTGGGAATTAGGAATTGTTCCTGGCAGGGTGGGCAGGGCTGGCACAGGGTGCCCAGAGCAGCTGGGGCTGCCCCTGGATCCCTGGCAGTGCCCAAGGCCAGGCTGGACACTGGGGCTGGAGCAGCCTGGCACAGTGGAAGGTGTCCCTGCCATGGCAGGGTTGGCACTGGGTGGGATTTGAGGTCCCTTCCATTCCAAACCATTCCATGATTCCCAGGCACCAAAAACCCTGAGCCACAGCAAAGAGTAAAGCAGAAAGGGACAGATCCTCTCACAGGAGGACCAAGGTGTCAGAGGTTTGGCTTTATTTGGTTGTTTTCCTTTCCCCATCGCATCTTCCCTACTCTTTTCCTAGAAATGATGGTGGCTTTGGCAATACTTCACCCCAGCAGCTGTTCAGCTCCTACCAGAGCAGCACTGCTCATCAAAGCAGATTGTAAAAACTCAAGAACAGCAGAGCAGATCTTGCCAAGCTGGAGATCCAGTAATGCCAACAGCTTAACCACAACTCCAGCCCTCTGGAATGCACTAGCCCTGCTACCTGAGCCATGTTTTGTTTGGAGCAGTGCAAACCTGAAGCAAACAGGAGCTGAGCTCAGGTAAAAGCCCAGTGCAATTCATCTCAGTGCATGTGCAACATCTCAGTTTGAGTGCACGTGCTTCTAGAAGCACTTTTCCCTAAAATTGTCTTGGAGAAACTGCAAAAGGACAATGCAATTGCTGCAGTCCCAAGTAACAGTGAGGAAAATGGAGGAGAACAGGGATCTTACCAAATCCTGGGGCACCGGGCAGGGCGAGGGGCGGCTGCTTCATGACGGGCGGCAGCGCGGCCGGGAGCTGGTAACCCTGGAGCTTCAGCTTGATGAGTTTCATAGCTATGGAAAACTCCAAGGGATCCATCCTCCCGTCATTGTTCATGTCAGCTAGAGCCCTGCAAAACAGCGTTTGCACAGTTACATCCTGCAGTGAGGAACTTCAGGCCCTGCCCCAGGAGCAGGCTCACACGGGTGTGGATATTCAAGGCTGATGGAGGGGCTGAGGGAGCTGGGAAGGGGCTGGAGAATTCCTTCAAGGATTCTGAGATTCTCACTAATTTCCACTCAAAATTATGCCAGGCTAAAACTAAGACTCTATTTCAACTTAAGAGCTCCTTGATTTCTTTCCTTGGGTGATTAATAAATATTTTTGAAGTTGCTTTTCAACTCTTGGAGGAATTACAAGGAAGCATCCAGAACAAATGCAGCTGTATAAAAACTTTGCAAAATCACACCAATGAAAGCACAGGGTCCTAAAGCAGCACCACAGAGAAGCAAATCACTGAGTCTGCAAATCTGTACTTTAGCTCCACTTAAAATAAAACATTCTTGAAATCTGTGACTCCCCTCAGCACTGCTCCATCTGCAAGTGTGCAAATGTGTTTTCAATTAAACAATAGCACTCAAGATGAAACATTGAGCCTAGGCCTTGAATAGGCTTTCAGGGAAAGGAGTCTGACTTAAACAGTCTGCTTTTTGTTCCTTGCCTTGCTAGTTACGAAAACCCAGCTCAGCAGGGAACAGGGCTGGGAGCTTGGGGGGAGAGAAGCAGGAAGAAGAGTGTCAGTTCCTGCCACTGCACAGAAAAAAGCCCTGAGTAAATGCACATCAGTAGCAGAAACAGCTGTACACTTACTTTTGAGCACCACTTCAGCACTGGAATAATACAGATTTTGAAGTTCATGCATTTATTTGTATGTCATGGGTGTGGCCCTGGCCAGGGTGGTTGAACCAGAGCTTCATTTCTGACCAAATTCCCCTCAAAGAGTTTTTGTGCATCAAAGTGAAAGTTATCCCAAAAGTACCCCAGTGAATTGACAGCTATTTATAACTGACACACAAGGAGACAGACAGGTAAAGGTAGTGGCCAAATGGAAATCCTCCCACTCCAAAAAAACCCAAAACTTGAAAACCCCCATGGAGAGGCAGATCCCAGCAGGGAGCAGCACAGGTTTAGATCCCCAGCAGCATCAGAGACACTCCAAACCTCTCCAGAACTCCTAAGAAAGGATTTCCAGTGGTGCAGCTGCCTTAATTCACCAGTCCTGGTATCATGGGGCTAAATAACAGAATGAAAATTTGGGAGAAGCATTGAAACAAAGTCTGGAGAGGACACTGAGACACAGACACTGATATCCTTAAAAAGCATGTGCTGCACCTGTGCCTGGAAGATGCTGAATCCCAGAATCCCAGACTGGTTTGGGCTGGGAGGGACCTCAGAGCTCTTCCCATCCCAGCCCTGCCATGGCAGGGACACCTTCCCCTGTGCCAGGCTGCTCCAGCCCCAGTGCCCAGCCTGGCCTTGGGCACTGCCAGGGATCCAGGGGCAGCCCCAGCTGCTCTGGGCACCCTGTGCCAGCCCTGCCCACCCTGCCAGGGAACAATTCCTCATTGCCAAGATCCCATCCATTGCTGCCCTCTGGCACTGGCAGCCATTCCCTGGGTGCTGTCCCTGCAGGCCTTGTCCCCAGTCCCTCTGCAGCTCTCCTGGAGCCCCTTCAGGCCCTGCCAGGGGCTCTGAGCTCTGCCTGGAGCTTCTCCTCTCCAGGGGAGCCCCCCCAGCTCTCCCAGCCTGCCCCATAATAGTCTTACCAGTGGATTTACACCTGCAAATACTTTGATTTACAAAATAAAAACCTTTCTATTAATTCTATTAGACCCTCAGTGGGTTCTGTCCCTGGCCAGGAAAATGGAGGAAGAGTAAAGATGACCCTGTAGGAACCTTGGCTCTCCAGGCACCATTTCCTGCTGGGACACAGCAAATCTTTGCATCCTACATGGGAAACATTCTTGCCCAGCAATCAGAAACTCTGATGTGCACCAGTGTCACTGCTCTCATTGAACTCCAATTCACATCAGCAGCTGTAGCTTTTCATTCAACATCTGACCTTCTGTGAACTCCTCTTACTCTACACCAACAGCTTCATTATTGAAATTGCCAGCACAAATATCAGTGCAGAGAGTTCTCTGCACCCCCCAGAATTTCTCCAGTTTTACAAAGTGCAAAGAAAAAGCAGCTCTTGTCTGACAAACTCTTCCTGCTAAAATAGGACACATTTCCATTTCTAGTTGCAGAAGCTGGGATCAGGCTGCTGGATTTTACTGTGCTGCTCTGGAATAAGCAGCACCTGAAATGCAGGGAGCCAGCAAACACCACCTAATTCCACTCATTTCTGTTCCTGATTAAATTGGGACAATGTGGTGCCCTTGCATTTGTTTCATTTGTGGCCTGGCCGGAACCAGTGCAGAGTAAGTGGATTAAACATTGAATAAATATTTATTATCTTCTGTAGGCCAGGCCTGTGTTTGTATCTAACACAAGAGCTGCAGTGGGCTCAGCACCACCCCAGGGCTCAGGTGCTGCCAAATCCTTCCCCATGGATCTTTTCCTCCATTTTTCTGCCGAATGAAAAGCCAGCTTCATTATTTTTGCATGTATGAGGTGCACAAAGTGAACATGGGCACTTTTCCCACCAAACGTGCTGGAATTAGCACACAAACCCCTTATCCATGCAAGCAGCACTGTGCAGTTCCCAGTTCTGCAGTGATTCAGCTGGACATTCCCCCTGAGCTGCACAGCCCCAGGTGTGTCACAGGCTCAGCCACCAGCAGTGAGCAGCACTCAGCTCTCTCTGGATGCCTGTGCAGGAATTAATTACCTGAATTCCCCCACTTTGCCCACCCTGGACACAAAGTTAGGAAGGCTGGGAGGGAAGCAGATATCAGGAAGTCACCCAGTGACTCTGTGCTGCCAAAATCAGTAACCCCAAGAGCATGGAGAACAGCTGGCAGTGGTTATTTCAGCTCTGCTTTCCTTCCAGGGGCCAGGCCACACAGGAGATGCTCTTGAGGCCCCATTCCCCAGGGCTCTCAAGAAAGGCAGATTATTCTGCTTAAGCACAGTTATCTCCCAAGCCACTGCAGGCCCAGCTCAAAGCAAATTAGAGGCTTCTTAATTGATCACCAGCCTGGAGGATTGTGGAGCTGGTGAAGGGCAGGGCAGCACAGAAGCTGCCATGGCAGACCATAATACTTCACTCCTTTGCTCACTGAGGCCCCACAAACTTCTTTCCTTGCATGAGGAGCACAAGGGACACAGGAATTGTCACTGCCAATAAAAACTGCTGTTTTGAAGGACTGTGAATCCTGGGGAAGCTTTTATGGGCCCAGAAGTGGGGCATTGATCAGATTTATTCCTCGTGCCCCCCCAGCTTTTTTTATTCCAATCAACTGCAGCTAGCATCAGCAGAATGGCCAAGGACAGGAAAACACCTCCAGAACACCACACCAGACAGGCAGACCCTTCCTTAGGGACTCCCCTGGATCCCTGGCAGTGCCAAGGCCAGGCTGGACAGGAATTGGAGCAGCCTGGCACAGTGGAAGGTGTCCCTGCCATGGCAGGGGTGGCACTGGGTGGGATTTGAGGTCCCTCCCAACCCAAACCAGTCTGGGATTTCTCAGATCAGAAATTTATTCCAGAGTTTTACAAGTTGTTTTAACTCAGAATTACTCTCCTTCCTTGAGGAGTCCTGTACCTCCCCTTCTCTCCCAGTACCAATCAAATGCCACCTCCAAAAACCCAACCCAGCTATCCCAGGAGCAAACACTGGGGGAAGAGCAGCAGCTCCCATCTCTCAGAGATTTCAGGCTCATTAATCCAAAACTCCCCCTCCAAAGTACTCAAGGATCTGTATAAAGATTTTTATTTAAATATTTACTTCTTTTAATTCAGACATGACAGAAAAATTAAGAGAGACAGAGAGAAAGGAATGTCCATGAGCTGCTTTATGATTTAGAAAGGCAGCTTGAATAAGTTTTAGTTCAGCTTCATTAACAAAAATGTGCAGGTCTTGTCTCTATGACAACTCCAGAGGGAGTGGAATGATTCCCTTCCTCTCAAGAGCCTGGAAAACTGAATAATTCAGAGAGGAAGAGATCCTTAGTCAGACTATTTACAACTGTTTGGATTTGTTAACACCTATTTAAAGCCAAGGCTTATGGAAGATTTTTGGAGAAAGGATGTCTTGTTTAAAACAAAACTTCTTTCCTTGTTTAATTCAGAGGCGAGAGAAGTTCCAAAGGGACACTGAACACTCACTGAGGCTTCAGCAAATAAGACAACCAGTCCAGCTTTCATATTTGTAAGATGAAGATAATTAGAAAAGAAAATAAGCCCTTTATTTAAAAGCCATGTAGGTCTGGGCATGCAGATTTCTAAAGCAATAAAATAATTGCCCTTTTTCTCCTGTGAGAGCAAAATTCTGCCTTTACCAGTCCTTAACTGCACCAGAAAGTTTTTGTAATGGCAATGAACTCCTTCTCAAATAGCCCACAGAGGAAAAGGGAACAGATTCTCCCAAAGTTCTCTATCCCTCTTACCCAATCCAGCATGAAAACCAGTTTTAATTCTGTCTCACACCAATATCTGTGCTGTAGCAATATTATTAATGCAAACCATGACTAATCACAGCATCATGGAATGGGCTGGGCTGGAAGAACCTTAAATCCCAGCCAGTGCCACCCTGCCATGGCAGGGACACCTTCCCCTGTGCCAGGCTGCTCCAGCCCCAGTGCCCAGCCTGGCCTTGGGCACTGCCAGGGATCCAGGGGCAGCCCCAGCTGCTCTGGGCACCCTGTGCCAGCCCTGCCCACCCTGCCAGGGAACAATTCCTCATTGCCAAGATCCCATCCATTGCTGCCCTCTGGCACTGGCAGCCATTCCCTGGGTGCTGTCCCTGCACACACAGGGTCAAAGCAGAAACCCTGCAGGAAAATCTGGCAGTGTGGCAATGTCTGTGCTGTCCAGCACATCTGGATCTGCCTGAACTCACCAAGGAGTGACAAAAATTCAATTTCAAGCTTTGACTCCAACTCCAATGCAAACAGTCTGTGTCAATCTTCATTTTTGTAACAAACACTCCAGGTCTTGCCTAGGCTCTCCCATTAGCAGATTTATCACTAATTACTGTGCTGAGCAATTGTATTAGTCCAGTTTTAACAGAGCTGCAAGCATTTAGCAATCTGACATGAGGGTTTGAAACTACCAACTCCCAAAATGCCATTTGCTGGGACAGCCCAGGGCCATTGGGGGGACACCTGGGGACACCTGGGCTCGTGTCCAGCCACTGCCACCAGCACCCCAGGGCCATTCCCAGCCCCTGTGCCCCAAGGCTGGAGTGCTCCATGGGGCTGTGGTGACCCCAGGGCAGGAGCCAGCTCTTGTCCCTGCTGACCCCAGCCCAGGCTCCAGCCTGCCCAGATGCCCCTGCAGAGCTCCCTGCCCTGGGGCACAGCCACACCCAGCCTGGCACTGCCCAAAGGAGCCCTGGATGCTGATCCACAAGCCTGGGCCTGGAGAGCCCCAGGAGAGCCCAGCCCAGTGTGCCCCACACCCAGCCCTGTGCCCACCCCACACTCACCATATCTGTGCTAGCACTGGCTGAGGTAACCCAGATTGGAAAAAAAAGTTCCTGGCTTGATCACCTGTAAAAGAAACAGGACATGGCTTCAGCTCCAGCTCCAAACACCTGGCAGAGGGAATGGGGCATCAGGAGGCAAAAACATCTGCAACAGAAGCCCAGCCCATGCCATGGCTGATGAGCACTAAGAAAATTCAATGTACCAAACAGAGCAATGAAGAGGAGGCCTCCTATTGCCTTTGAGACCAAAGTTTGATGAAAATTTATTAGGATCAGTGCAATTCCTTGATTTGGAGCTTTGCTCCCCACTGCTTCAATCAGTTCTGCATTTAGATCTTTCCAAGAGGTCAACCATGCTGATGTCAGTGCTGCACAAATTGGATTTCTAAAGCTGATTTCAGTTAAAGTGACACAGCTTTATTTAATCAGACCTTTTATTTATCACAATATTAGTGTGGTGGGCTGACCTCAGGCACAAAGAACCCATCACTCCCTTCCACAGCAGGATGGGGAAGAGAAAATATCAGAAAGTAACAGAAAGTTGGGGCTGATGTGGCAAAATATTTGAGCAACGGGATATAAAATAAGAAATGCTTGTTCAAATGTTCTAATTATTATGCCCATATGTCTCCCAGGCAGCTCTGCACACACTTAGGCTCACTAGTTAAGATTTAACCCAACAAAATTAGAAGTGGAAACTGTTTGTTTACCAGTGATAAATCCAGCAGTTGGTTTCAGACTATGGAACTGTTGATCATGTTTTGCTCTCTCCTCCACAGTAATAGCCCAGATATCCAGGTTGCCTGGTTCAAAAGAAATGCAGAAATGACATTAAGGAACATTCTCCCTCTTTTCTTTGTGAGTGTGATGATCTCACAGCATTCTGGTCCTCCTCAAACAACCCAAGGGTGGGAGGTTATTTGCCCCAGAGCACACAGAGCTGAAATTCCAGTTCCTTTACCTGCAAAGGCACCTGCAAAGGCTCCCCCAGTACCCCACCAGCCCCTGCCCACAGATTAGCCCTCAACAGATGCAACCAGAGCAGTTCCTCTGTCTCAGCACTGAGATCTCCCTCTTGTAATCCTCCTGCAGATCAGCTGCAAAACTCAACTCCCAGATGATTCCTAGGATCTGAAGGAAGAGGTGAACTGAGTGCCAGGACAAGCAGGGTTCAGACTCAAAGAGGGGAAACCTGGCTGAGTTACACAGCAGGAATTGTTCCCTGGCAGGGTGGGCAGGGCTGGCACAGGGTGCCCAGAGCAGCTGGGGCTGCCCCTGGATCCCTGGCAGTGCCCAAGGCCAGGCTGGGCACTGGGGCTGGAGCAGCCTGGCACAGGGGAAGGTGTCCCTGCCATGGCAGGGTGGCACTGGGTGGGCTTTAAGGTTCCTCCCAGCTCAACCCAGTCTGGCATTCTGTGATTTCATGTGAATAGCAAAAAATCTTGTCCCTGCTGCACTGCCAGGGCCCATCCTGGATTTTTCACTGCATTTCCAGGTGCTGCAACTTCCCCTGATGTAAATGAAGAGCTAAAAAATGTGTTACTTTTGTTCTAAACTAAATGTCAGTGATGGGACAAGGGGAAAACTGGCAGTGACACCACCCAAAGCATCTGCTGGAGCTTTCAGCAACTGCCAAGTCCAGGAAGCCTGAAAGGAAAAGGCATGTGCAGTTCTGCAGTGCAGGTGGAGCAGAATGAGGTGGTGCCCAGTGCCTGAGTGGCCTGGCTGTGCCTTGGTGTCCCCTGCAGGGACAGAGGCTGGGGCTGGAAGGAAGGGAGGGATGCAGCACACAGGGCTCTGTGCTCTTGGCTGCAAAGGGAGGGGTCTGCAAAGCCACCACAAAGCCCAGGAACTCTCAGCTCAGAGAGATGCACAAGCACTTCCCTAGGGAAAACCCTTGGAAAGGAAGGGGTTTGTGCCAAGTTTTTGCACACAGGGACAGTTCAGAACACAGCAGAAACCACTTACCCCCAAAAGGTGTTGGAAACTGAGCCATGGTTCTGTCACTTTTAGCTTGTTAATAGATGCCTGGAAAAGAAAAAGAAAAAATTAGATATTTGACACAGTATCTTCTATTTTCCATATATTTTCTGTATGATTAATTACTACAGAAATAAAAAAAAAGTGAAGAAGCAGGATTGTGTCACACCATCTGGGACTTACAAAACTCAGTGTCTCATTTTTGCATTTCCCTGTACATCTTTCTCCAAGCAAGCAGCTCCATTTCATTCTGCTTTAAGAATGGCCTCAAAAGCAGGCTGCAGTTATCAATAAGTATTTCTTTATAAATGGCCAGAGATGGAGTGAGGGCAGAGCTCAGTCCCACCCCAGGGATGCTGCTCCAGGCTCCATGACTTTCCTGAGTGTCACAACCCCTGCTCCTGCTCAGCAGGGAAATTGCCCCCATTTCCAACTGCTGCAACCCAGCATCAGTGATGTGATTTTTATTTTTAATTCCTGATTTTAATTAAATTCATGGCTCCATGGAGATAAACTCATGCCCTGCTCTGTCCCCAGCCCAGCCTGAGGAGCACCAAGGTGCAGAGGGAGGGCAGGGGAGCCTCCAGGAGGGCACCACTGCCTCTGCCAACAAAGGCACCACACAGGCTCCAAATTTCATCAGGACACAGAGGAGGAAAACCATTTTTCTTGCTGCACACAAAGGCTGCCAGGAGCTGCCTGAGCCAGGGGACAATGCCCAGCACCGGAGCAGCACAACAATGAGCCATGGCCTCTTGTCCTGCCAGATTCCACTCGTGTCTTCCAGGCAACAGCAGAAAGGCAGAGGGGAACAGAAGCAGGAGAATCATTTAGGCTGCTTGAACAGCAGCAGAAATTTATCAATATCCCTAAGAAAAGGCATTCACTTGCACCAACAATTTCCTTTTGTCTGAATTCCTGTTTGCTCCCCTCCCCATCCCCCTCTCACACTTCCCACATTCTCTTCTGGCTTCCAACTTGGGAACCTCCTCTGTGTCCCCTCCCCAGATGTCCCTGCACAAACCCCTGGCACTTTTGCCAGCCAGGCTCCCCAGCAGTTGGAATTTGGGGAATGATGGGCACGATCCTGACTCTTTTTCCTCCTGATTTGGCCAAGCACAAGACTCCAAAGCCTTGTGCTCCAGGCCAGGGAAGGCAGCTGATGCTGCTCCCAAGTGTTATCCCAAAAGTTTCAAATTCCAGGTGCAGAGATCCAAGGGTTCAGAGTGAGCTCCCTGAGCTGTAGGGTTCTCCAAAAAGCATTCCTGAAGTGCTGAAAGATCAGCACTTTTATCTTTGCCTATGTTTTCTTATTGTTCTCTGCTCTGGGAAAGAACTCGGTGATGCTGCTGGGTTTTATGACTGCAAGGAAACCTTGAGGGGGAAAAAAAGGGGAAAAAAAAGAGCAAAAAAGAAGGGGGGACAAAGAAGGAGGAAAAAATAAAAACAGAAAAAAAACACCAAACAAGCAAAAAGAAAACTAAACCAAAACCAAACTTAAAGAAAAAAAACCCCACAAACCCTAAAACAACCCCCTCAAAAAAAAAACCAACCAAAACCCACCAAAAAAAGCCAAGAAAACCACACCCAAAAAAAAAAAAAAGGAAAAAAAAGAAAAAAAAAAACCACAAACCCTAAAACAACCCCCTCAAAAAAAAAACCAACCAAAAACCACCAAAAAAAGCCAAGAAAACCACACCCAAAAAAAAAAAAAAAGAAAAAAAAGAGAAAAAGCAGGCAAACCAAAAGCAGAAGTCCCCCCTGTCACAGCCCAGGCAGTTTCCACATTATCTGCTCCTTTTTAGCACAAGGGGAAGCAGCAGAGCATTTACAGGTTCAGTCCTTCAGGATTCCAAAGGAATTGACTCCCCTTTACCTTGAACACAGGGGGAAGAGGAGAGGGAGAGTGGAGTCTGAACACCAGCCCCGTGCTGGATGCCAAGGAAAGCAGAAACTATTCCAAAGAACTTCCAGAAGGAAAAAAAAAAAAAAAAAAAAAAAAAAGGAAAAAAAAGAAAAAAAAAAGAAGAAAGCAAGAAAAAAAAAACCAGAGGGAAAGACAAATCTCTCCCCTACTGGAATATTTGCTGTTCATTGCTGAGGAATCACCTGAGCTCCACAAGCACAGGTTTCACTGTGCATGACTGGGGTGACACCAGGGCCCCCAAGCCTCTCTCCCAAAGGTTGGACCAGATGGTTTTCTGAGGTCCATCCTGACCCAAGTTTCTCAGTGATTCTGTTTTTGGGGTTGAAGAGCTCAGGGATGGAGAACAGGTATTATTTACTCCCAAAAACATCTGGCACAGTTGTTCTATTATAAAATATCATACATATGTGAAGTATTGTAAAGCAAATAAACAGGATCCCCGGGGCTGGCACAGCCCTGCCAGCCCAGGCAGTGCCAGCTGTGCCCCATGGCCACCTTGTCCCCAGCCCAGAGCACTCAGTGCCACCTGCAGGGGACACCTGCAGGGATGGGCACTGCCAAGCTCCCTGGGCAGCCCCTGCCAAGGCCTGAGCACCCTTTCCATGGGCAAATTCCTGCTGCTGGCCCAGCTGAGCCTGCCCTGGCCCAGCCTGAGGCCGTTCCCTCTGCTCCTGTCCCTGTTCCCTGGCAGCAGAGCCCGACCCCCCCGGCTGTGCCCTCCTGCCAGGGACTTGTGCAGAGCCACAAGGGCCCCTGAGCCTCCTTTGCTCCAGCCTCAGCCCCTTCCCAGCTCCTCAGCAATTCTCCAGCCCCTTCCCAGCTCCATTCCCTGCCCTGGACACGCTTCAACTCCTCAAGGTCTCTATTGCACTGAGGGCCCAGAACTGACATCTTGATTTCCAAGCTGATTTTGAAACAGTAACCAGTTGTTTAGATGTGCCTTCCACATTCTCCAGTCTCTACCAGTCGCACAGCAGCACTCACTCCACTCCTCTGCCTTCCTTGTGTCTCCCAGCATCCCCAAGGAAGAACCCACAGTGGGATAAAACAAAAATCATGAAGGAACCAAACGCCCAGGGAGCTGCCAGAAATGCAGGCTGGGTAAGCTGAGCTCTGTGCCACCCCTTCCCTTCAGGAAAGCTGTGATTCACTCCAACCACTGAGATCTGTATAAACCTGGATACCTCAGCAGTTTTTTGAACTCTGATAAATTCAATTGCTGCTGAGCAATGAGTTCAGGAATGATTCAAACAGGAAGAAGGGGAGACGAGCAGGGGAAGCACGAGGGCACCATCAGTGGATTGCACACTGGGGAAGGCAGCCCAGAGCTCCCACAGCAGCACAACCACAGCAGCAATGGAGCAGGACCAGCAGTGCCTCAAAGGTGTCTTCTGCACAGGAGGCAGGAGATGCAGCTCAGACTTTATCCTTCTTTAGAGAACACAACAAGGAACTTTGAGCTCCTCACCTTTGTCAAAAAAGAGCTTAAGGCAGTGATGCACTGGGATTTGCCAAACCAATCCAACATTAAATACCTCCTTCCTACATAAATCCCTTCTTGCCTGAACAGCAGAGACCCACATCTCATCCACAGGGTGCAAAGCACTGACCACTGGGGTTAGCCATGAGCTCTGTACTTCCCAACCCTCCAGAAAAGGCAAATATTGCAGCTTTCAATTCCCAGTGTGGTGCCAGCAGCAGCCACCCCACAGCTCCTCTGCCCACCAAGGCAAGAGGATCCCTGGGCTGTCCCTGTTCCCTGGCAGCAGAGCTGCTGTCCCCTGGCTGTCCCCTCCTGGCAGGTCTGTGGGGCACTGGAGCTTGTTGGTGTTCCCAGTGACAGATCAATGACACTGCAGGAGATCAATAATGTGAAATGGCCACAGGACCATTGCACAGCTGCTCTCTGTGATTCCCCTGCCTGAGGTCATTGGCCTGGGCTGCTCTGGGCTGGCAGAAAGGCCCCTCCTTGTCAAAGTTGTTCCAGTGGCACTGAACATCTCCTGGCTTCTGGGGCTTTCTGCAAAGCCCAAACAGTTTGGGAGTGCAACCAGAGAACCACAGGATGGTTTGGGTTGGGAGGGACCTTAAAGCCCATCCAGTCCCAGCCCTTTCCTTGCCCTTTCCACCAGAGGAAGCCCCACAACCTCCCCACCCATGGCTTCCCCTGGAGCTCAGAGCACAGGAGCCTTTCCCTGTGCCTGACCTGGGGATGGTGACACGTGCCCTGGCCCAGGGGTGGAAAGTGAACAGCAAACACCAACAACGAGGCACCCAGCAGCAGTTTTACATGAGGTACAGCTGGAACTTTACCACCTGTACAATTATCTTTGTAGGCACTAATGAGAAACATTTGCTTAGGCCAGCTCTGAGTGAGGGAGACGAGGCCCTGCCCTGCCCAGGCAGCTCAGCTCTCAGGGCTCTCTTCCACCTCACACTGCTGCAGCTAACTCAGAAACACTGAAATTCTTCATCCTCACTGCAAGCTGTTTCTGCTCATAAACCAGTACCCTATACACAAGCAGTGTTTATATATAAAATATATAGGTTACATTATATATGTATAATTTATTCATATTATTAGCATTATTAGTATTACTATTATTATTATTATATAATATATATACCCTAACTCCAGAAGTTGTTCACATAAAGGTAAAACTAAACCACATAGAGAACAACTGAACAACTCCACATATATAAAATCTCAGACCATATCTAAATTTAAGTACTGATGTTTAAAGATTTTTACCTTGAAAAAATGAGCAGGTTGAAAATAACTCCAGTAAAAACATTTCTTCATAGGAGTCAGACAAATATGAGAATTCCTTTCACAGTGTATTATGCATTTAAAATATGGCTCAGAATTTTATTAGAGTTTCTATTTAAAGTTATCTGTGCTCTGCTGAGGCCATGTTTACAGAGAACACTGCAATAAAGCCACAGGAGGTATAAATTAAGAATAATTGAGCTATTTCAGTGCTGTGTCTTTATACAGACACATTTCACACAAGAAAGAGCCTGGTTTTGTTTTCCCTAAAATGCAACCCAGCATTTCTATTCCTAACCAATTCCTCAGGAGATAATTCTTGATCTGAATGCCAAAATTAATTCCTGAGGC